TCCCTATTTTCCCTTCAATATAGTTCCTACTCCTGCTTTCAGTCTTTAGCATTGCAAGGATAAATTCAAGGATAAATGCAAAATATTCTGTGATTGCGGTTCTGACAATGACTATGGAAGTTTAGCTCTTAGGCTTGAAATAAAGAAGATATAAAGAGCACTAGTACATAGATCATATAAATGCATAGATTGCACCATCTTCCCTGTTGCACTGGAGAGTATGATACAAACCACAGATATGCCATATAGATGTTATAATTTATTACTTATTTTATATATATTTTGATTCTGTTCTGTATTATCACTATATATTTTATTGAGCTATTAATGATGCAACACATATTCACATTTTTATTATATATATTGCTAAATATTGTGTCATTTTAGGGACATTCACACATCACTTGTATGCCTGGACCAGTAAGAAGATGGAATTATCCAATTCCAATATGTCTAGGTATGTTCATCATACATAAATTTACAGAAATATTTTGGAATAATCAAGTCATGTCAACTCAAAAATAAGAGATATGTGTAGGGGAAGGAGTAGATGTATTTGAAAGAACTTAATCAAAAGTGAATATGGCCAGATTAAGCTGAAAATTCTCCAAGTTGAGTCTTATTTGAGCAAAGATTCTTTGAAGTGCCCAGTCAGAAGAATAAATGAAATAGATTCCAATCAGAATCTCCTATACAGAGGCCGTGTGACCTCTAGAGACCCTTACAAACATACCTAATTTATTTATGAGTCATTTTCATAGCAGAGGGGTAGCCACTATATTAAATACTCAAATAGATGGAGCATTCTCAGCTCTGAAGTTTTCTTTGTAAGGCATATCTGCTTATTTAACAACACATTTTATTTCTAAAATTAAACTCTATAAATGACTATGTTGGTATTATTGGAGAAAGCCCTAGGGGCCTGCCATAAGCCCAGCTGAAATATCTAAAATGCATTCAAATATATTGCTTTTACATGAAGAATAAATGTGAGGGGTGTAAAAATCTCTGTCTGTATCTTCTTTTGACTGACTAGAAATGACATTAGTTTTGGTGATGTTTCCCATAATAATAAAAATTAGCTGTATTTGTAATCTGAATGTTTTTGAAGAAAACAAGAGGCTGCAGATCCTGTTAGAGATTTTATACTTGCCTTTTTTTTTTTTTGAGACAGTTATTGTATCTCCATGACTGTCATGAATAATCCTATTCTTAATTCAATGAAGTGTTAAACACCTCGTGTGAGATGCTGAGCTCTCTTTGCCTTGCCTTGTCTTGCCTGCCTTCCTTCAATTAATGATTTTTAATTATATTTCAAAAGGATATAGCAACTGTTAAATAAAAATAATAATAAAAAAGATTTTAAGTTTAAAAAAATCTTACTTACCATAATTAACATCTTGATCTTTTATAAGATGTTTTCAAATCTAACATTGAAGTGGCATTTACTTAGGTGAACAACCTCATGCCTGATAAAATAGAAAGCAAATTCCACAAACTGTTTGCATTTTTGGAAATAGTTATCCATGTACCTTTTCTAAGTCTATTTACTTTTTTTTTTTTTTTTTTTCATTTTTAAATCAGGGGAAGATATAAATACTGTGTTTTAAAGGCCTCTTGAAATGTTCAAAGAACAGAATGTTTGAATGTTTATTGCTTTATATTACTTAGATACTCCTTTATAAGCCCGTGACTAATTGTGTTAATGTGACTATAAGCTGATAGGTACCACTTACCTGATTGCAACAATGTTTCATGCAGACAGAGTGTAGAATGAACATCTGTTCTCTTTTCAGGAGCATGAAAACAAAAGCATTTTTACAGTACTTGTAAATTAATTCATTAAAAATATATACTGRTCAAAGAATTATTACATATATTTTTAAAACATAAGCATTGATATAATTATAGAATTAATTACAAAATGGTCCTAGATTTCTGGATTGAGCTTTAGCTCATTTTTATTCCTTTAAAAAATGTTGTTTTTACAGCACAATGTGGTGGTGCCATGTCAGACTTCAGTGGAGTGATCCTTAGCCCTGGATTTCCTGGCAACTATCCCAGCAGTTTAGATTGTACATGGACAATAAGACTGCCTATTGGTTTTGGTATGTACTCTTTTACAGATTCGTTTTACTTCTTTTTTAGCTTCAAACACTGAACGTAGATTTTAAAATATTGTAGATATTATTCCTGGTCAACACAGTTTAAAATCATTTGAAGAGTTTATCAATATTAGAAAAGAAAGAAACCCCCTTTTTTTTTTTTTTAATTGAAGGCATAGTGCAATTTTCTGATAAAGATGAAATTGCTAAATTAAAATAAAGCATAATTTTCTAGCTAAACAGGCTTGATTTCTTTTAGCAATGTTAAAAAATCAACAAAAGTAAATAGCTGCCAAAAGTATTTTAACCCAAGAGAGTATCAGTTCAAAACAGTGTGACTGCAAGGTAAGAAAGAGGGTCGAATATTGATGCAGAGAGATGCTCATGTTCATGAGGGTTTAAACTACGTAGATTTAAAACAGGACTTCCACTTCTAACTGTGGAAGAAACCACAGGAACCAGCTGCATGCAGGGCTAATCGATGGGAGACTGTTGAATGCAGAGTTTGGACACCTCTGCATTCATAGTCTCCTTCTCTGGAGACCTTCAAAACCCGCCTGGATGCCACCCTGTGCCACATGCTCTAGGTGTSCCTGCTTGAGCGGAAAGGTTGGACTAGATGATCTCTAGAGGTCCCTTCCAACCTTGAATATTCTGGGATTCTGTGATTCTGTGATATTCTGTGACACCCAGGCACGACTCAAATTACTGTATCCTAAAGGCATATTTAATCTACCAGAACAGTGTCTGTATCTCAGCTGTGATAACCTTGGGTAACTACTGACTGCAAAGTAACTAGGCATTGCTGTCAAAACAGAATATGCCTGTCCAAGCTAGAAGTATTTTGAGTACGGTGTAGGGAGCACCCTCTGGGGCGGCTGTCGCATACTCTACCAGTCACCCAGCTCCTCTACAGATCTTCCACAGATGTTCTCACTACAGACAAGATAAAGATACATTTAAGAATTCAGTTATTTATCATTAAGTTTCTTTGCAATTCTGAGGTAAATATCAGAGCACAGAAATGTTCTTGGAGGAATCTCTGAAAGCCTCCCTATCGAAGTGTTCAATCCTCCCACTCAAAGTGAAAGTGTCACTGACATCAAATCAATTCAGCTATGTGTAGCAGGTCCTCGTCAGCAGAAACGCAGCCAGATGCATTTCAGTCCCTTATGGTTGCTGTTGTGAGGCAGCTTTTTGACAAAAACATGTAAGCCAGATTCTGAACAAGCAGAGACATGCTTTTCTTTTCTTGGGRATCTCTGACCATATACTTTAAGAAACAATTACTAATTGTCCCTAAAAATTAAGTTTTAATGAGAAAAATATAGTTCATCTGTACTTCAGTAATTCAAGTTTTCTGTTAACTTGTATTGATAATTATCAATAATGATGATAATTATCATGTCATCTGATTTTTATACTTTTTCTTGTCTGCTGCACCCATTTCTTTGTCATAATCACTTCTAACTTTTTACCTGTACTTTATGGCCTGATAACACACTGGCCACTCATTGATTTTCTGTAAGTTTCCCATGTATACACCATTGCAAAATCTTTATTCAAATCTGCAGTTTTCCTCCTTTTTTAGAAACTTTCCCCTTTTTTAAAAAACTTCTGGTTCATATGTAGGAGCATGTATGCTTGGGTTCCTTCTTTACATGCTGGTTGAATGGCATGATTTTTTAATAATTACAAAATTATTTATGACTTTTCAATAATTAATTTGACATTATATGTTTTCCTTTCAATGTTATGTGAAATTCTGTTTATTATCTTTGCCAGAAATATCAGCAGTGCTCAATCACCTTTTTAATGAAAGTACTGCATTATCATTCCATAGTAGCACTAGTGCACTTGAGATAAATAAAAAATCTCTTCTTTTATCTTAATAAAATACCTAGAGGACCCTCTATCTTCTCTGCTGATGAACATTTCCTCTTTCTCCTGTCAAGTAATAATTATAACCCATCATCTGGTTAGGAAAGATAACTTGCTACTAGATAGTATGCTCCTTTTCTTTTCCTAAGAAAATAATTTCCTGAGTCAAATAATCAGAAATTTCTGTTGACAAGGATAATATATGCCAGAGTGTGAGAGGAATTAAATAAATGAACAGCGTGTCTAATTTCTAGTGAATGAATGATGGTTAGATAATGTCATTACTTCAGAGCCCCAAATAATATGTATTTATATATGCATAATCCCTATCGTATGTACAATTTGCCTCATTGTCATTATATAATATCTATCTATATATAGTGTATATATGCATATATATGTGTGTATATATGTATATTTACAATTTGCATTATATATGCATGTGTATACGTACATATTTATAAAAATATATTCACATCTGTATATAAACAGATAGATGACAGTTTATGTACCACCAAAATGCCACTGTCTCTAGGTTAAGACTCAGTCACTCAATCATTATCTCCTTTGTGGCACAAGAAGCATTTTTTTCTTTTAATAGAAAGAAGACTGTTGTACGCAGTTGAAAACAGGAAAGTTTTAATTAAATTGAATGTGTTCTACATTCAGCAGTTAAAGATGGTCAAAATACCCGAAAAACAATTTTTGCTAAAAAGTACCATTTAATTAACAATAACTTACAGTTCAGTGCCTTACATCAAGTTAGTATCTCAGCATTCACATTGCTATCTCACTTGCCCCTTAAAATTAGTAAGAAATAAGGAAAGTGTCTGTCATTGAATCCTTGGGAATCTATCTTGGAGCATAACACATGAATTTCCATTCCATTTTTCCATTTAATTTTTTAATATCATTAGCATATAAAATATGTACACCTTATTTTCCTTCCTGATATTGATACCAATGGCTTTTATTTGTTTATTGTTTTTCAGGTGTCCATTTGCAATTTGTGAATTTTTCAACAGAGACCATACATGATTATTTAGAAGTAAGGAGTGGATCTACAGAAACTAGCACTGTTATTGGGAGACTAAGTGGTCCTCAGTTACCCGCCTCTCTGTTCAGCACAACTCATGAAACAAGTTTGTACTTTCACAGCGATTATTCACAGAACAAACAAGGATTTCATATTGTGTACCAGGGTGAGAGATTTGATATTCTTATGTGAGAACAAGATAACTCTTAAAGTCAGGTGGTTTTGTTTTTTTTTTTTTTTTTTCCCTGAAAGAAAATCATAAAATAAAAGTTCTTGTTTATTCAAAGTGTTATATGTGGGGACTGTACAGAGATATACATGCAGTTTAGAAAGGGGAAAAAATGTGATTATTTAAAAAGCAGTAGAAATCTAAATGAACAGGTAATTTCTCATATTTGAATTTTATTAGAGTTGTTTGAGTTGTGCGGGTTTACAAAAAAAACATCTCCATTATCTGATCATTGTAAGGAATCACAATTTTATGTGTTGGATTCTATCAAGGGAAAGATCTAAATATTGTTTTAGAACACTGGATCAGAATAGACTGTTCCAGAATTATCCCAACCTAGAAATTTCAGCCTAGATTATCCTGACCTAGAAATCAGTTTTCCATCAGAATGGAAAAAAGTTCTTTTTCCATTCAAACCAGTTTGGTCCTACTGAGCTGGCAAAGACTGCTAAATCATAGTTCTGTTCATGTAGTTGCGGATTCATTTCAGAGAAATTAAATCAACAATTTTCACAGGGAAAGCTCAAATGAAGTTTTTAAGCTGTGATTGTTTTCATAATATGAATAGCACCAGAGGATGATTTTAAGAGATTTTACTTCATAGCCATCTTCTGTTAAACTTTCAATAGTAACAAGTCCAAATTGACTTGAACGCTATATAGCATTCTGGAAATGAGCCCCTGTAAAAGTGTGAGCTTTCATAGTTAAAATCGATTTATGACCTTAACTGCCTGGTAAGATGTTACTCAGTTCTTATTTGAGATACAATCTAATTTGTAGGGGTAAGGGACATTTACAATCCACTGATAAGAAGAGCAATGAAAGACTGTAAAGAAAAAAACATGTGTATAACTGCTATTATTAATAACAATAATAGTGACCATTTTGGAGATGCTGTTGTTTGTAAGCCAAGAATTCCAAAAAAATTCTCAGTATTTCTAACCACCTGAGATAACTGATTCTTACAAAAACATACACCTTATGTGTACTTTTCAGATTTTGCAGATTTTCTATAGCATATTTGTCCTCAGTTCTGTAATAGGAAGGCATAGAATCATAGAATGCTTAAGGTTGGAAGGGACCTCAGAGGTCATCTAGTCCAACCCCCCTGCTCCAGCAGGGCCACCTTGAGCACATGGCACAGGGCTGCATCCAAGCAGGTTTTAAAGATCTCCAAAGAAGGAGACTCCACAACCTCTCTGGGCAACCTGTTCCAGGGCTCTGTCACCCTCACTGTCAAAAAGTGTTTTCTCAAGTTCCTGTGGAACTTTTGGTGCCTCAGTTTGTGGCCGTTTCCTCTAGTCCTATCGCTGGCCACCACTAAAAAGAGGCTGGCCCCCTCCTCCTCACTGCCTCCCTTATAGACACTGATCAGGTCCCCCCTTGGCTTTCTGTGCTCCAGGCTGAACAGGCCAAGCTCTCTCAGCTTTTGCTCATAGGACAGATGATCCATGCGCCTGATCATCTTTGTAGTCCTGTCCTGGACTCTCTCCAGCAGCTCCACATCCCTCTTGTACTGAGGAGCCCAGAACTGGACACAGAACTCCAGATGTGGCCTTACCAGGGCTGTGTATAGGGAGACGATCACCTCCCTCGACCTGCTGCAGACGCTCTTCTTAATGCACCCCAGGATCCCGTTGGCCTTCTTGGCCACCAGGGCACACTGCTGCCTCATGGTCATCTTGTCATCCACCAGGACGCCCAGGTCCCTCTCTGCGGGGCTGCTCTCCAGCAGGTCCACCCCTAATCTGTACTGGTGTCTGGGCTTATTCCTCCCCAAGTGCAGGACCCTGCACTTGCCCTTACTGAACTTCATGAGGTTTCTCGCTGCCCAGTCCTCCAGTCTGTCCAGGTCCCTCTGAATGGCAGCACAGCCCTCAGGGCTATCAGGTACTCCTCCCAGTTTGGTATCATCAGCAAACTTGCTGAAGGAGCACTCCAGCCCTTCATCCAGGTCATTAATGGGTAAGTTGAACAGGACCGGACCGGACTGACCCCTGGGGGACACCGCTAACTACAGGCCTCCAAGTGGACTCCGTGCCACTGACTACCACTCTCTGCACCCTGCCACTGAGCCAATTCCTAATCCACCTCCCCATCCACTCATCTATCCCACACCTTCGGAGCTTGCCCAGGAGGATGCTGTGAGGGACGGTGTCAAAAGCCTTACTGAAGTCCAGATAGATGACGTCCACTGCTCTTCCCTCATCTATTCAGCCAGTCACTCCTTCATAGAAGGCGATCAGGTTAGTCAAGCATGATTTCCCCTTGGTGAATCCATGCTGGCTACTCCTGAGCACCTTCTTCTCCTCCACGTGTCTGGAGACAGCAGCCAGGATGAGCTGTTCCATCACTTTTCTGGGGATGGTGGTGAGGCTCACTGGCCTGTAGTTGCCCGGGTCCTCCTTCTTGCCCTTTTTGAAGACCAGAATGATGTTGGCTTCCTTCCAGTCCTCTGGCACCTCCCCCGTTCTCCAGGACCTTTCAAAGATGATGGCGAGCGGCTCGGCTATGACATCCACCAGTTCCCGCAACACCCTGGTGTGCATCCCATCAGGGCCCATGGATTTGTGGGTGTCGAGTTTCCTTAGGTGCTCTCTGACCCACTCTTCCTCTACCCAGGGCAAGCCTTCCTCTCTCCAGCTCACTTCTTGTGTTCCTAGGCCCTGGGATTCTAGAGGGCTGCCCCTGACAAACACCGAAGCAAAGGTAGCATTCAGCAGCTCTGCTTTCTCCTTGCTTTCGGTAACCAGAGTACCCACCCCGTTCACCAGTGGACCCACATTCTCCCTGACCTTCCTCTTGTTATTAAAATATTTGAAAAAGTTTTTCTTGTTAGTCTTAACATCCTTTGCCAGATTTAGTTCCAAGCGTGTCTTGGCTTTCCTCGTAGCATCCCTGCATTCCCTGACAACCCTCCTGTATTTCTCCCAAAGAAATACACTGGAATACATTGAGATGTGTGAAAGTTGCTTTATATTCAAACCTTACTTTCTCACTTACTTTCTCCATAGTTCATGAAAGAACCTCTTGAGATCCATAGGTGATGATAGAACCTTTTATTTGTGAAATATTCTGAGAAAAAATATCAGAAGTAAAATTGCAGTCAGGCTTCTTTTCCCCCTTTCTTAAATGAATGTATATATTTACATGTGTATATATACATTTGAATGTATTTTTTTTGTTAAACTAATGTTCTTTCTAGCTCAGCATGGTCTCCCAGTGGCAACAGGAAAATCATTTAGGATCAAAGTTAGCGAGTTAGCTAGAAGATATCTAACAAATTTCTATATTCATAGAATCATAGAATGCCCAAGGTTGGAAGGGACCTCAGAGGTCATCTAGTCCATCCCCCCTGCACACGCAGGGTCACCTAGAGCACGTGGCACAGGGCTGCATCCAAGCAGGTTTTAAAGATCTCCAAAGAAGGAGACTCCACAACCTCTCTGGGCAACCTGTTCCAGTGCTTTGTCACCCTCACTGTCAAGAAATGCTTCCTTAAGTTCCTGTGGAACTTCCGATGCTTCAGTTTGAAGCCATTTCCTCTAGTCCTATCACTGTCCACCACTGAAAAGAGGCCGCCCCCCTCCTCCTCACTGCCTCCCTTGAGGTATTTATACACGCTGATCAGGTCCCCCCTCAGCCTCCTCTTCTCCAGGCTGAACAGACCCAGCTCTCTCAGCCTTTGCTCATAGGGCAGATGTTCCAGGCCTCTGATCATCCTCATAGCCCTGCGCTGGACTCTCTCCAGCAGCTCCACATCCCTCTTGTATTGGGGAGCCCAGAACTGGATGCAGTACTCCAGATGTGGCCTCACCAGGGCTGAGTAGAGGGGGATGATCACCTCCCTCGACCTGCTGGAGACGCTTTTCTTAATGCATCCCAGGATCCCGTTGGCCTTCTTGGCCACCAGGGCACACTGCTGCCTCATGGTCAACTTGTCGTCCACCATGACACCCAGGTCCCTCTCTGCGGGGCTGCTCTCCAGCAGGTCCACGCCTAATCTGTACTGGTTTCCAGGGTTATTCCTCCCCAAGTGCAGCACCCTGCACTTGCCCTTGTTGAACCTCATGAGGTTTCTCGCCGCCCAGTCCTCCAGTCTGTCCAGGTCCCTCTGGATGGCAGCACAGCCCTCAGGGCTATCAGCTACTCCACCCAGTTTGGTATCGTCGGCAAACTTGCTGAGGGAGCACTCCTTCATCCAGGTCRTTAATGAATAAGTTGAACAGGACCGGACCGAGAGCTGACCCCTGGGGGACACCACTAAGTACAGGCCTCCAGCTGGACTCCGCACCATTGACAACCACTCTCTGCACCCTGCCATCRAGCCAATTCCTAATCCACCTCCCCGTCCACTCATCTGTCCACATCTTCGGAGCTTGCCCAGGAGGATGCTGTGAGGGACAGTGTCAAAAGCCTTGCTCAAATCCAGATAGACCACATCTACCGCTCTACCCTCATCTATCCAGCTAGATATTCCTTCRTAGAAGGTGATCAGGTTAGTCAAGCAGGATTTCCCCTTGGTGAATCCATGCTGGCTACTCCTGAGCACCTTCTTCTCCTCCATGTGTCCGGAGACAGCAGCCAGGATGAGCTGCTCCATCACTTTCCCGGGGATGGAGGTGAGGCTCACCGGCCTGTAGTTACTCGGGTCCTCCTTCTTGCCTTTTTTGAAGACTGGAGTGATGTTGGCTTTCTCCGGCACCTCCCCCATTCTCCAGGACCTTCCTAGCATCCACATTGGTTGTGTCGGTAAAATATTTGAGTGTAGAGCACTTCCCAAGCCTTTTTTCACTCCCTGTGTGTACTTGTCCCTGAATTTGACTAAGCCTTCTTTTTTTCTGTCAGCTTGCTGGTACTCTATGTCTGCAAAAACTGCTGAAGCAACAAATTTGTAGAACAAACTCTACAAAAGTCATATTCCCCTGAGTCTTCTGCCCTCTGAGGGGGCAGAACTGTAGAGGTCCCATTTTTTTTGTATCTGCTTGGAAAGCAGCTGCTTCCATCTGTTTTCACCCTTTGTTCACTTTTAGTGATCAAGTCCACTCTCTTGTGATTCAGAGACCAGAAATGTACACAGTACTCACAATGCAAACACACCAAGGTTTTATATATCAGTAAAATTACACCTATTCATATTGATTCCAGTATTTGTTTTCTGATCACATGCAGCAAATTTTTTGCCTCTTTGTCTGCTATTGCACATTGCATTAGTTTCAGAAAAGTGAACTAATGACTCTGAAATATCTTTTCTGAAGTTTCAGGAAAGAACTGTCAGTTCTGTGCTCAATCATGCAAAGGCACGGATGATTTATGCTAGAGATTAAATTTTATTTATCTATGTCAAAGCTCATCTGGCAGACCTATTTCTGCAGACCTAAGTTTGTGAGATCCTCTTGGAATTCCTCACTGACGGCATTTTACTGACCATAAGAGCTTAGCATCATCTTCAGACTTGGAAATTACACTGCTTAATCTCTTAGGTTACTGATGAAGATTTTGAGCAAAACTGTTCAGTAACAATTCGTTGAGAAATTTACTGATGACTTCTCAACCTATCTTTTACTTTAACCAACTTTCATTCTTTTAAAGAACTTTTTCTCCAGTTCTATGGCAGCTCACGTTTTTAATAGCCTTTCTGTAGTATCGTGTCAAAAAATATTTTGGAAATGTATTGTGTCCTTGCCTTTGTATATTTCATGTATATACATATACATGTATATACATATATATACTTGTATATACATATACATGTATATATATGCCTTTGTCCTTGCCTTTGTATATTTGTGTATAGATTGCCTTTGTATATGTCTTCATTGACATCTATATAAAACAACAGAGTTAGTGATTAAAGGTTCCCTTTTATAGAGCTCTATCTCTTGCCCAAGACACCATGTTTATCCATGCGCTCAGTGATATTATTCTTTACTGTAGACTCTACCTTATTACCAGTAATGGAAGTCTGACTCACTGATCTGTAATTTTAAGGATCCCATCTAAAACTCTGATTCTAGATGATATTTACATTGACAAAACTCTAACCTTCTAACACAGAGCCTAAAATGATAGGATATACACCTTAGGTCAGAAGTACTGGATGAATGCCATCTGCTCATGGTCTTTTGCCCTATCTATTTAGTCTAATACATTTTTGTATTTGCTTCTAGTACCCTAAGATCTGTCTATTGCAAACATTGTTTCTTGTTTGGGAATCTCTCCAGGACCTTCTAATTTTTCAAATTATATTTCTACCCTCTTAATTTTCTGTTTATATTTGACCTGCTGTGTATTATTAGACTTGGAAAAGGCAGACCAAAATCCCAATCTTTTCTCTATGGCAGCTTCCCTAGCTGTCTAACTAAGTCACTTTTAGGACCACACTCATAGCATTTTATTTTGAATTATAGTTCATGTTTTCACTCGATCATTTAATACATCATTAATGAACAGATTCCAGTCTACATTACCTCATTTTTATATTTCCCTAATTATTTGCTATATTAACAATTTGGTTTCTTCATGTCAGGATGATGAGGTCCATATATGGGTATCTGGGTTGCACATTATTATTACCTGTCCCGTATTTTCAGCTTTTCTAATCTTATTTAACATTTCCTGTTCACTCTAGTTTGCTATATTATGAAGTTGTAGCTAATAATACAGTTATATTGCTAGAACTTTATTTTTTTACCTATAAATATTCGACTGTGCTCTCTTTTGCCTTTTTTATTTTTTTTCTAATATCTTTCTGATAATATCTTTCTAATATATCTTTCTGATATCTTACTAATATCTTTCTGATATAAAAGTTCGTATAATTCTTTACACATAGTGTTGCTGTCCACCTGGAAATCCCTACCCTATCATTCTTGTAAAGTCACCTGGCAGCACTGCAGCCCTGGCACAGAGCAGTGGCTCTGAGAGATGCTTTTCACATAGTAGTTGACTGGTTAAAACATTCTAGTTTCCACATAGTATATTATAGACATTGATATAAAAATACTTATTTTTCTTTACATTTTGTTCCTTTGTACTACATGCACAAGTCCACTTGCATTGCAAGTGATCAGATTGCCTTCTCTGTGCACTGGGAAACTACTGTTTGTTTTCCTGCTACCKTTTTTTGGAGATACAATGATGCATGTCACCTCATCACTCTCATGGCTCCACATCAGTTTTCCTGAAGAAAAAGTCTTCACATGAGTTTTCCCACATGCTTCTGGTTTAAGAACTCCTCTGTAGCCTTTTCAGTTTTCAGTGCCTGGCTCAATTTTAATGAAGGTGTACTGCACTTGGAAGCAATTTGCAGTCCTCAAGAGCTAATCAAATGCCTATATTTTTGAAGACTTATGAACACAAGGAGTCTATTCTTTTTCTACTCTCTTTTCTCCTGTAATGGATTATACTGTACTTATATGCTGTAGTAACTATAATTAAAAGATAAATTTAAGAAGCTGGTTTTATTTTCATCTTCAAAGGGACTCTGTTCCAAAAGTCTTTAGGCTGTATTTTATTTTCTGTGTCTGTATACTTTGAAAGTATAAGAGACATAAGTTTATTTAAACTTTTATAGTGATTCCTCTATGAAATTTGGAATCCTGAAATAATTTTTATGGGCATTTCCAGAATTGCTGCTGAAATGTTTTGCTATATTTCTGTTGGTATAGGACCAATGATTTTATTTGCTGCTGTGATTGAACTTAAGAAATATGAAATATCTGTGAAATTCTTCTTTTTCTCCAATAAAAAGATACATATTCTTGAAAATATAATCAAAATTTGCACTTTATTGATGTTATTTTCCAATCATTAAAATTTATTTCAGCCTATCAGCTACAAAGCTGTCCTGATCCTCGACCATTTCGTAATGGTTTTGTTATTGGGAATGACTTTACTGTGGGACAAACTATTTCATTTGAATGTTTTCCTGGATACACCTTAATTGGAAATTCAGCTTTGACTTGTCTTCATGGCATCAGCCGTAACTGGAATCATCCCTTGCCTAGATGTGAGGGTATGTACTAAATGACCAAAAGAACCCTTCATCTGTAACTCTTACTAAAAACAATTAATTTGTTTCTGCTTTTGAATTTAAAGAGACTCTTCCTTTATCAAGTAGTCTTTGCATAGGAGGTATGCAGGTTTTTTTATTTGTTTGTTTGGTTGTTTTTTTTTTTTATGGAGAAGGTAAAATTTTCATGGAATCTTCATGGAAATACGAAGTCCTTGAAGACTGAGATCAGAGTAAATATATTTCTGAAAGGTTTTAACATTTGAAACATTAGTCTGAAATTCTGGAATATGGAGCTGCTTTTTTGATTAAGGTAGTGCTCTAGATTAAAAGTTCTGTACTAAGTCAGGAAAAATTGATTCAGTACTTGATTTTCCCAACTCTTAAGTGACCATGCTTATGTTCTGTCTTATCAGTTAAAAAAAAAAATCAAAGATTGTATTAAATAGAACTATACTACAGTCAATGCTATCTGAAGTAGTTTCTATGTATGTTTTGATATTTATGAAAGATCTGAAAGTATATTAACTTTTTACATTATTTTACATTATTTTTTATATTTGATTAGGATGGTAAAAAAGAAAAAAAATACTTTAATTCAACATGCATATGAAAACACCTGTAGAGAAAATCACAGAATAGTGATTTGCCAGTTAGTGGTTTGCCTGAAATGCACAGTAATCAATGTCCAAAACCTTTATGTTCATTCTTGCACTGGATGAGGTTTAAAATGACCACACTTAAAAGAGTTTCAGAAAGAAAGTCTCTATCTATTACTATGTCTCTTGGGAAATACATATCTCTTCTCCTACCTGATAATTCTGGTTGGATACCTTCATGTGACAATAATGGCAGTAGTTCCTATGNTTCCTATGGTTTTTTTTTTTTTTTTTTTTTTTTTCTGATTTGGAGGTGGCATTTAAACAAAGCTATAACAAAGTATCTTATGGCCTGCGCTTGTGTGGTCGCTGAGCTGACTCAGTGTCTAATGCACTTTAGATGCATTTCAGATAGTCTTTATACTATTAGAATTACTCTTAAAAGCAAAGCAAAACAAAATGAACAAATTTGAGCTATTTCTTAGAAGTGGATGTCTGACTGTGAAACAGTAAAATCTTTCTTTTCCAAGCAGTGATGATGTTTTACATGATCTAGTTACAGTGTAGTAGATGTGTTTTAAAGTATAGATTTCAGGCAGTCTAAGAGTGCAAAAAGCATTTAGTGCTTTTGAAAACTAATGTCTTTTTTTTTATAGCTCTCTGTGGAGGAAATATAACAGCAATGAATGGCACCATATATTCTCCAGGATACCCTGATGAGTATCCAAACTTTCAAGACTGCTTCTGGCTTGTAAGAGTACCACCTGGGAATGGAATCTACATCAATTTCACAGTTCTCCAAACAGAGCCAATATATGATTTCATAACTGTCTGGTAAGAAAACACTATTGGCATTTATTTAATCTTCTTGTGACAGAGTGTAACAAAATAGGGATTAGAGAGAATATCTTTGCAATTTCTCCCTTGACATTTGTTGTTTTGTCTAGTGACAGTGAGTAATTTGCAATATTCCCTCTGTCCCAATGCATTATTCTCTAGTTTTCGCTGGATATGACATTACCTAGCTATTGTTTTAAGCATTTGAAAACAATAACAGTGTGTCTTACCAGTTTATTAATCAAGAAAATTACAATGAGATAACATAGATTGTTATCAACGAAAAGAAGTAACTATGCTTAAGAAAACGGTGATAAGTAGTTTTATTATGATGTTCTTCAACATCAATAAAAGGAAAACAGAAACATTGTCTTCGTGCAACTTCTTTAATTGTGAAGTTAAATAAAAACACTTTCAGTTGAGACTTTCTGAAAATAAAATCGTTAAAATAAAAATTTAAGTAAAATCTGGATTCACAAATATAATTTAAAGTAGATTCTTAAATAGATTTCAAGTAGAATCTTAAACTTAGTAGAGAATCTGCATTTTTATGCAGATATAAAGCCAATATTCAGCCAACATCTTTTAAGGTATAATGTTATTTATGTATTATTTTTTCTAGTAATAACCAAATCCTAAAGTTAGGGAAGATGAACGGTATGAGGTTTATTTCTTCCTAATATCCGTATTTGAAAGCTTTCATGTGTAAACATGAGGAGAGTTCATGGCAATGTGAGGAAGCAGCATCACAAACCCAATCATAATGAGGCCACTACAATTTTTTAGAAAAAAAAAAAAAAAAAAGATTACTTCCAAAAGGTGGTAAAATGGAGAATATAGGATTCTAATAATTTTTGATGTCTGTGTAAGCAAGTCATTCTTATACTTCAATCTACTACTGTATTTTCAGAAGAGTTGCAGCCCTTAAGCTGTTTTGTCTACTACTTTGAATAAAAAACACATGCTGCTTGGACAAACACATAATCCCTCTTCTCTGAGAACCTTTTCTTCAATATCCTTATTTTTTATATAAATTTTGCTTAGTTTAACTTTTTAAATCCTTTTTTTCTTTAGGGATGGACCAGACCAAACTTCTCCTCAGATTGGACAATTCAGTGGCAACACTGCATTAGAATCAGTCTACAGCACTTCCAATCAGATTCTGATCAAGTTCCACAGTGACTTTACTACCAGTGGCTTTTTTGTACTTAGTTATCATGGTGAGTGTGACAAGTAATTTTTTTCACTGTTTATACTGACTATTATTGGAATTAAAACTAGAAAAAAAAATCTTTATTACTTTTCCAAAAATTACAGAATCGCAGAATCACAAAATAGTTGAGGTTGGAATGGACCTCTAGAAATCAACTAGTCCAACCCCCCTGCTCCATCAGGGACACCTAGAGCATGTGGCACAGGGTGGCATCTGGGCGGGTTTTGAAGACCTCTGGAGAAGGAGAATCCACAGCCTCTCTGGGCCTGTTTCAGTGCTCTGTCACCCCCGCAGTAAAGAAGTTCTTCCTCACATGCAGATGCACATGCACATGTAGATCTGATGTTTCAACTTGTAAGCATTACTCCTTGTCCTGTCACTGGCCACAACTGAAAGGAATTTGGCCCCATCCTCTTTACCTTCTCCCGTCAGGTATTTGTACATATTGATCAGCTCTCCTCTCAGTCTTCTTTTCTCTAGTCTAATCAGGTCTAGCTCACTTAGTCTTTCCTTGTACAATAGGTGCTTCACTCCTTTAATCATCATCTTTGTTGCTCTACGCTGGACCCTCTCTAGAAGCTCCACGTTCTTCTTATACTGGAGACAGCCCAGAACTGCACCCTGCTATGATTAGCATTAAAGTAATGTAAATGTTTGGATGACTAATGAGTGACCAAAACAGACTAATTTCTTAACCACATTACCACATTAAACTTAGTAATACTCAAGCAAATGAAGGGAACAACAACAAAAACAAAAAAACAAAACAAAACAAAAAAAATGCATTTCCATAGGATTCTTCATAAGAAAGGAGGAAAAGGAGGACCTTGTAATTCCAGGAGCATATCTTCTCACTGTCTTTATAACATTTCCAAAATTCTGTGTAATCTAAATATTTCTGTGTGGCATTCAGCCTCTGTGAGATATTCAAATAGTATGAAGAAAGTGCTTTTCTTCCAGAGACAAAATATAAGTGAACTGTGTTTTATAGTTATTAACTGATGTTAAATCTTTTTGAAAGTGAGATTGGAGGCCAAGTCTCCAATTTATTTTGAGTGAAGTTAAGTACTAACACATTACAGAATCACAGAATGGTCGAGGTGGGGAGGGACTTCTGGAGACCATGCAGTTCCAACCTCCCTGCTGCGACCACTTAGATCACTCAGGTCACTTAGAGCACATTTTGCATTGTTTCCCTTATTTTAGACCAAGAATCTCTTCCATTCCTCTTATTACAGGCAAACAAATTCAGCATCAAGAGTGCCCTTAGATACTCAGGCAACATAGATAACAGTCTATTTTCTGAAATTTTCTCAGATTTTCAGAGTAGAGTTCTACCTTAAAGAAGGTAGGCCAAGATACAAACAGATAAAAAACTAGGAGGATTAGAGGAATTTTACAGAAACAGCAAAAGATGTCCACAACAGAGAAACAGCAGGAACAACATTCGGTTTACTTATAAAGGGTAGATTCCACTAGGACTGAGCAGGAGTTTTCAGAATTTCACTTGTAGGCCTGGTTATCTAAGTTGCATGTTGCAGTGTGAGAAGAATGAGCTGACTCTTTGCCTTTATCAATATATGTGCCTATATTTGCCTCTATCAATATATGAGTATTCATTAGCTAGGAATATTTGGATGTCCTAAGGAAAGTTCTAAGAAAAATGATAAGTCAATAGGACACTACTATAACATCTTAGGAGAATCTGAAGCATAATAAGTAGCTTCTGATTTGTTAATTCCAGAAGATTTATTTCTCTCTGATCTTATCTACAAGTTTTTGGTCTATTTCACATTCAAAATGCTTCTGCCCATAAATAATTATACTTGGTGGCCTATTTCATATTTGTTGCAGTTTGAAAGTGGTGGCGACAAGGAGGGAAGGAGATATCAAATACTGTGTTAGCTTTATGCCTGACTCTAGCAGTATCAGATTCGCGAACAGTCTGTCTACTCTGGGTCCAATCACCTTCCAAACAAGTAGTTGAGTTCACAAATAGCATGATTTTTTTCTAATGCAACATTTACAAAGCAGGTTTCAAATGTCAGTACAGGAAATTCTCTACTACAACATGAGATTTTTTAGTTAGCTGTGAGGTACAAATATACAATCATCATTCACCCTAGAAGATGGAAGAAGGCTGTCAATCTTGAGTTTCCTCAGGCAGCATCCTGACTTCAGGGGAGGAAAAGGGGATCAGCCCATCAACCAGAAGTTACAATGGAATCTTTTCTTCCAGCATCTTCCCTCCGTAACTCATCTTTTATCCTTTTTCCTTACATTTAGGTGGAGCTTAAGTGACTAGAGTCATACTTAATATTGTTATTGATTGGTGAAAAAGTCTCTTGCATTCATTTAAAGGTACAGTCAATCAAAAATCTGAAGTGCATCCTCAGGGAGGAGGGGACGTACCTTGAAGGCGGAAAGCTTTGGGGATGGAGGTGTGTTTTGGCATTACAATGAGAAAAGTTCAAGCAAAGTTCATCAATAGGAATGATTTGCCACTCTTGGTGGCTCAGCACTAAACATCTCATATATCTCCCACTAGGTAGCTACTGTGCACTCTATCAGCAGCCCAGCACAAGGAATACAACAGTTTGACCGCGGTGTCTTCACTCCGCTCCACCCTCCACTACTTCTCTTTGCAGCTGTGAGGAGGGCAGATTGTGCCTAGGAAACCATTAAGGAGCAGAGTCTGTGCCTACCAACCATCCTGGAAGTGGCATCTGTGTCTCACCCCAAGCAAGCTTCTGTAGAACCAAAACTTCTGTTAGGCCCTAGTTTCTCTTTAAGTTCCTCCCTTTTCAGTCATTTATTCCGCAGTCATTTTATACTTGTCTTCTTTATGAGTGGACTCAAGAGAGGAAGAGTTCAGGAGTAAAAATATATTGAGGATAACTTTTGTAGATAAGGAAAGTAATTGCATAAATCAAACAAACAAACTCCTGCATTTTTTGAATGTTTAACTTGGAAAATTTGCAACTGCTTCTACGACTTCATCGATTATTAATGAAGGGAATTTTGATTTTAAAATTCAGTAGCTTCTTAAGACGGTGAATTCACCTCCACTTTTTCATTTTTTGATACTCATGCTAATGTTTTCTTTCTTTTTTATTCTGTTAAAATTTCTAAAATAATTGCTTATTTTTATCTTGTTACCTTGAGTATTAACACAATTACATTTGTGTGACTCTACTGACTGTGGAAATATGGAAATATTAACTGTGCTTTCTTCCTTTATGCAGCCTACCAACTTCGAGTCTGCCAACCTCCAACAAATATACCAAATGCTGAAATTTTGACTGAGGATGATGAATTTGAAATAGGTAATGTGAGAAAAAATAAAAACCATGACTACTATGAACATAAATTTATTGTTTTTCAAGAGGCAAATCATGACTAGAATTTGTTATATATATATTTGAAAATATAATGTCTACCTCCACTCTTCCTCACTATAGAGTAATAGCTGTTTCAGCTATCACATTTAAGCATCTCATTAACTTCTTTCCAATTAAGTGCATTTTAAAATAAATTCTCTATAATGCTTAGTATAAAACATGCCATTTTATTTTGAAAACTAAGAAGATTTTAATACATGAATATATTTAATACATATTAATAACAAATATTATTTATATAATACTATAAGAAATTAAATTTTTGGAAGAAACAGCAATGAAATATTTTTATTATAAAAACTTTCCTATTTAGAATTTTTAAAATAAATTTATTTTTAATTAGAAAAAAATGTTGGTGATGATATATTTCATACCTCAATTATGGTTTTGTGAGATGAGGAGTAACAACAAATTTAAGAAAATCCAAGAAAGGGATGGCATTCTAACTTTAGAAGCTTTGTTAATAACACTACTTAGCCACATATCCTTCAATATTGAAATATTGCCTTTCTGTTTTGTCTTTGTGTCTATGTTGGATGGGATGTTTGACTGCATGTTTCTGCTTACATTATGGCAAAAACATCAATTTATTCTTAAATTTGCTAATAATTGTTGGCAAAAAAAAATCTATATTTTTCTTTTCTGTTCTTTTACCTATATTTTTGTCTTTTGCTCTAGCTAAGCTGTTAAGAACTACTGAGTTATAGTCATTTTTACTTTTATGACTAAAGCTTTAAGTGATATAATTCATTGGATGATCATTGTGGAACTAAATAAAAAGGCAAGATAAAGTCAGTAATTCCTACTGTCTTATAGGGAAAAAGAACATAAGAAATACATTTAATTCATGGTAAATGAATTTGGCATGGTCAGAATAAGAAACTATATTTTCTTTTCAACTTAAGAAAGTATTCATATAATTTTATAGATTTTATCTTGACTTCTTATTTATTTCCACAATGATTATCCAATGAACTATGTCACTTAAAGCTTTATGGACACAAGCTTGTCTGGCATCCGTTAAAGCTAGGCATATTATGCAGCTAACATTGGGGTTAGTCAGTGATAGATGCAGCATAGTCTGTGTGACAAAGCTCATTTACCACAACATTTGCTTAAACTAATCAGTCTAAGTTGTTTATGCCAGAGGTCATTTTGTCCATTATGTATGTCAGCAAGAACTTCATTAATCAATAATGTTTTCAAAGTTAGAAGTCCTAGATAATTGCTGCTTAACGGTATTCTTTTTTATCAAATAGGAGACATAATAAGGTACCAATGTCAACCAGGCTTTACATTGGTTGGTAATGAGATTCTGACCTGTCGACTAGGAGAAAGACTTCAAATGGATGGAGCACCACCTACTTGTCAAGGTTTGTCCTCCTCTTTTCCAGACCAGCTGAAAACTACCCTTCATTTCCTCTTTACATAAAATGACACAGTAAAATTATTTCAAATCTTTTGACCCTATTAATATTATCACTGTTTGTTACAGTGAATGCATGTCTAAAAGAAATGTGTAGAAGTTTCTGTCTTTTTCTCCACAATATATCAGTCAGACAATTCATATGAAATTTTTAAAAACGCTGAATTACAATATAGCGTATATTTGGAAGAATGAGATCATGAAATTATTATTGGTTTAAAGTGCAATTTAAATATTTTACATTTTTATTTAGTGAATGCTAAAGAATGATGTTTTTATGTACATGTGTGCACATGTGTCTATATTTTCTACCTTTCCTTGCAAACTCTTAATAAATATGCCAATACTTCATTTTTAAGGTTAAAACAAGGTTACAGTTTGGACAACCACCACCATCTCACAGTTTAAACAAGTTCTTGTTAAGCTGAGATGTGATGTGTTATGCCAGAGTAGAATTTTGTCGTACCTTTTTGAGGAAAATGTGAGAAGTTTCTTGCTATGTAGTACTGAATAGGGAATGGAGTAAAACTTCCAATGCTTTATATCAAAATTGGAATTTCAATTAAATATGATGGCACATATCAGTGGTTTCTTGCTATTTCATTCAAGTGTTAAGAGAGAAATAAGGACATGTGGCTATAAGCATTTATGACAGAGACAAACAATCCAGCCTCAGAAAAAAAATTAATCTCTGTAAATTAACGTTTTGTTCCAACTGTTTGTTATGTTATTCTTTTATGATCCACCTACTCTCACCATTAAAATTATACCATTATTATAATTTTAATATTACACTACTTTCTCAAATCAGTTAATAATAAATATAATTGCTTATATTTTATTAGATGAAAAATGCTAGTGTCCGGGTTTGTTGTCTTTTTCATGATCAAGGTTTTATTACCTAGTACTAGTAAGTAATTGTAAATGAATCCATTACATATACAAAAAAGATTTTTAACAGTTTCTTAATAATTTTTTAAAAAATCAAAGTAGTTATGAATTTAAGCATTACTATCTTTTCATTATGACTGTATTGTTTACCTGAGAGTTTTCAGTTGGGCCACCTCGGATAGGAAGGTACATAATTATCTGTTATCTATTGAACATACAATTTTTAAAATGTCAGCTAAATTTCAGTGTTCAAACACAGACTTATGGGTAAATTTGTGAAATAGGAACGTGATGTGAGGGAGCTTCTAGAGTTAAAGACACAGTCTCATAGAGATTAAGTCGATGCTCCGTTTATTGCAGATTCTAGCATATTTTTATACAGTAAGCCCGTGCCCCCGACCCATCATTAGTCCAATCATGATTTGACATGCTCTCCTCTTGCCCCTATCTTGCCACGGTCTCCGGGGCTGGCATCCAGTCCTTTATAAGTTTACCTATAAGGTCCTGGATACAATACCTTTTTTGCCTAAAAGCAAGTACGACACAGCTACTGTCCAATCAGCTTCATGGTCACGCAGCAGCCGGACAGCTGCCTTTATTTTGGTCCGTTGATGGAACAAGTACACTGTCGGCCTTGAAGTTGATTATCTACTAACAAGTCATCCTGCATGCTGCCAGACACTGTATAGTCATCCTTGGAGTTGGCCGCTACAGTTGGCCTTTAACCTTTAGTAAAATTAGACATTTTACTAAATATCAAGCAAGTTTTTACTGAGTTTTGTTTCAATTATTAATTTGGTTCACTCTGAAGTAAATTAATAATCACATTCAATTTTTTTTTTTTTAATCTGAATAGTGTTACTGAACAGAATTTGAATCTGGATCTAGCATGTTGCAGCAAAGACATAACTGTCAACAATCAGCTACTATTAAGATAAGAGATATCTTCTGTAAAAATAGAATATCTTCCATACCTAGCATCTAGCTTTGCTCTTCCTTTTCCTTGAACCTAATTCTACTTTCAGGATGAAACAAAAGACTCGGAATAAGAGGATTCAAAATGGATTTTGCATTATAATTATAGGAGGCTGAGAAAATTCTTGGATGATAGCTCTCAGCTATGTCTCAGCTACATTGACTTTGGTCTATAAAATAATTTAGCTACCTGATTCCTAGGGGAATTCATTGTAGGTCTGTTATTTCTCTATACAATTCATCAGGAACACATAGAAAGGGATTCTAAAAGGATGTCTTTGAGGCCTGAAGAAGAAACTTTTGAAGAAAGGCAATGTCATGTGGAGATTGCAAAATTAGCTTTAAAATAAACATGTGCAGTCAAAAGAGTTCCTGACCTTTCTCTCTCTCCCTCTTCCACTCGGTCTCTTTCTCCCTTTCTCTATGTATGTACGCATGCGCACACACACCACACACACACACACACACACACACACACACACACACACACACACAGATATATATGTATATATAAATGTATATATAAAAGTTTGAGAGGAGTTCTTTCATCTACTGAAGATGAGCATTTCTTTCATCTGATAAAGTCTGAATCACCACTGGTTCAGTTTGGTTTTGACAGCCAGGTTATAGACTAATGAACTTCATTTATTCTCTTGTAGTAAGGAAGTGTTAAAGCTATTTTTTTCTTTATTGATTGAGACTAACATGGGGAGTAAGTTTTGGGGTTTTTTTTACAGCAAAAAGTTTGTATTTTTGAAATTGGTATTTTAAAATATATGGTCAGGTTCTTATCTAGTATTTGAGTTTTATTAATGTAAGAAGATTTTTATTGCTTTCTTTGATTTTCTGTGAGCTGTTTCTCTCTGTAAAATCCAGTGACTTTGAAGCTTGATTCTTAGAAGCCAAAATAAAAGCTTGATTTTTATGTTTAGTAGGACAGCATTGCTTTCACTGCTTCTGAGAAAAAAAAAAAAAAAAAAACATTATTTTTGTTTCTATGTGTGTGAGGGCTGACTATTAATTTGGTTGTATATAACTACTTGTTTTGCAGACTACCAGATTTTTAGCCTTCTGTTAAGATTTTTTCATCCCTGGATAAAGTGTAGGTTACTAATAAATACATTTTGAAATAAAAGCAAATCTTGAAAGATGTCTCAGTAACATGGTAATATCAACCGTTTTTAATTAGTTTATCAAAAATTTCATGATAATACTCCAGTGAAGTACTTCCCAATTTAAGAGAAAATGCTCAGAGTATAAGTGAACCTCTTCTGTTTGATAAAATAAAACAAAACTAAGATATTAAGCTAAATCCAGTACTTCAAGTAAATAAGAGCGGGAGGTAAATAGCAACTTTAGTTCTGGGCAGAACTGTGAATTATCAGGTCCATTAACCTGAACAGATCAGTGTACAAATACAGGTTCACTGCTTCAAACACTCTAAGTTCTGTTGTTTATTGTACTGCATAGAACCAATGAAATAAATGAAAATCAAGTCTGTCATACTCTGTATCTTTTTAACCTGATTTGGCTGAATTTCAGCAATAGTGATATATATTTTTTTTCACAAGTAGCCATTTATTGTGCTAGCATCGTCTATCCTTCCTTGAACTTCAACGATTAATACAGCTAGAGTTGTTTTATATTTTCCAGCACAGCTGTAGGTGGGAGATGAATAACTGCAGACTGTGGTGTTGAAAATAAGAAAACAACTCTTAGGAAAGAGATGAAAGTAAGGTCTGCTGAACAAGACAGCAGGGATGGAGCAAATGTCTTCTTTCATCCCTGCAGGAGACACTCTCATGTTGCGGGGTCCAGCCTTTCCCAACAGTGTTTTAGAGACCAGGGTAAAGCATGTCCCCTTTCTTCTTCCCTAGAGTTGAATTTGGGAAAAAGGCTGTCAGCTATTAAAAAGTTGAGAGTTTTAGGGTTCATTTCTTTAAGTTTCTTCTTCAGCTGCCTTAGATTCAGTCATCTGGGAAGTAATCTGTCCTTGCTTTAGGAGGAGGAAAACATCAGATTGTCTGAACTTGAGAGTGCCCAATTTCAGAGGCTTCAAAATGTAACTAAACATTAACAACAATGTTAACATAAGTTAAATGTAACTAAAAAGTAAAAAAGTTTTACTTTTTTACTATAAAAAAGTTTATAGGATGTTGCATATGTCCTATAAAAAAAGTGATGTGTAGATGTAATTTGTGTGCATATAACATATATGATGCAGTTATATATCTGTTATGCTTAACTGTAGGATAAATAAGAGTATGGAGTTTAAAATATATATATACTAGGCTGTTATTTTATTTTTTTATCTTTATTTTTTCACAAGCTACTTTTATCATATAGCCACCTGCTGTGCATATTTGTAAGGTTTCCTAAAGTCAGTCTGAAAGTCTGTAGCACTTTCAGAAAGAGAACATCAATGTCTTGACTGATAGACTTTGATTTTGAGAAATTCTGTCCTTCTCCATCTGGTAAAATGGCATTATACTGTGTATGGAGACTGAAAAACAGATTTTTTTTTTTWTTATTTTTTTTTAATAAGTTAGCACTGTGTTAGGTTTCTCTGGATCCAAAAGCAAGATAGTCGCATTAGCACAATTGTGCTTCCTGTCCAGTCAGTCCTACTGAGAGTCAAGGCTAATTAGTAACAACAACATGTCAGTCTGAACTATGTCTGCTATTTCTAGGCCACTGTCATAGTACTGCATTGTACACTGTACACATGTCCTTTCTTCCAGCTTTTAGGAGGGATTGACTAGTCTTTATTTAGTCTGAAAAGCACACATCATACAGTATCTCCAGTGTTGAGTGTCATTGCAGAACCTCTCCAGGAACTATTGTTGATAAAAAAAAAAAAAAAAAGGTAGTTCTTTTTCTGAATAATGCAATAATTTAGTTTTTAAGTACAGCCTAAAAAGCCAATATATCTTCTGGAAAGTTTTCTAAAGCAATGAAAGAAGAAAAATATCACGGATCAATAATTTCTGAAGGTTGCACATATATTTTAACGTATATACTTTAGATCTTTTTTTCAACCAGCTTTGTTCCTTAAATATCAGACTTTCTATATTTATAGCAATAAAATGAACAATGCAGAATTTAAAAGCAAGCCAAACCAAATCATATGGCACATACAAATAGAGGACTTGTATATATATTTTAATCAATGAATCCATTTCACAGTGCTCTGTCCAGCCAATGAAATGCGCCTGGATTCAACAGGAATCATTCTGAGCCCTGGTTATCCTGACAGCTACCCAAATCTGCAGATGTGTGCTTGGACCATTACTGTGGAAAAGGGTTATAATATCAGCATGTTCTTCGAGTTCTTCCAGACAGAAAAGGAATTTGATATACTTGAGGTGTTTGATGGTAATTACAGGATGCACAGCTTTGGATTATACTTTCTATATTTATGTGTATTTTCACATTACATTTATGTTGCCACTCCCAAATCACATTATGCATACCATAATGAATTTACGTGTAAAAAAGCAGTTAAATAAGCACATCTTCAGTTTTGTTGTGCTAAAAAGCTTTGTTGGATTATATTGTGCTTCAAGACTGTATTGCATTAGTTATGTTTAAAAACAGTTTTGTTTCAGAACAAAAATGCATTCCGCATTGTATATCATGTAATACTAACTTCCACATTTTAATGTGATTATTTTATCATTTGCTTGGAATATATTCTTAAAGGATGTTAACTGTATGCCCATAATTTACTATATGTGATTTTAAACTTTGTAACTCCTATTTTTTATTTTCTTGCTTATGTCAAGGACCAAACAGTCATAGCCCATTGCTCATTTCTCTCAGTGGGGACTATTCATCTTCTTTAAATATAACTAGCAATAGTCATGAGGTATTCCTCCGGTGGTCAGCGGATCATGGCACAAATAAGAAAGGTTTCAGGATAAGATATATAGGTACGTATATATATATATATTTTTTTTAAATAGCATAATATCTTAATATAGAATATATTTATTTGTGTGAAAAGTATAATATAAGCTATGTTTTGTGGCATCAGATACTCAAACTGAAAGGAATTCCAATTGCTTTGAATGGAGTGTGAACTCAGTGATGCTGATCTTATGTAATAATAATAAAAAAATCTAAATGTAGAGACCACGTACTCTCTTTAAAGATTTAAAGATTATTTAAGGAATAGCTGAACAAAACTTTTGAATGGTAACCTCATCCTTCTGCCCTAATCATTCTTTACTTCCATATATGCATCTCCATCCTTCTTACTGTATGAACTTATGCAATTCAATTTAAACCTTTCTGATGAGTCAGAGAGGAGGTGGCAACAAGTCAAGAATAAAAATCTGTAAGGTTGTGGAACAGAAACCTTTAATACAAAGTTCAAAGGAAGCAGCAAACAGTCTAAGAAAAGTACCTAATTGGTGCCTCATAGGTACCTCTAATTGGTACCTCAAAAAAAAAAAAAAAAAAAAAAAAACCTTGAAAGTGGTACTATTCAAGTAGACTTACTTGCAAACAGGGAGTGAATGAAGGTGACACATTTGACTAATGAATGAATGAAACAGGAATGAATGAAACAGGGAATGAATGAAGGTGACACAAAGACTAATTTTTATATTATTGTTTTATTGGATTATTATGTATTATCTATTTTTGCAGGTAAACAGCACTCCCTACTCAGACTGAGCTAAATCTATTGTAATTTATAGCAATTTCAAAAAAAWTTGAATATGAATTTTGTAGAATGACTAAAGATACAAAACATGAAGAAAGAAAAATATTACGGATAGGAGCTATAGAATATTTTCAGTGTAATTATTGAATTTAATGGTATAACAAATTTTCACTTTAGAAAATTGAGAAAGCGGTAGAGAATAAGTATAATAAAATAGTCCTGTTACAAAAGTCTGATACTCTACTCTGAAGTAGAGTATCAATGTCATCTTTTTCTCAAGAAGGGCACAATTTTCATAGAGCTAAAATATTTATTACAGAGTTGGATAAAACTCACTAGATCCTTTAAAAAGAAGAAGAAAAATCTCTTCAATGTCTTCATAAGATCTGTTTACTGTCAGTGTAACAAGGATATTGGGACTCAGACAGGAATTAACAGCTATGAGTGGTCCGTATCTTTCCACTACCTGGAATATACACCAGTATATTTCCTCATACACTAAAGAAGCAGAGCTGGCTATATCTTTCAGTGATCTTTTTGCTCTTTTAAAGATTTCTAGATGATATTTCGAAAACCTTTTTTTTTTGCATAATATCCAGATAAGAGTTCTGTAGGTCTTCTCAGGTTGTAAATATATCACAAAGAGGAAGATTTATTGCTTTTTGATGTACATTATAGGAATACTCATAAATATAATTAAAAACTTTTATTTAGATCTGCTGGTTCACTGTAGGTTCACAAAGTTATAGAACTTGGACTTTGTTAGGACAAAAAAAAAATCAGAGTTATGTGTAGGATGCCTTTGATGGTTCTTTCTTCAGATCATTTTGTATCCTATAGAAACTTTTGAGATTGGATTAAAATTCTGTGTCTTAAAAAACAAGGTGATAAAAGGTAATTATAGAAGGGAACTACCACCTTGCACTTTCTCCCAAAACACTAAACCCTGAAGACTCTGTTCTTTCACCGTTATTTCACCTTTATAATTAGTGTTTGATGAGTACATGACTAAAACTTCTGTTGATACATTTCTCATCTCATTATCAGATATCCACTCAGTTCAATAAGAGTTTATCAAAAATTGTCGTCTGTCTCCTTAGTGCATCTTTTATTTATTTAATATTTGTGTTTAAAGCTCTCTATTGCAGCACTCCAGAGTCTCCTCCACATGGTTTCATAGTCAGTCAGACAGGTGGGCAGCTCAACAGTATGGTCCGCTGGGCTTGTGATCGAGGTTTTCGGCTCATTGGGAAAAGTACTGCTGTATGCAGGAAGTCTCCGTATGGTTATTATTCATGGGATGTGCCAGTCCCTGCTTGTCAAGGTAATTGTATGATTATAACTTGCAAACTTTTTTTTTTTCTTTTCTAATAAAAGCCATCAATTTTCTGACTGAAAGTGAACATGAGGTGACCATTTAAGGTTCATTCCTCTGTATGAAAATGCAAGCAGGTGATTATTGCCAACAGTATAATAGAGTACTGTGAATGGAGTTCAGTAATGGAAATAGTTGTGCTATTCAAAGATAATACTTCAAGAACAAGTGGAATTAAGTGCTTAGTAWCCTCATGGTGTTTTGATCATAGAAAAACTTCTAGACGTAATGATGTAATGTAAATTTTAATATACATAATAATTTAATAGCTATTAATTATAAYTGTTCATTTAATGAGGGTTAGCTTTGATACATGATATGGACTCCATTTGATTCTTCTAGCAGTTCCTGTATGAACAAATGTTTGTGGTTATAATATCTATGCCCTATTAACATTATTTCCGCAAAAGCCCCTCAGAAATAACCTGATCCAATGCGTCACTGTGTCTGACCTTCTCTTTGCCTTGCCAATGTGAAAATTATTCTGCCTGTGGAATACATATGATACTATCTCTGATATCAAAAATTGGCAACATTATCAGTAAATATCCCTCATGTTCTTTAATAGAAAATATCAAAGATATGTTCCTTTTATTTCTGAAAAGTACAGTTTCGTCACAAAGTAGTTTCCACTCTTTTAACTGTGGATTCATGGGTTTTAGAACTTTGTGACAGTCATTATAATTGCCCATCACATTTTTAATCTTTTCAGTTTATTCTGCTTCACATTTTCACATTTATAGCGTAACTACAAAAGGCAATTTAACCAGTTATTTCACACGACCCATTTTTGCCATGGATGTGCCCTTTGCACTGTGCCCATAATAAAAATGAGGCACTTGTATCTTTCTTTTTAATATGAGAAAATTAAGACCAATGCAGCCCATTTTAATCTATGCCTGTTTTACTTAAACAAAGACTACTGGTCAACTCCTTGCACCTGGAGTACTATGTGCAGTTCTGGGCTCCCCAGTATAAGAGGAACATGGAGCTTCTCGAGAGGGTCCAGAGAAGAGCAACTAAGATGATTAAGGGAATGGTACATCTCTCGTACAAAGAGAGGCTGAGTGAGCTGGGCCTGTTTTCTCTGGAGAAGAGAAGGCTSAGAGGGGATATGATTAATATGTATAAGTTCATGAAGGGAGAATGCAGGGAGGAAGGGGACAAGCTGTTTTCACTGGTGGCCAGCGACAGGACGAGGGGTAATGGCCATAAGCTGGAGCACAGGAAGTTCCGTCTCCAGGTGAGGAGGAACTTCTTTCCTGTKAGGGTGACAGAGCAGTGGAACAGGCTGCCCAGCGAGGTTGTGGAGTCTCCTACTCTGGAGGTCTTCAAAACCCACCTGGATGCCACCCTGTGCCACGTGCTCTAGGTGTGCTTGCTTGAGCAGGAAGGTTGGACTAGATGATCTCTAGAGGTCCCTTCCAACCTTGAATATTCTGTGATTCTGTGATTCTGTAACTCACTGTAGTTATTTTCCTATAGGAAATAAGAAATCTCAGGAATCAAAAATTGAGAATTAATATATTGCCTCTAGAATCAAAACAGCTTGTATTGTTTTTAAAAATGCTATCTCAGTTTTTCTTCAGGTAGTTTTTTACTGCTTGGTTTTCTTGACTTTATTTAAACCAGTGCTTTCTCTCTACATTTTTCATCTGTACAATTATTGAGTCATCACTCTAAATTCCCTCCTGTAACTAACGAATGCCAGTAGCCTTTTTCACTGCTGCTTTTTGTCAAGATTGAATGTTATGTTCAAGTAACACATTTTTAATGTTCTCATTCTTTCATCTCTATGAATAGAAATCTTGATCTCTAAACCTCTAAATATATAATACCAGGCATTCCTCAAATCACATGCATTACAGAACTTCAGCTGAAAAATCCAGATAAACACTTCAACCTCATGAAAGCCTTTTTATATAATGTATAGACCCAAATATATCTTAGCTGGGAATACTCAGTACAGCAGTGAGGAATCAGAAGGAAAGGAAAAGCCTCCATCTAAGAGATCAGCATTTAAATGAAATCTCTTTCAAAGTTAATAGAAAATTGCTTTCTCTCCACCATGAAAATTAAAAGACATGTTATTCAAAGTCTAATATAAGTATTGTAGTGATAATGTTATTCAAAGTCTAATATAAGTATTGTAGTGATAATAATTACTATATTATTACTATATATTACTATATTACTACTATATTACTACTACTGTGTTACTATATTAATACTATATTACTATTGTATTACTACTATTATAATATTACTACAAACTTTACTGTTTAAATTTTTAGGTAGCATCTCTCTTTAAATAAATAAATAAATTGCAATGTGAAGGTAATTTCTGTCCATGCATCCATCCCTGTTTTAATGATACCAAAACTTCGAAATTATAAAACAATAAAAATTTCAAAGATTCTAGTGACTAACAAAATTATGAAAATTGATTATGATAAAGGTTTTAAAGAATGAGAATTAACATGCTGTGAGAAAGAAAATTAAAGCTTTATACTTCATACAAATGTGAGCATACTTACAATGATAAAGACTCTCAGTAGCTTCAAGGTATTTTAAAGGATTTGTTATTGTTTACATTTTACTTTTAATCCCAGCATTACATGATCCTTAGTTTTAATTATAAAATGTTTCTCTTGCAAATTGATGTTTTCTCATACAGGTCTCGTCAGAAATCAATATTAATATTTTGTAAATTCATAAAAGGATTACAGGCAAATGATTTGGCAGAAATTGTAGTTCAAGATGTTGATTAAACAAAAATTCTAAAATAAATTAGAATTCACCTCAGTAATTTTGATCAGTAAAGGTATCTCAGTCATATAAATTGTTGCACTTGTTAAGCAGATGACACTAAGGCATACCAAAAAAAAAAAAAAAAAAAAAAAAAGACCTTAAAGGTAAAATTGTGCTATTCCAACAGTTATTTACACATATGGTTTTCTTAGAAATGGTATTTTGGGCAGATATAATGCTAAAGTGCGCTTATGGTAGTCTGGGATCAAATGTCTGATGTGGAAAAAAAATGATGTTTATAAAAAAAACCTCCTAAGTTTATATGTTTTTTAAATATGCTTGTTATTTTTGAAATACTAATATTAACATACGTACAATTAGTTAACTATAGTAATTAGCAATTAATACAAATATTTTAATGTTAAGTCTTTTTTTGTGTTCATTAAAAATAACACAGTTAATCCAAAATGCATAAATGTACTGGGATACCAAATACCAAATCTGATTCCTTTTAAAATTGTATTCAAGGCAATTTACAGAAAACTTAGTTTTCATAATATTTCTTCATTCTTCATGGGTCAAATGTCCAAATAATTAAGTTCGGAGGATTATGCTGCTAAAGATTTTCAGAAATTGTATTGCCTGTATTTGAAATGCTTCTTGTAAAGGAGTTGTGCTTTAATGTTATCAGCTCTCAGCTGATTTTACTTGGCGTTGATGCTCAGTATGTTTTCTCCAGGAAGAGTAGAAGGAACCTACACCTATGATGTATTATTTTTATTTTTTAAGAAGTCAGTCAGTGTAAATCCAAAAATCAAATATACTTTGTACAAAGGATAGTATTTTTTTTGCTTGAAAAAAATGGTCTTTGTTGCAGAAGAGTTTAATTGTTCCTTAACGTTTAAATAAAGATTTTTAAAAGCTTTATCCCAGTCCCATAGTAATCTCATACAAGTCTTCAGTAGGTCCTAGTGGTCTTCGAAAACCAATAACTTAGTGACTTTCAAGGACTTCATATGTAAATCTTTGAATTTGGARCTGTATTCTGAAGTTGGTGGACAAAAATGTATTTTAGTCACTTTTAGACTATACCATTCTAAAATCAGTTTGCAAAGATGTGATTTGTAATACCTGATTTGGTATATGATGATTAAACTTTTCAGACAACCTATGTTGCTCTGTTTTTTTTTTTTTTTTATTTATTTTTTTATTTTTTTTTTTTATTTTGTTTTTTGTAAACTTTGGATATTTCTTATTTGTCCTTTTTTTCTTTTTTTTTTCTTTTAGGTGTTCAGATAAAGCAATAGCTTAAATAAATCCTAAATTTCTGTGCATACAACTAAAGTTCAGCTTATTATTTCTGACTACTAAAAGTCTCAATAAATCCTTATTAGCTTTAGTGTTCATATGAAAAAGTTATCAATGATTTGGGATGAAACTTACTTTTTAATAATTTCATGTCAAGAGTAAAATACATTTTTCTTATGGCAAAGATTTTATATTTTATTACAAAATTGATGCTATTAAATGGATGGTCTTGCTCAAATTTTATCTAGTTAATTTATTGATAGAAACTAATATGGAAGGAATCATATTGATCTCTGTAATTAATATGAAATTTATGAGATGTATATGAAATATCTGAGATGGTTGCATATTTTGCTGAATGCTAAAAGGGATAGAATCTGTAGTATGTGCAAAAGTAGTGCTATGGCATTTGTTGGTCTTCAGGGCCGTAAGTCACTTTGGGCTGTTCTAGTTTTAATACTGGGATGGAAATTTTGTTAATAGTGGTAGTGGACGGGGTTCTGAAAGCTACTTCATAGTGTGAAACTTCTTTTTATCATAGATACATTTATAGGAAGGAGGTAGTATACCTGGGCAATAAAAATGTATTGATTTACAGATTAGGGAAAGATGAATTATGGAGTTTGAGATATGATAAACATCATCTATCTCATATGTTTTCATTCTAGTATCAGGAGGGCTTTGTATCTTTCTTTGGTAGTATCAGGAGCAGTAGTAGAGTTTTGTCAGATGTTTTCTCAAAGCTCTCCTGGACCATCTCTTTAGTTAATTTGTCACTCGATCTTAAAATTATGGAATGGTGAGAGGTGAAAGTCTGACATGTCGCTTTTGATACACAGTATTTTACTAGGATCAGCAGATTTTCGTGTACCAATCTTTGCAGTAAGATTTAGTGAACTGTAAACTTCTCAAAGTTTTCTTTGGTATGCTTGAAATTCAGTGGAATTCGGTGACAATCCCAAAGCCTTGACTGCACCCAAAACACTATTTTTCTCTTTTCTTTCTGAAAGCATYTGTCTCCAGTTGTCAGTAGATATAGTGACAGCTGTGAGGTATATGTTTTATAGTGGCTTAGACATGGTGTTGAACAAACTAATGATAGTTTTTCTGGATATTTTCAATACAATGTGTTCCATTTTTAGCTTCACATGCCATATGTGATTTCTTTTTATGGAAACTAAGCCTATTACATTTGGCTTTGTATTGATTCATTCAATTTGCATTGATTTTATCCTGTTTAGCAAGTTGTGATAGTGCTAGTGATTTTCCTCTATCTTAGTCATGATTGTTATTTTCAGTGCAGTGGCCTTTGATGCTGTCATTATATTGCCTATGAAGGAGATTTATCTTGCATCAGATCAGCTCACAGTAGGGACAACTGCAGACTCTCTCTGTCCGTACGTGTTGCAAGAGGGTCCAAGAGGCTCTTGGATTTATACATAGTGCAAGAGGGGCCAAGAGGCTTAACTTGTCATATCTATGTACAAATCCGCTCATAGGATTCAAGATTCCACTTCAAAGTAAGGTATTTCAATGCTAAATTAAAAGTTCTTTTCTTTTGGATTTGTCCTGTGTCAAAAGTGATGTTAAAATGTAGAAAAGTTTCAATATTTGTTCTATACCAAAAGAAGAGAAAGTATTATATAGAGTCATATCTTCTCTTTATGCTTTTTCTCTGTTGTTATTAAACAAAGAAATGAACAAGAAACATTGATCGCATTTTCATTTACTAATTTACAAAGAGTACGTACTTTGTTTCAGCTTTGCAAGAACTAAAATAGAAAGTTGAAAGTGCCTTGTCAAAGGTTACGTAGTGCATCTGGAAGAAACCATAAGTACAAACTAGATTTCTAGTGTCTTAGTTCGGTGGTTTGTGCATTCAACTACGATGATATATATATTTTTTCTGGAGATTCTGTATTGTGTCTTCTGTGGTTAACTTCTGCACTTTAAATGGATAGCTGCAAGTTTATGAACCATACTCCTTATTTCTACCTTTTCCACTGAAGATGTAATGGTCCAAAACTTCCTTTTATCCCTTAATTTTTCCTTAATTTAAAGAGAATTAATACATCTAGGCTTAAATACACATTAATAAGCTAAAGATATGTTTGTATGAATGTGTATGACTGTTGGTACCACAGTGTGTAAACCCTCTGAGGCAAGAGGCAGCTTACAGGGAAGAATCAATACAAATATTTTTGTTTCTCTTTAATTAGCAATATCTTGTGGAATTCCTAAAGCTCCAGTAAATGGTGGAATATTAACCACAGATTACTTAGTTGGCACCCGCGTTACTTACTTTTGCAATGATGGGTATAGACTATCAGCCAAAGAACTTACTACTGCAGTCTGCCAGCCAGATGGTACATGGAGCAATCACAACAAAACACCTCGCTGTGTAGGTAAGAAATAGATACAAATCTACAATTAATAAGAACCTGGCTGTACTTTGGTTTTGTTTCTCTAAGACAAAAAAAAAATTCAATAGTTAAACTTTCAGCTTGTTTGCTCTAACCTGTGAATCATGGGTGGCATTAGGCATTTTAATAAGAAATATATTGAAGCCTTCTGTGACAACAGAAGAAGGTTGCTACACATCATAGAGTACATTCAAACTGATAATTTTCAGCTAAATCAAAGTTTATGGTTACAGAGGTTTATGCAAAATTGGTCTCTTTAGAGAGTTCCTATGCTGAAATATATGTATATATATAAATGTATATATATATATAWAAAATATACATATATATGTAAAAGGACATTCACTATCCAGAATTGCAAAATATCTGGTATTTCACAATTCTAATAAGCAACTGCTGATTATTTGTATCCAGCTCATCATTATAGGGTCTGGATACATCATCTAAACTCCAAGGAACATCATTGCAGGGAAAATGCATGTTCAGTTCCAGGGAAAAGCAGATTTCCAAAAAAATTGTAAGTGGGATGTGAAAACATAGGTGAACATAAGAATGACTCAGAAATGTCAGACAGAGAATTATATGTCCATTAAGATTTACAGCACCTCTCTTCACTGAGTTGAACAAGTGAGTTCACTCAGTGAACTTTGGAGAAGGAAACTGCTTTATAATAATTTTAGGATTTTCACTTTTTTTCTGTTTTTTTCCGTGTTCTTTTAAATTAATAAATTCCTCATTGCCTTTTTTCTCTATCTAAAGAAACAATGTGGATAGGCAGAAAAAGAGATAGAAAAGATTAATTTAATTTATTTATTTGCTTATTTATTTTTGTGATGACAAGAACATGTAGAATTCGAGGCAAGAGAAAAATATTTTTTCTGCTGAGAACCAATCCTGAATATGAATATTAATTTTCCTGTCAACAACCCAAATTAAACTCAAAATGTCATAGACTATGCTTAGGTAGAAAGTAATTCTTGAATTAAAATTTAGCTAGCTAGCATTTCAATAAATATTCTCATGACTGGTCAGAAGTGGCATGGTAATTTCACGGCAAAGAACGTACACCGATTTTTTTTAAAGACCCTCGCTCTTCTTCATCTCTAAGATATGTTTCTGAATGAATGATTGTACATATTTTCCTGATTTCAATGTACTAAGCCAGAAATAACTGTGTGTGKTTTTTTTTTAAAGTTGTTACGTGTCCAAGCATCAATTCTTTCACACTGGAGCATGGAAGATGGAAAATAGTGAATGGTTCACATTATGAGTATAAAACAAAAGTAGTTTTCAGCTGTGATCCAGGCTACTATGGCTTGGGACCAGCATCTATTGAGTGTCTTGCTAATGGTACCTGGAGTTGGAGAAATGAGAGGCCTTACTGTCAAAGTAAGTACATGCTGTATTTGTCTTACAGAGTATGTTATATCTATCTGTCTACATCTGTATCTATAAACCTCCTCTATGTAGATTTCAGGTAAAAAAAAAATTCATTTGGCTTACTTAGAAATTTAGAAACTTTTCTCAGACGCAGTTCCTCTGTATCTGGGAAGCTATTATGTGTAAATAGTCTTAGTGACAAGGAAATGTCTCTATGCACACTTCTGTATTTTATATTCCCTGTCCCTAAAAAAGGCACAAAGGCGTATGGTAGCTAAATGGCAAGGAATTCCATGAAAATGGTTTATTTATTATTGCAATGTATTGTGAGAATGGAAGGGCAAGTGTTATGGTATGAACTAAAAGATAAAAGTTACATCTTCTCAGAGAAACAAAAATGTAATTTCCAAAATATTAACAGCATTAATACTGAAATAACTTTTAAAAATATGAACAAAACCAACATGATTAAGTAACACTTAGTCAATAACATTCTGAGCATTATTTTTTTTTTTTAATTCTACTTTAAAAAAAAAAAAATGAGCATTATTCCTGTGGAAATATTAGACTTTGTAAACAGAGCTTTTCATTTCCAAGTGTCACAGGTTGAAGTGTATATATATATATGTATATATATAGTTTACATATATATACACTTAATACACTTATTAGTATTACATACTGTTATATATGTGTTTGTGATAATCAAATACTAACTTCTGTTTTGGTTTGTTTTTGCTGTGAAGTTATTTCTTGTGGAGAACTTCCAACACCTCCAAATGGAAATAAGATCGGAACTCAAATCACATATGGATCTACAGCTATATTTACTTGTGATTCAGGATATATGTTAGTTGGCTCTACTGTAAGGGAGTGTCTGTCTTCTGGACTCTGGAGTGGAATTGAAACCAGATGTCTAGGTATGAATAATGATGTCAAGGCTTGCCTATTTTCTTCAGCAAGGCAAATCAACCTATCTCTTTTCTTTAGCTTCTCAAGCACAGGTATTGAAGAGAATTCTGTATTTTATAAATTTGTGTGGATGGATTACTTTCCTTTTGCAAAGATAACTGTAGTTTCATTTCCAGAAATTGGATATATTTTTCCAATATCTAGTCTCCATGAAAAGCTTGTGTCATGGTATTGCTACATATAACTCTGAAGTTGATCCATGCATACATAGTAAGTCTGGTAGGCTCCAAAAGTGTCAGCTTTAATAATTACCACTAGCAAAATGACTGCATAGGAGAATTGAGCTCAGTTGTAACAGAATTATTTGTACACATGCAATTGAAATAGAACTTAAAATATTAGTGTGGAAATTTGAACATGAACATTGAAGCTTTATTGCTGAGTAGAAATTACTCTACAGCTGATATTTATAGAATTTGACAACTCCTGTACACATGTAGGCAGTTTCACTTAAATTACTCAGACTGCAGTCCCTCAGTTGCTCATGAATAAAGCATGCATGTTATCTCTGTAAAGCAATTTCAGGGCTTCTTTTTAATGTGTTACTGTGAAACATACCTTATTTTGGATTATTGTTTTAACTTTAACATCAGTTTTACCTCTATACACTCTATCGATATGGTATTTTTGATTCAGTTGAAATAAAAGTAATGATAGTGTTCGTACTTCAACATGGGGTATGAAAGTCATATTGTCCCTTGGTACTTGCTTGAGCATGAAAAAAGAAAGATGAAAAAAAAAAAAAAAGTGTCTTATATATACATAAGATATGTTGGTTTATTCTAAAATCCCATTTCAGATCTCTGTTTATCTTTCTAGACTACATTCCATCCAAAATAATTTTCCTTCTATAGTCCAGCTTTCTTTTTTTTTTTGGTACAAATCTTCCTGAAAGCTTAAACTAAATTAATAAGCAAAAATGTTACCTGTTAAGATATATATTCTTATTATATTTTCTTAGATTTTTAAATTGGACATAATGGTAAGACAAGGTACACCTGGTTATTTATTGTGTAGAGAAAAGGATCAGCAAATTTCCTGACAAATGCCCAACAAAATTTCTGTATCACATCTCTGTCTGAAATTTTGTCTGAGCAGCAACTATATTTATTATGTAAAAAGAATAATTTTGTTTGCTTTCAGTTAGTGACAAGAGTAAGAATGTTACATAAAAAATATACATTTATAAGTAGAAAAATATTGTAAAGGTTTTCTTTTTGTTTTCTTATTTTTATGTCAATCATGAACTATGAGTTAGCCAACATCTAGAACAGGAGCAGTAATGTAGATTATTTTGTGCTTATCATAGTACTTTCGTATTTTTAATTGAAATATGAGTGATGAATACAATCTCACAGTGTTTCCTGAAGTTTTGGCTAAACAGAGATTTTTTTTTCAACTTCTGCTTCACTAGCTCTGTTTTTAGAAATTCTGCTAATCCAAAGGAGATGCTCTAGATGAAGTTTTATCAGAGGATCAYTGCTATTACAGCATAGTTATCTGGGGAGGTTTTAACCTTTACCCTCTGCTAATGTAGCTTGCAAGGAGGAAATGCATAGATTTCTTCAGAGATCTGCATCATGTTTATATTCAATATGGAAATAAATTTATTTGGGAAGTCATGTATTATTAAATGAATTTTCTTTTTTGGATTTTGGATCTCTTTGGATTTTGAAATGTATCCTATAATATTTTTATTTCTGTTTCAGAAAACCTGGTTACAAAAACAAAGTGAAATTAAACAACCAAAGCGTAGCATGGAAATAGCAATTTTGTAAAGCCAAATTCTACTTAAAAGCAGCAACAGGCTTCTTAGCTTTTTCCAAAGTATTCATATTCCATTCTGAGACCTTACTCATTGTTAATGTAATCTACCAAGCTTCATAATTATCTGTGAGGGAGTTGATTTTATTATGTTTCTAACAATAGTGTTGTATGAATGAAAGTAATTTTTGGAAGATGCTTGGACATCACACCAATGAAAACCATGTAAAAACAGGATAAGAAAAGATAGGTTACCTTCAACTAATTGCAGAACCCATTATAGCAAACATATCTTACCCAAAATTCTCTTCTTGATTGATTCATGAGCGTATTCCAAGGCCTTCATATTTCTTCAGAGGCCTGACTCCTTTCTCAATCAAAACAAACAATAAAACAACAAAATAAATAAACATAAAATATGATCTCCTTAATAGGTCTACAGTCATGATTTAAGATATTATTACATTTATATATTTTATATATACATTTTATATTTTTATTTATATTTTATAATTTTAAATGTTATATTTTTATGCATTTTATATATAAATTTTATATTTTAAATATTTGCTTTAGCATAAGCATACACTTGGAAAAATCAGTCATCCCTTATGAAACACTAAGCATCCATATGAATTAAACTGCAGAAATAACAAATGAAGTTTACTTGATCAATAGGCTATTTGGAAAAGTTTTTGATTATATTACTAATACTAGAGGTATTGACAAAAAGCTGAGATAGCAAGCAGAGAAATCTAATTTGATTAAATGCTATTAAGTGTCAGCATTTATTCATACTTGCAACACAGTGTTTTCTGGAATGCCTTCTATCTCTTCTAAGAGAAATAATAGACTTTTCACATAGTGGCTTTGCCTACATTGGCCAATAACCTAGTACAAAGGAGCAGATCATGAGACTGAAATAGCTGATGCTGAGTCCCCCATATCTACATTACCTATGTTTCTGAGATTTTTCCTTGGATAATATTTATCATATGTATAGGTACCTGAAGGGAGAATGGAGGGAGGATGGGCCCAAACTTTTCTAGATGTTGACCAGTGACAGGGCAAGGGATAATGGGGACAAGTTGAAACACAGGAAGTTCCACCTTCATATGAGGAAGAACTTCTTTCCTCTGGGGGTGACAGAGCCCTCAGAGAACAGGCTCTGCCCAGGGAGGTTGTGGAGTCTCCTTCTGTGAGGTCTTCAAAACCCGCCTGGATGCCACCCTGTGCCACATGTCTTACATATTCCTGCTGGAGCAGGAGGTTAGACTAGATGATCTCTAGAGGTCCCTTCCAACCTCAACCATTCTGTGATTCCTAAAGCTAAATCTCCCAGACTTAGAATCACAAACCCCAGATTCCTAAAGCTAAATCTCCCCAGTACTCATATAGTTTTAAGTTAACAAAAGGTATTGTTATTCATTTAGACCCCATTGTGCAAAAGGGGTTAGAATGTAGTTTTGAGGCTCTTAGAGATGAGCCTTTTATGTTTGTCCTCTGAAAGGACTGATGATTACATGGAGGGTTTATGAAATGTTAATATAGACAAGACGTGGAACCTCAGCATTTTTAGATCAGTTTTTCTTGATTCTCTTTTTCTTTGTTCATGCACAAGTTCCCTTCCTAGGCTCTAATAACGCTTTTGTGACACCACCTGCACGTGAGAAGGATGTTATTCAATAGTTCCATAGAGCAATGTGTTCAACAAGGTGAAAGTAACAGCTAAGACCACTGGGGTAGTGCAACCATGTCTGTTGATAATGGCAAGCACTCAATATATACATATTTACAGATATGCAATTTACGTTTTTGAAAGAGCAAAGTAGAGAAGTAGAGCTGGAAAGATACCTTCCATTCTTATCTTTGACAGCAACAAATGTGTACTTTGTAGTGGAGAATATCTTCGTGTTTCTATCAGATAAAGACAAGGAACTTTGGTATTTATGTAAAAAAAAAAAGGTCTTTGTTAACTTTCAGTCACTGAAAAATTTCCTTTTTCTATGGCTATGTATCCTCTGAGAAATAGCCTTTCTGCCAGCATTTTCTTCCTAAGTACTTTAGGAAAGATATACAAGCAAGTATCTTTTTCCTCCTCTTCACAATTTTTAAACAATTCTTTTAATTAGAGATTTTTCAACTCTAAGCGAATCTGTCTCTCCAGTGGTACTGATCTAATATTCCTTGAGTTAGCTTTATTTTTTTTATGCAACTGCAGTATGAAATTCTCAGAATAACTAGGTTTTCAAATATGTTGGAAGATGTCTTTCCTTTAAAGAGTTATTCATTATTCATTTTAAGGAATTCCGCAGAGAACTTGAGCCATGGATTTAAAAGATGCCAAAGATATTAACTATTTGTCTGTTTTACCATGATTTGAAGAGCTGACAAAGGGAGGATCTTTCGAAATTAGTAGGAGGGGGACCCAAGATAGTATTTTCAAGACTTTAACAGTCTGATTTCAATAGTGTTTTCTGATTTCAGTAGATTTTCTACGAAAGTTGTATGCAAACAGAAGTATACAGCATAATATACCCTTATCAGAAATGGAAGCTCTGTAGAGAAGAAAAGAATTTAAACATGAGGTTCAAATTATTCTTCCCTCCTCAGTTGAGGTCACCCTGACAAGTTAATTAACATTGTTGTTGAATAATAACCTAGATCTACTTTTTTTTCCAGAAATATATTGATATGCTGATTTCTTTCAGTACTATGCTGGTGTCTGACATTATTGATATCCAAAATAAGCATAGATACCTTTTTGTAATTTATTGTAAAGACTCTGTATTTGTTTATTCCTTCCCTCACGTGTCAGAAAGCAGCTTTCATTTCACGTAAGCTGAAGTTTCAAAAGGTTCACACACTCAGTTACTATGTCACTTTTCCTTTGCTGGAGCTCCAGCAACAACTCCTAACTTTATGTCAAGTTAGGTAACTTATTTGATGCTCACATTTTAATAATATCTTTCACTGACATTCTTTGGCTAATTTTGTTATTTACAAAGTAATACTGCACTGTGGTTATCTTTCTCAAGCTTTGCTAGGGTAGAAATTGGTAAAATTGCCATCCTCATTTTTCCCTTCATCTCAGTTACTCATTAAAATTTCTACGCTGATTTTTTTCAGCATTCACTGTGAAGTTAACTAGGGTACCAAGAAGATTTTGATTTTTTTTTTTCTACTATGAGAATTATCATAACCTAGTTTTTATAAATCAACAATTGAGAACTTTTCTTATCATTTTCTAATCTTATTCCAGATTTCCTTTAACAATAACTCAGTTCCTACTGCAGCAAAGACCATATTTGTTATGTACTTGTACTTATTTAGGAATATATCATGGATTTTTTTTTCTTCTCTCACTTTCGTGTTCTAATAAATTGAGCCAAGAAGAATGATACTGATCTTAGCATTTGAACTTCTTTCTGTGTAACTTCTTTCTGTATCCGTCCTGTATCCCCAACAAATCTTATATGATTATTTTTTATATTTTGCTTTATAATAGCATTCTAAGATGACTAAAATAGTTGTATACTTTCTTGTAATTCATCCTAAAATTAGAATTTTATTTTAGGAATAAAGAAACTATACTCCATTAGATAGCAACATCACTATTAACTCTTCCACCATGATAAATCAGTATTCAGTGTGTTATAATTTTTCCTTGAGTATGGGAGGACTTAAAAAAAAGAAAAAAAAGAAAAAAAAAACTATCTGAAACTCTTTCTTCTGCCAATTGCAATTCTTTACTTTCTACCTCTGTCTTTTTTATCGTGTTCATACTTGCAGAAACCTCTCTCAGTATGATACCCATACTGAAGTATTTGCATTCAGTCTCCAGAACAAACATTCTGCCTGCAGAGTTTACGTCTTGACCAATTTCGTAAATGGCTTGCATTTTGGGAGATTATTTTAGCTATCTTATCTCAAAAGCTAGATGCACCTTACAGTTATGTTGGATGAAAGGTAGCTATTATAACAGCAGATTTGTGATTTTATTCAGTTTCATCATACCAGATTTCAGAGCAGAACTTTTCTCCCCTAATGATTCAGTTGGGAAAACTACAGAATATTTCCCAATATGAAAAGCTTTTTGAAATGATATTCCTTTATAACTTTGCACTATTTTGTGTAGAAGTGAAATTCTATATTGTTACTTACAACCAAGGAGTAACCTTATCATCGATGTGACAAAAACAATATCACAGAATATGAGCAAGTGAGGGCAAAAGAGTTTTGAGGATACAACTCTGAACACAAATGAAGATTAAGGCTGATATTTTATGCCTTTCCACAGAAGTATGTCTCTTGATATTCAGAAACAATTGTAGTTTCTCAGCAAAATGTAACTATACAGGTCCAGTCTTCTCTATATCTATATACATACACACATGCGCGCATATATACACACACTCAGATAAATACATCAAAAGCTACATTGAATGGTGCTTCAAAGAATCATATCAAGCTTTCTTAATGAGAAGAGGGAAATATTTTTATTTGGCATGAATTTCTTAAGACTTTAAAATGGAAGTTCTGAAAAGCAATTCATGGAAGAAAGATTGTAAAAGCTGCAGACATAGAAATAATGGATATGCACATGTTAATTTGAAATGAGCATTTTGGATTTTTTTTCACACATATATGAAGAAAAAATGATAAAAATGATAAAAAGTAATATTTCTCCTAAAAGTTGTCAGAAGTGAATTAGTCTCATTTACAGAAGAAATGAGAAATAGAATAAAATTGAATAGAAAATAAGTAATAGTCACTCTCAGATTTTGTCCTTTTCTCTTCTACTTTTTGTCTTAGTATTGAAGAAGTATCAGGAGCTACTATTGCAAGTAAAGTTCTTAATTTCCTTTGAAAGAGACCAGTTATGTGGATGTGTGTAATAAAGTGGAAATATAAAGCAAATAAACCAAAAAAAAAAAAAAAAAAAAAAAAACTGAAAAATATTAATGAGCCTCTGCCTTTATTGCAAATGAGGGAATTTATCCAGCTTGCATAAATTGCAGTAAATTTCAGTAATGTTCTCCAAGGTTCCCTAATCAGGAACAATGTATGCCATTACGGACACTTTCTATGCCAGATACACTTAACTGGCTACTATGTGCACCTACATGACAGATGGTGTTTTGAAAATGAAACAAATAGGGCTGAACCCATCTGATCTTTTTTTGTTTTCTTTTGTTTTACTTTGTTTTGTTTTGTTTTTATATCTCAAACAGAAAGATTTCTACTGGAAAGCAGAATGAGAACCAGAGATAAAGCCTACAAATCCTAAATGTTTTTTATTTGTTTTTTTTTTTTTTTTGTGCATTTTTTTGACATTGAGATGAAAAATGTGTCACAGGTGTCTGTCATATCCTGTTATTAAAAGATATGTATTTCCTTAAAACTTAATTAATTATTAATTACTAGTTGATACAGTTTTGAACTAACAGATCTACATTTCCTTTTGTAATATTTTTATTACAATTGAGTTTCTCAATTATTTTTTCTCTTCAGTTTAGAAATTTTAATGAGAATAGAATTAGACTCTACTATTCACTTTTCTATTAACAAATAGTTTACAATTAGTCATGGAATGCAGCTGATGTTCCAGAGATGTAAATGTTACAGATTAGGTGTGTATAATCAAGACAGAGAGATTTTGAGTCCAAAACATCTGAGCTGTTTATGATACTGACAGAAAGTATCTCAACAAGGTGGGAATTTTAAGCAATGTTAAACTTGGTCAAGTTAGACATTACTGCAAGACTTCTGGTTGATTTACAGTGAATTTTGCACCTACTCCAGCAGCATGTTCTTTATGCTGTCCATATACAGTAACAGTGGTCACCTGCTTGTCTCAAGTAAAGAACCAAAGTTACTCCTTTCCAGTGATTTATTCTGATTCCACTCTACTGCTGTAACACAACATGAAAGTCTGAATTAAAGGCCAGATGAAGTATTGTAAATTTATCAAACGACCCTTGGGCAAAGTTAGATTGTTGTCTTTCTTTGTATAAGAGATAACATCTTCTGTAGACAAATAAGCATTACTGTAAAAAAAAAAACAAGTAGTTATCAACTTTTGAACTAATTAGTTGCAATTAGAAAATGATTGCTCTGAACATAGTCAGTACTACCACAACTTGTTTGGTTAACCTTCTGATAGAGAGTGGATCAGTTCAGTTTTCTGATTCCAGAAATACAGGATTCCAGCTCAATTTTCACTACTCTGCCTCTTCACATACCAGTGTAATAAGATGGTGAATTTGCGCTCTATGAGGCACATTGAATAAAATCTAATACAAAGTGAACAAATTATGAATTACCTAGAGAATCAAGTGAGACTCTGTACATTTATAAACATATATTAGGACACTTTCTTTTTCTATAAAATATAACATTTCAATATAAGAAAGATTTTAAGAATGCTTGGTCCTCATGTAACACTGTGATAAGTGGAGAGGGAACCAGAGGGATATTGTATTTCTGTTCCTCATAGAGAATTGGAATCATACCCATCTATTTAATTTATGCAATGATCCATATACTGCCTATAAATTCATGGCTTTATCATGACTCAAAAAATGAAGCACAATACAAAGCCCAAGATGCCAGAGGCAAAAATAAGAAAATCACAGATTTGCAATATTTTTTTTCTACAAGAAGTTTCTAGCCACCAAACAAAAGAAAGAAAATGCTTTAAAAGTGGCATGAGAACTGAATGTTCTAAAAGGAAACACAACAACAACAGCAACCACCACCAATATTACTTCTAAACCTCTTTTCTTAGTTGCAATTCCATAATTTTGGGGGTTGATATTTTGTGGGACGAAGAGAAAAAGAGGGCAAAAGCAAGCACAGGAGTCTTGGGTGGCTGATAGTATTTTATTCTCCAATGTACTAGATGAAACTGCTCATATTCCTCACCTTCCTTGCTTGTTATTGCAGTTAGTGCTTTATGATATATCCCAGTCCCTACGAGCTCATATATTCTCATAGGCCTTTCATTACCACATTATTTTTTTAAGTTTAGTGCCTAAGGACTTTCTAGAGTTCATTAAGAAATATACTAAAAGAAATGACACTTCTTTTTCCATCTTTCCTCTAGATTAAATTTGTGTTTGTGACTCTCAATCACTCATAGTGTATCAGTATTTACTTTCATAGTGTAAATAAAATAGTTCAGATATTTTGAGTATGCTAGGACCAAGCTTAGTCCAAGGCAGCAGTGGTTTTTTAGTTACAGGATATTTGCAGATAATCACATGGATGACCTTAGCCCAAAAATATAAGTCTTATAGAATTTCTCTTAATAGGAGAGAAAGAATGCCCTAGAAGACAATCCTGAGCCGTCATCCAAGGATTTTTTGTTTGTTTGTTTTTATTTTTCTTTTTTCTTTTTTTTTCCATTATAAGTCAGGCTATATTTATAATATGTCCTCAGTAATTTTTATTGATGAAATATTTATATTTATATGGATTTACATTTATTTTTTTTAATAAAAAGAAAATGCTTATATTTTGGAAAGGAGATATGATAACATAAATGACATGTAATCTCTTTGTTTCACTGTTCTTTTTCCCTGACTTTTTAGTTGTGTAGATCTTACACAATCTTACAAATGCACTTCTGTATTTTTATCCAAGCTAATATAAATGAACTCTTGAATGGAGTTAATAGAAAAAAATGGAAGTAGTTGAACATTTCTTTGATTTAATTAAGAAGATATAATTAAATTGTCTGACACATTTACTGATTAGTTTTGTTTGCTTTTATTATTTACTTTGAAAATTGTAGCTGGCCACTGTGGAATTCCAGATCTTATTGTCAACGGTCAAGTAATCGGAGAAAATTATGGATATAGAGACACAGTTGTATACCAGTGCAGTCCTGGTTTTCGGTTGATTGGTTCTTCTGTACGAATATGCCAGCAGGATCACAACTGGTCTGGACAGCTTCCATCCTGTGTGCGTAAGTAAGCGTGACAATATATATTACACTTGATCTTTTGATACTAAATACACGTTTTTTTAAATATGAATGTGAATCTTCTTCGAAAAGTGATGCCTATTAGGCACTCAGGTGCTCAAATATAAAYAAGGTTATATGTCCCTTAGTTGCTTTTGGCAGTATGTAATTTGCATTTACTTAAACCACAGCAATTAGTTAAGTACTTCTGTTTGAATTATACTATCAAGACTGATGACTAGAACATTTGCTTCAAGAAACAGTTTTCTTTTTTTTTTCTTCCTTTTTGCATTTTTGGCATTAATTTTTCATTCCGTTAATGAGACTTCTTTTATGTATTAACTGGATCAACATACCAATTAAATGGTATTATGTAATAAAAGAAAGCACTTTATATGTTTTAGAAAAGTTAGAATGTTCTCAAGGGATTCTTAATTGAATTTCAACCATTGTTCAATAATTCAAGTTCAGTAATATCAATGTTTTGAAGCTGCATTAGTCTACCTGCTAATGTGCTGTATTGATACATTTTTGTAGCAGAAAACCTTGCCAGCCACTACCTAAATGTATCATCATGCTAGCTGCCTCACTGTTCATTCATTACCTGTTTTGCTCACTATCTTCACTGTTTGAGATGACACTTCATTACTTTGTTTTACATAGCACTAGATTTACATTGGACTTCATTATAGTCATTTTTATTTATTTGTTGGTTTGTACTTTATGATCTATTAATAGTTCATTAATTCCTTTCGTTATGTTTCAAAGAAACATTAGGGAATATGCTTCTTTACCGATAATCTTTGAGAAAAAAAAAAAAAAAAAAAAAAAAAAGCGGGTAATCAAGAATTTCTAAATTCAAATGTTAATGTCAGTGTTAACCAAAAAAATAATAAAATGCTTCTAGATCTGCCAAGAGCAGAAAAATGTAAAATTTGTTTCCTTCTCTAAACAACTGGAAGGTGCTTTTTTGAACACAAAATTATTCAATATAGCACTTCAGAAAGGGACAGAAGACAGATATGGGAAAAAGATATGAATTACAAAAGGCATGCTGTTATAAACAGAATTCATCTGTAAAGTTGCCATGCATTTTTTGGAAGTGGCTCTACTTTGGATCACAGCATCACAGTATCACAGAAMRGTTGAGCTTGAAAGGTACCCTCTAGAGATCATCTAGTCCAGCCCCTCTGCTCAAGCAGGGACACCTAGAGCACATGGCACAGGCAGGTTTGGAAGACCTCTGGGAAGAAGACTCCACATGTGGTATTCAAATGAAATGCAGACACATCACCTTTCCTGATCTGTTTAACTTTTCTATATATTTTAATGGAATTTTGGAGACMACATGTTTAAATTGTAATGTTTTTTAATCTGATTTTTTTTTAATCTGAATTCAGCATGTACTCTTACTTGTACAATAGGCAGATGTATAACTACTGTGTATTGTTAGTATATATGCATGTGTATTGATTCAGAGAATTTATAGGATATAATTTTTTAAAGACTTTAAACTTTTTTGTTATTTTAGTTCATTTATATTCTGTGAACAAGTTTCTTTTACAGTTGCTATGATAAGATTATTGCATAAAGCAAGAAAGAGAACATATGTTTGTCAGACCTTATAAAATTAAGTAATTTAGAAAAAGTGTTCTAAAATCACAAAAATGTGGATAATTATAAAATTTGTCCTATGCTATTATACTTTGTATTTTAAATTAATCACATATGTTTCCTTTGCTAGCTACTGAATTCTGTTAAATAATATAAGAAAAGATTTATACATTATTTGAATTAATTTGGGGGAAAACAGTTTGTGTTTGATTTTCCTTAATAATATTTATTACTAATAACATAAAGACTTTGAGAGGAGTTTTTCCTTCTCTAGTCAATTTTTGTATAAACACGAAACTGTATCACAGGCTACAACATTTCATATATCCTCTCATAACTTTATAACTTTCTTAAGTGTTTTATGCCTCACAGATAAAGCAGAAAAGGCAGATAAGACATATTTGTAAGAAACAAAAAGTCCTGAGGAGCTAACAGACTGAAATACTCGCTTTTGATTTCACCCTGTATGATATGAAAATCACGTGCTTCTTCTGATTCTACAGAAGTTTTCTTAATTTACCTTGAATCATGCATAACAATGATTTCAGTTTCAAAATTGTTATTGTTTTTACAAAACAAGGTTCGATCATTAAAAAATATGAAATTTCTTTGTTTAAGTCTACTTTTGTCCCTGCCAATACGCTTAAAAGATGAGTGCTTCCCTCTACAAAATACTGAGCATCTACAACATATTCCTGAGTTCAGAGGAATGTGACTATTTTATAGAAAGTGCTCAGTAGTTTACAATTTCAAACCTGCCATTATGTAATTGTTAACAATTACTCGGAAATGTGAAAAGTGATAACAGCATGCTTCTGTCTTGGTCTCGTTTCTTTGTCTTTGGGTGTTCTAGCTGTTAGCTGTGGTCACCCTGGTAGTCCAATTTATGGAAGAACAAGTGGAAACGGTTTCAACTTCAACGATGTTGTCACATTCTCATGTAACACTGGGTATGTTATGCAAGGACCGATGAAAGCCCAGTGCCAGGCCAACAGGCAGTGGAGCCATCCACCGCCCATATGCAAAGGTATGAATGCAAGAACTTACCCATTTTGTACTAAGTCAGAAAATTAAGGTTGGAAAATAAACTGAAGGTGAAGGGACATTCTCAAGACAAAATTGAAAAAATCTTAATTCACAAAGTTGTATCAAAACACTAACACGACTCATATTTTAGTAAGTCTGTTCTACATGCAAAAGGTTGCTTTCAAAAAAGCTATTTGTTGATTTTTTTTTTAATTTGCAGTGTAAAATACTCGTTGCGTAGTAATAAATTTTGTCTTTAGTCCACCTACTCTCATACTTTGGTGTTACAGTGTAGCACAATAATGTATTAAACTGTCTGATATGCAACTGGCATCTAAGGATCATCAAATACATTGAGGAACTTTTTTTTTTTTTTTTTCATTTTAAACAGTCCTGGAATCATATATTAGTTTTAGAAAAGACTTTAAATTACAGAATGAACTTTGTGCAGAACATCATTACAGATGTTCACAAGCTGCAGGAAAATCAATTCTGATTATTATGATTTTGTTCTGTTCTGATTTTTTTATTTGTATTAAAGTTAAATTAAAAAGTGAAAGGAATTTACTTTGTATATCTGAAAACTGCCTAAAGTGCAATAAGTATTACAGAAGAGGCTGCACACTCTTGTGAAGGGTTTATTTGCAATCATAAGATAAACTCAGCAATGCACTTAATATTATATTCTCTACAAGTCTGCTAAATAATTTGTTTCCTAGCCAACTACAATAATTACTGAAAACTCCTGAAATGCTCAGTTACTTCTCTTTTGTTTGAGATATTCAATATATCACACTGATGTTAAGTTAATAAATAATTTTCATTTTATTCAACGTTAATACTTAATAAACTAAAGATGAATTTTCAATTATTATAAAATTCCTATTAGCAAAACAGAAAATGAACTGAAATACAGCTCAAATTTTCCTCAGGGAGAAAATAACGTACCGAGTCTGTCCATCAATGCAAATAAAAGCTTGGCCTATCATTGAATGTTAAAGAGGTCAAGCTCAGGCAGTAAATCAGTTCTTGCCATGAAAAATTTATGCATTTTAGTCTGAAGGCATCAGGATTTGAGAACTACTAGAAAGATTACATAAGATTACCATGTTTAGGATGGTGAGTAGAGAAGGTAGTGAGACATAAAGCAACTACACAGAGTGATGTAGGTAGGAGAAGGTGTTTTGGCTTGAATCTGGCAACATTATTTCTTTTTAATCTACAGAGCTTTCTAGCACATTTTGCTATATGCATGTATGCACATGTATGCACATATATGCATATGTATGCACGCAGAAACATATACATGCATGAATAGATAGTTGATGACTAGAAGAGTCCGTTGAAAAGTAGTTAAAAAGCTGCTAGAAACTGTCTTGGACTCTAGGACCYCATTAGAGAGATATACTCATGTAACCATCTAGCTGCAAGCAGAGAAAAAAAAAAAATCTTTTTCTTTTTCAATTCTTTTGAAATGTATGCATCCTGCACTAGTTGAGGATGCAAAAAAAGAAGTCCAATGCTATTCTCAGCCAACAAAATATACTGTTATTTTTAAGAGTAGATATCCATTTATGAATACTTCCCTGTTCTAGCAGCATCTCTTTCTTACCTAAATGACCAGCTGTCTTTGAGCTCAAAACATCTATCTTCGTCATTTACTTAATTATCTAAATAGTAATATAAGAACATGAGGATGTTTGAATGGCTCTGTGGATCTGAGTCAAAGCACATCTAGCACTGTAACCAGCTTTGGACAAAAGTTTATGTCAAGGGAACAGTAAACATACAGAAGGAGTGTAAAATGAATGACAGCATTTCCAGACATGTCTCCCATCATCCAACACCATGTGCCTCAGAGATTTCCTTAACCACAGATAATGTCCTTTTGCTTGGATACCCTCTCTAAACCCGGAATCCATTAGTAGATCTTGTCATTTTTTGTAGCAAAGATTTTAGCACTTCATGACTCCCACTGAAGAAACATTTCATTTTATTTGGTCTGAATCTGGCATCTCCTGATTTCATATGATCTTTCCAGTTCAATATACAAAATAAGGAGAGCAGAGCATCAGAAATTTCTTATGCATAGGAGTATATGTAAGGAGTTTCTTATATATAGGAGTGCATATGTGATGTGGTCATATATGAAGTTCTGCTATAATGTATTTGTATGAGGCTAAAGTCTATGTTTTATTTATTTATTTTTCTTTTTAGTGGTCAATTGTTCTGATCCTGGAATTCCTGCAAATTCTATAAGAGAGAGTAAAATTGAACATGGAAATTTCACATATGGCACAGTGGTATTTTATGACTGTAATCCTGGATATTTTTTATTTGGCTCTTCTGTTTTAATTTGTCAACCAAATGGCCACTGGGACAAGCCTCTACCTGAATGCATTAGTAAGTAGATAATGTGTATGCTTCTGTAAAGAATATGAACTCAAATAAGTTTAATTTTAAACAGCATTTCCATCAGACTCACAAGAGCAGCTAGATTAATCATATTTATATAGATTTTCATATGTGTGAAAATGATGGTCTCTTGATGCTCTCAAGACTAGTCCAAGTAGTACAACTATGTTGTTACTTGTTGTAGAGATTGTATTGGGAGAATGAATAACTAAAAACAGACATCTCTGAATGCACCAGAAAAAAATGATCTAATAGCACTGTGTGTCAATAAGGGAGCAATTTAGAGATAAAACATATCCATTGAATACCAACACATGGCCTCCATTAGTCATTAAATATATATTAATTTATTAATTAATATATTAAATAATAAACTGCAATCACACTGAAAGTCAAAGCTTCAATAGCCGACTACAGGGTATACCAATATACTATAGTGTTTTCTGGACTTCTCTTGGGACAGTAGCAAGATCGAACATATTAAGTGTCCCTGGGATCACACATATGAACCTCAGTTTAGCACACACTAAATGTACCTGGACATCACATAGCAACATATCCACTGAGAAGCCAAAAAAAGATTTTTATTTCTTGTTTGTTCTTTTTTTTTTTTTTTTTTTTCTGGTTCCTCATATAGCACTTTCTAACTGTCATATAAATACAGCTACAAAGATTTGCAGGTTTTTAATGAGCTCAGATGGTTCACTTTCCCAGCCCTTTGTAAGTCCTACAGCTTTTTGTTTGGGAATCAGAATTTCTCTCTGAGAATGACTGAAAACACTATTTTGCAATATTCTCTTCCCCACTCCCCTCCACCTTCTCCCCAAGAAAAAGGAATTATTATTTCTTTTAATTTTTAAAACATTTATTACTGGAAGTTCCCTCTGAGATGGCAGCTGATGAGAGAATTCCTTTCTCGTTATTCTCTGATTGGAATAGTGTATTTATAACAAAGATTTATAACAAAGATTCAAACTTTTTCACATTAAATTATAAGATAACATTACCATTTTAGAAAGCCAAACAGATATTAAACAACATACCTCCAAAGAGAAAGAAATACTTCAGGTAAAGCTGAATTTTTTTTTCTTTTTGTCTTCTTTTGTGGTTGTCATCCTCAGTCTTCATTGAGAATTATCAGAATAATGCAGATTTTCCCACATATTAAACTAGTCTTTGGGAATGGGAGTGCAATATGAGTTTTTGAAAGAGCACCCTCAGGTTTGTGTCATTTACATAGAGAGGTCGAAGAATTGTAACCCAAGCACTATCCACATTAAATTAATAAGCATAAAGCTTATTAAAATCTATTTTAATATAACTACTATAGTTTGTCTACAAGAGCCCATTGTCTGCAAAGATTTGCAAAATTATTCCTACTTAGGACAGCTACAAGGCAGCATCAGCAGTCTGCACATTTTAGCACTGTGAGAGCAAGGGAAAAGCAGTGGAAAGTAGACTAGATGTTTTTCTTTGACCTAGGTTCAATTATTTTTCTTTTTAGCTAGCTGGATTTAAATCTCTTTGTAATTGGGCTTCAAGTACTTACCTTCTTTGAAACACCAATAGAGGATATCAAGAGGCASACAGTGAAAAAGAAAAAGCTATTCCGCTGTAAAGTAACTGCATTCCTTTGAAATGTGTTTTCCTACAACAAGATCTCTCCTCACTGCTATAAAATCCTATGAGAAGCAGAATTCAGTGGTTGGTTAGGTCATGGTACTCTCTCTATTTTGCCTTTGAATTAAAGCCTTTCAGGGGCACATGCTACTTAAGCATATGTTGCTAGAAAATACACTACATTTGAAGACTACCTTGAATAAAGATCTTCTCGGAAAATATACCTCAAAATTACAGTCACCAGGTCAGTTTTCTGTACTGCAAAGTATTCTCAATTTATTTCTGAGATATATTCTTTGATCTGTTATTTCTAAACAGCAGAGATGTGAGTACCTAAAATATATATCTTCCAAGCTGGAAATCCAAATAACATAAACCAGGTTTTGCTGGCATATGTGCCATCCTTTAGATAGTTCCWTCACAGCACCTTGTCCTGATACTATTTCCTGAAAGTAAGGACATGTCATATAGAGGCATTCCCAGCTATCAGGTGGGTGGTAGTAATTGTCATCAACKATCCATTTTAAAGAAACTTCAAGGTACATTTTTTAATTCTTCTACTCTGATCAAGCTACTGGTAGAGATAAAAAAAAATCCTGTTGAAAATGTTACAGAAGAGGATAAAGTGTTAATATAAACTACCTTGTATGATTTAGAGAACTATAAATACTATGGAATTTACAGCTGTACATTTTCATGTGTAAATATACATGTATAAATGTAAATAAATATAATTATTGGTCAAGAACACATGCCACAAGACAGGTGTAAAATTAAAAAAAAAAGAAAAAGAATCAAACATGAAATAGACTCTGTGATCTTTTCTTATGAATATTAACTGCCTATTTTCAGAACTTTCCGTCTTCAGTCACCTTCTAAATTATTCCTTGCTCTGAATTCTTAGATCATTTGGTTTATTGTTGTCACATGTAAGGATATGCTCCTTTATAAGTTGTGGAAGTTAACTTTTAACCTTAAAAGAGGTTAATGTTTTTGGCAATGATGCATAAGGCTTTTTTTTTTTTCTTTTTTTTTTTCCACATTGCTATCGTTGAATACCTTCCTGTTTTTCCTGTTGGATTGTAACTTCAAAGTAACTTCACTATTATTTTTTATTATTATTTACACCAGATAGAAGGCTGATAGAATTATTTCAATGGTATTGTTTTGATTGTTGGTGAAATTTCTATCACTTAGCCTGGTTCTGTTCTTGAAAARGTGAATATGACAAATATCAGAATTTTCTGTAGTTTAAGAGACAACTAAAGGACACAAGATATTGTGTTAAATTTTCCAGTTTTCTGTGTTAAGTGCTTTATGAAATTTAAACTAGATAGGTATATATATTAGGTATATACAGGCTAACAGTTGTGTACTTTTCCATGCAATCTGTAAGAGGAAATCACACCAGTGGCAAACTTCTGACATTACTAAAATTAATCACAATATGAAAACAATTATTAATAACTCATCAAAATGAACAGGATGACAAATGAGTCAATCATGACCATTTATAAAATTGGGATCATGTAGGAATTCCCTGCAAAATCTGTGCAAATTACATGAACTGACAGTGCCTTAGCACCTTGGTTAAAACTATCTAAAGCTATCTGTTTATTGACATACAGAATTTTAAGTATTCAAAACTTAATTCAGTATAAAATTAGTACATAAGCATTACATTAAAACTGATAATGAAATTTCATAATTCTGCTTCTTAACCTAATGGGCCTCATAATCAATGATTTAGGACCAATCCATCAGAGATGCAATTTTGGGTATTCTTTATGTCACCAGTGTAGGTAATGAYTAGGTAGATCAGCATGTGTGCACATTCATTCCACAAAGCTCATCTTAGTGGAGATATAAAAATATATTTAGCCACTTTATGCTAATGGTATCTATATGTCTTTTTGCGACATACAAACACTTGTTTTACAGCTTTTGTTCATTAATACGTTTTGTGTTTCCKATCACATACTTCAACTTTTCTTCCAGGCCCTATAAAGGTCAATCTCTTCACAAAGTTGATATATAACATTATGAATATAATAACTACAAACTGTTTGATCAGTGATAATAACCTTTTTTTATCTCCAATAATTATGCATTGTAGTGATTGACTGTGGCCATCCTGGCGTTCCTCCTAATGCGGTCCTGTCTGGAGATAAGTATACATTTGGGTCGACTGTTCATTATACCTGCACAGGTAGACGATCATTGTTAGGGCAGTCATCTCGTACATGTCAGTTGAATGGACACTGGAGTGGTTCTCTTCCTCACTGCTCAGGTAATATTTTTGAATTATTGAGAATGCCCTGAAATTGTTTTTAAATTATTTAGGTTTTGCCAGAAGGGTATTTTTTAAATTGGAAAATTCTATGCATAGCTAAAATAATACCTTAACAGACATTAAAAAAAAAAGATTAACAAGAAAATCATTTTGGGAAGTTGAACTTTCCTAATGACATTTAGCACAAATAGGAAATTTTGCATTCAGTGGAACAGGAAAGGAACTAGTTTGTTTGAATATACTTTTTATGTTACTCATGGTAAGTATATTAGTTTCCACAGGGAAATCCTGCATCATTATCTCTTCAAGATGATAGGCTTATTTTCTTAACTTGCAAAATAACTACTGACTTGTAATCACTGCAGTTATATCTTAAATGCATCATCAATCCATCCTCTTAATAAGGCCCAGTGGTCTTCACATTATTTCAAGGCAGGATACTTGCTTTTGAGAGAAAATCAGCTAATCATTTTAAGAATAGCTGTCATCAAAGTCAAGATTTTTTTTTTTCTGAAGACCTTTCAGTTTAGGAATATTCTCTTCCATGACTTCAGTTAGAATATGTTTAACAACACAGATCAAGAATAAAATAGAAATCCATGTCACTAAAATTTGGAAAGCTTGGCTAAGTCTYGTTTTTGGTCTGTATATGAATTCTGATAGAAGTTAATCAAGTTATCTCTTTTCATTCTTAATAAGTATCTGTGGTTTTTGTTTTTGTTGTTGTTGTTGTTATCATCTTATTTCCATTACATAGATTAAACAAACAGCCAAACACCAAATAAATGTTTTTTTGTGGCGTTTATTCAGACCTATTCAAAGTACTCAGATATCTTCAAAAGTAAGAAATAGGAAGAAAGTAAGGGACATATTCTACCTTAAGTTTCAACTATGCAAAAGTAACGGGTGAATACTAATTGATATGCAAGTCTGACAATACTGTTAAGCCAGTGTGACATTCAAACTTCAAGGATCATAGAATCATTAAGGTTGGAAAGAACCTTTGAAGATCATCTAGGGCAATCCCCCTGCACACGCAGGGTCACCTAGAGCATGTGGCACAGGATTGTGTCTAAGTGGGTTTTGATTAAATGCAGAGAAGGAAATTCCACAGCCTCTCTTGGCAACCTGTTCCAGTGCTCTATCACCATCACTGTCAAGAAATGTTTTCTTTAGTTCCTGTGAAACTTTTGATGCTTCAGTTTGTGGCCGTTTTCTCTAGTCCGGTCAGTGGCCACCATTGAAAGAATGTCAGCCCCATCCTTCTCATGACCTCCCGTATGGGTCCCTCCTGAGCCTTCTCTTCTTCAGGCTGAACAGGCCCAGCTCCCTCAGCCTCTCCTCATAGGGCAGATGTTCCAGGCCCCTGATCATCCTCGTAGCCCTGCACTGGACCCTCTCTAGAGGCTCCACACCCGTCTTGTACTGGGGGAGTCCAAAACTGGACACAGGACTCCAGATGTGGCCTCACTAGGRCAGCGTAGAGGGGGATGATCACCTCCCTCAACCTACTGGAGACGCTCTTCTTAATGCACCCCAGGATCCTGTTGGCCTTCTTGGCCATGAGGGCACACTGCTGCCTTATGGTCAACTTGTCATCYACCATGACACTCTACAGAGCTGCTCTGCAGCAGATCAGTCCCCAGCCTGTACTCATGCGTGGAGTTATTCCTCCCCATGGGCAGGASCTTGTACTTGCCTTTGTGATATTTAAAGCATTCATGATAATTAAATAAGTATATTTAAAACATTAACATGACTATTTCTCTTCAAATTATCTTTTATTTCTCCTGTCTATCTTTTATTTCTCTCTTTGGTGCATTCAGGCATAAAGTGAGTACATCAGCTATAGTTAAGGAATATGAATTTTCATATTTGAAACAGAAATAGTTAAAATTAATATTCATTTATACTCCATAGTAGTAATATCTTGTATTACATTCAAAGGTTTGAAAGGATTTGCTGACTATCTGAAACTTTCTCATAACTAGATTTGATAACTGATTTACCCAATTTGTACATATAGATAAACCTTGGATATTGTGTTTTGTGATATTAACAACAACAAAAAAATCCTAAAACGCTTGAATGACAAAAACATGAATTCAGACAACACTAACTGAGTTAATATAATATAGCCAAATTTTGCCACCTTATGCCTAAAGCAGTTTCCTCTTTGATACATGGCACTTTGCTTCACGCCTCAAAAAGAGAGAGAGAACTGCGGTGTCCCACTGATACCTCCTGGTATTTGGAAGCACAGTTTCAGTTATCACATGCATGTCAGTTGCAGCAGTTTGCAGTAACTCATAATTGCTTTTAGGTGCTACACTGGTTGTGCACTTATTTAAGTGGTCTAGATACCCTCCTTACATGAAAATTGAATAACCACTGCGTATTTCTAACAWATGTGGATAAAGAACTGTTTGTGGCCAACTGTGAACACCACTTAATCAAATCACTATGATGCATGAGGTCATGAAAACGTGTTGTGTTATGATGTTGTGKAATGTTGGTTCTTGATGTGATTTTCATCTTTCAGAAAATATATTTTTGTAATCTTCAATAAAAATACCTGGTAGTTAAACACTCCAATATTAAAATAATTTTTTTGCATAAAAATTAGGCAGTAATTAAGTACATATGATTTAATTCACAAGAGGAATATACAATTCATACTTTGCACAGCAAAATAGCTATTTCAATTTTATAGATAATAAAGTTATTTAGTTGTAGTGCCAGGAAAGTCTCTTGCTGAAGACTGAATCTTTATAGTACACTGTACAAAAATAGAATAATTAGAGGGCCCTACCCAGAATTCTTGTATGCAGAAACATTTTAAAACATAACTATTCTAAGTCATCCAAGTAGCTTGGATATTAGAACACTGAAAGGCCACTGAAAAATTGCCATGCTCTTTGACTTGCTGAAAGTTGTCTTATAAAGCTGTAACTCTTTGTGGTTTTTCTATTTTAAAAGGAGCCTGATATTGTACTTCAATGATCTATGCCACTTATTCATGAGGGTAAACAGGAAAGAATCTAAACTTGAGAGTGTCTGCTTTTGAACGTGGCACTCAGCTAACTTTTACATGCACTTGACATAATTCACTAATAGTAAATGTGTTAAAATGCATGGGACCATATACTTTCTACATATATCTATTATAAAAGTTAGTAATGCAATAGGTGTGACTGCATCAGCTTGCTTAGTCATTCTTTAATGAAAGAGGACAGTTTAAGCATGATTAGGGATAAAATTGGCTCCTAGAAGTCCTGGTGATGATTCATTCACAAGAAGCTTGCTTTGTCAGCTGCTTCAGTAAGAGGTGAACAGGCAGTATGAGATCCCATTTTTTTTTCCAGTTTGCTTTTCCAAGCAGACTTCCATTATCCTCTGTGATTCTCCCATGCATCATCAGGCTGCTGTTCCAGGGCCATGTACTCAACTTTCACAAACCTATTGCACAGTATTTGTGCAGACCAGCCATGAGATGCTCAGTCATGTTGTTTTCCTCTGAATTTGTGGGAAAGGATGGAAACATAGCCTAATGTGAAAGGAAATAAAAGGTGTAGTAAGTATCACCTGCAAAACTGCTGGCACATGTACTAGCTTCATAAGTGTCCCATAGTTTTTCAGCTTTTTAGGTATATCAGAGTAAAAGTAGTATAACCACGTTTGTTTAGACCATAATTCTCCAAGCAACAATGTGTATTCTAGTCTCCTTCCTTCCTTCCTTCCTTCCTTCCTTCCTTCCTTCCTTCCTTCCTTCCTTCCTTCCTTCCTTCCTTCCTTCCTTCCTTCCTTCCTTCCTTCCNCCTTCCTTCCTTCCTTCCTTCCTTCCTTCCTTCCTTCCTTCCTTCCTTCCTTCCTTCCTTCCTTCCTTCCATTCTGTTCTATACACGCTTTTTTTAGTTAAAAGAGGTGCCCAACTCAGGACTCCAACAGTATAGTTTGTCCCATAATTGATTGGCAAGGGTAGTTCTTTTTCAGTCAGTATCTGTAACTTCAGCATCCTAAGCTGCCATACATGCCAAAAATCTATATTAATGTGTCAGTTTTGTGTTTATGGGCATTTGGAGCAACTGATTTTGGCAATTACTTCTCTGTAAAACTTTAAGATGATTGATATTTAGGCTTAGGTAAATACTTTAGGCTTAGGTACGTATAGTCATTCTACAGAAAACATTGTTTACATCATTGATTTGCATCAAAATATTTTTGGTAACAGTAATATTATCAACGTCTTTTTGATTTTGCATCAAAATATTTTAATATTATTTTCTGTAATATAAACCTGTGATATAAAGCTTTTCAATAATTGAATTGAAGTTTACTAGGTAGTTCTTAAAATATTTCTTCTTAATTTGTAGCAGTATAACTAAGTACAAAATATGAAGGATATGCTCTAAGAAAATTATGGCCTTTGAATTTTTTTCTTTTTTTTYAGTGTAAAAGACTATTCAGTTTATTTGCAAGTTGTTACAGAAACCATAGGTTGAACAGCCATGGGTCAAAACATAAATTCTTTTAAACTGGTGCAATTCTGAGAATTCTAGATGAGCAACTGACTCTATATTGAAATTCAGCAATAGACCATACTCTCTTTATTTCTACTACTACTCACCAATTTAAAAACTCTTAAAAAGTCAGAATTACTGGACCTTTAAAAACATTGTGATTAAAAAAAAAAAGCTAATCTCAAGTATTATAGTATTAGTATACTAATATATAATGTAAAAATATAATGTATTATAACAATAAGCATTATAACCGTATTTCCTACTTAGTCTAATATTTTCATTTTAAATTCCAGGTGATACAGCTGGTTCTTGTGGTGATCCAGGTGTCCCAGGTCATGGTTCTAGGGAAGAGAACAATTTTAAAATTAAAAGCACAGTACATTTCAGCTGTGACATTGGATATATTCTCCATGGTTCAGAAGAAAGAACATGTATGGCAAATGGAAGCTGGACAGGAAGACAGCCTGAGTGCAAAGGTAAGCCAGGCAACACCACACTTCTAAAACTTTTTTAATATATTTGTCAGAAAACCAATATTACATTACCATTACCTAAGAAATACTGTTTTTAGTGTTTTGAGGAAAAAAAGTGTATTGTACTTTTTTTCTCAATCTTGAGTTATCTTCAGAATGTATGTACCTATTTAAATAACTAGACAGAAGAAAAGTAGATAATACCTATAGAACTCAGTTTTGGTTGAAAGATTTTTTTCTCTTAAGAAGCTATTAATCTTTAACTGCAACTACATTGTCCGAATTCCAGAGATAAAAAGCTGACTTCTACAGAAATGACGTCAACATTTTGTTAGATAAATAATCAGATAAATGATCAGTTTACAATTTTTCTTTGCTGATTAATACTGTTGACTTATGATTATTTTTAAGCAGAAAATGAAATGTTGAAAAAGATTTATTATAATAAATCAGTATACAAATTTCAAGTAAAGTATATCACCATAAAAGAAAGATTTAACAGCATATTTAGAAAGAATCATTCATTAGACAATTATTTTGATTCAAAAATAGGAAATAATTTCCAAAATTTTCTTCRTGAAAGGCAGAAAATAATTTAGGAACCTGTTTTTTTTACCACCTGCTATATCTCTGTTGACTGTATTATCAATCTGAGAAAGACCTTTAATTTTCAAAAGCTTAGTTCACTTATCCTTTCTGGTCAGTGATTGCAACCTTGACACAAAGTAAATATATACGTATGTGTTTGTGTGTTACTCTGTTGTGATATTTTTAGCCAAACCAAACTTCCTCCCTGATTCTTGTCTCTAATGAAAATGAATTAGAAGTTGGGKTTTTTTTATATTTTAAGATACTTTTAATTTTTATTTTAAGAATCTCTTTAGCGAGTGAATGTGGTACAGAGGTTGATACTGTTCAGGCTTTGGTCATATAAATTAGCTACATATATATGTAAGTACATAAGCAAAACACATTCAGATTTCAAACCTGAGCTTTGGAAAGGGGAAACATTAGGCTTACACCTGACTATGAAATAACAGCTTGAATATATCCAGTGCTTTGAATTAGATAAAGAAATGTGCTTTGAAAGTATTTTTTCAATGATAATTCTGAGGCATTTTTTTTCTTAGAGTTTGAAGTTTGTAGTTAGTAGTAGTTTGTAGGTAGTAAACTAGGTAAACTACAAAGGTAGTAAAACCTGTAATTACAGCAGTATCTGCCATCTCAGCACTACTGGGAACAGGAATATTAACTGGATCATCCTTAGAATTATCATTACTATTTCAAAAAACTTTATTTATTAACTATATACTTATTTAACATTTTACTTTATAGCTGTACAGTGTGGTAATCCAGGGACAACTGCTAATGGAAAAGTATTTCGTATAGATGGAACTACATTCTCTAATTCAGTAATTTATTCATGCATGGAAGGCTATGTACTTTCTGGATCATCTGTAAGACAATGCACTGCCAATGGAACATGGTCTGGATCCTTGCCAAACTGCACAAGTAAGACTCAATGAATTTGTTTTGCTTTGCTCTTCTCTGAAAGAAAACAAAATAGTAGTAGTGATTGTACATAAATAAAAGGATTCCAGCTTTTCCCTGATCTGCTTCATAGCTTTTTGCATAATGTATGTTTAAAAATTGTAGCACTATTAAAAGATGAAGAATATATTGATTTAAAGACAATACAATTCAGTGTCTGTTGTCACATCTTAAGGCAGTTGTATGGTTATAGGAGCTACTTACGTTAATTCTTCCTTGTGTATATTTTTAATCTTGTTCATACCTTATGATATGTCATGTTTAAATGTTATTCATTCRACTGCTTTTCCTTGTCATGAAAACTTAGTGGTAATCCAGTATATTCTAGTTTTGCAGAGGGCAGTTAAAGAAAACCTTGAAATGAACACTTGAGAATTCTTTTTACAGTGACTCTGAGGTCAGAACTGTTGCCCCTCTCTCAGATAACAGCTTCTGTTTGGCCTCTTCATTAACCTTATGCTTGCTTGTTTAGTCAGCTAACAGAAGCTATTTCAGCTTCTCTCACATTCATAATAGGCGTTTAAAAACAGTTTATTTCTAAGTTCATCTGTTCCTGCTTTACTACATTTCCTAGTTCATCTTTTAATAGCATATATGCATATTTTACAGTTATGTGACAAGTGACTGTGCTTATCATTTTGACAAAGCATACCATCATCATTTGCTTAAGTTAAAAAAAAAACCTTTTAAAATTTTAAATATTTTAAAATAATACATTGTTTTTTATAGAGTTGGCCACTTCACACATTTGTAGAAACCCAAATTAAGATATAAATKAAGATGATAAAATAAGTTTTCTCTACTTACATTGCAGTACTTATATCCTTAAATGTACTTACGTATGTATAATCTTAAATCCATTGTAAGTATGAGAACAATTGCTTTGCCAGTCCTGGCAAACATATGTTAGAGACTAGAGTTTTTGTTTAATTATTTTTTAATTGCAAACTATAAAGATCATTGAATTAGTTGCAACAGGTTGTACCCTATTAGGTTATTTCACATACATCCTGGCTAGCTCCCCTGTTAAATTCAGGGAGACCGCTGCAGTTGAGGCACAAAGACGTGACCATTCCTGCTGTGCTGYTCCTGTCACTTACCAGCCTCAGCTGCTACCAGACAAGAACCCCGACCACTGGAGTATTCATCTCCATGAGTCTCTCCATTCCCAAAGGTGTTCTCCAACTTCCAGGTTCTTTTGTCCAGTCAGGGTCTTCACCATCTTCTTTCTAGGCCCTGAAGCCTGTAGTCTAAATAGTCCACATGCAGAAGCATAATGCGTGATCAGCCTGGATCTGTCTCTGCTACTTGGAGATTTCATTGAGCATTATCAAAACTTGCAACAAGTCCATAATTGTTGCAGTTCACATGTAGCAAGTTTCTGCTTGGGAGTTCCGCTAGGAGTTCGGTTCAGTTTTGAGCATTCATCCCCAAGACACCATTATCTGCCACTACCCGGCATTCACAATTTAAGCTGATTTTCAAGCTGACTTAAGCTGACTTAAGTAAAGGTGGACCAGATTTAGGTCATTGTATGAACTTCTTTGCAGACATATAGCAAAGATATTCCTGGCTATTTGCTCTCAGGATGAACACATGAAAAAGTAAACAATACAGTATATCCCTTCCTTCTTGACTATGAAATTCTAAACTGATATGGGCATTTATGGGTATCAGTGACAGCAACATATGGCTAATTTCTTTGCTAGTTTTCCTTTACATTTTCAGGTCTTGAAATTTTACAGAATAAAACTGTACAGTCCATTTTTTGAACAGGTATATTGATTTTTTCAAAAATGTAACTGCTATAAAACTCCACATGTTGCGTTTGGCAGCTAATTTAGATGACATATATGCTTATCTTCTGTTGAGAGGACAAACAGMTATATCATACTTTTTCTCCTTTTTTCATAATAAGTTATTAATTTTGTCATAAGCTTTCCCTCTTTATCTATTAATAAATCAAATTCAGGTTTTTAAATATGTTCTTTAACTATCTGCTTGCAGTTATCAGTTGTGGAGATCCAGGAGTTCCAGCCAATGGTATGAGATATGGTGATTATTATGTTGTTGGACAAAATGTTACATATATGTGCCAACCTGGGTATACAATGGAATCAAATAGCTCCTTAATTCGCACTTGTACGAGCAATGGCACATGGAGTGGAGTAATGCCAGCTTGCAAAGGTACAACATTTATTTTGATTGTCAGATACTTCTATGACATCTACATACTCTGTTTATTGCAGTATGTCATCCAAATATTTCTATAGTGCCCCAATCTTAATATTATATGTACTGCATTGTTTTCTTGGCTACAAGATCTGTGACTTCATCATCTGGCTACATGTCTCATTTTATAAGCTTATATCCACTCAGTAGGTTGGACTGTTCTTTGTAGCTTAGCTTTCTAGAATTATTTATTACTTAGCTGCTGAATTAGCCAATATGAAATGACAGTTTAGAAACTTTTTTTTTTTTATGTTTCTAAATAAAATTAAGAAACATTAAGTTATACTAAGGTCACTTACCCGTGTCAATTAAACATAAGATAGCAGGTTTTAGGAAAGGTTTAAGTCATATACAGCTGTACATTCCCAACAGCAATACTTCTCTGGGTTACCTTCTCCATAATGCTAATATTCTTTGCTAATCTCTCCTTTATTAGATGTGCACCTTTGAGCATCCTCATATCAACATACTTGGCAAACTCTAAATCTTTCTAGAAAATTCCCTAATGATGGTTATTCTCTACATGACTATAATGGGTTTACTTGACCAAACGTCCAGTCCCTTGTCTCCAAGAGTGTCTGTACACCTAGAAGATCTTAAGACAGGATAAGCATTTATGATGTGCTCCTCCTAACAGCCTCCTTGTCTCTAATTCTTAAGGATCACGGGGCTAAGAACTAGCCCAAAGAGTAACCTTTGATKAGAGTTTTTGAGTTACTCTGTATTTCAGGCCATCCATATTTATGGCTTGTATAAACATACTAAATAATAGTCATATACAGAATCTCTAGTGTTCTCAGAGATTCCTGCAGGTTTCTGTGTAATGATAGAAAAAATAATAGGCACCAGGAATTAACACTCCCCCCAAACACATTTTTGACTGTATAATGAAAAAGAATATGATATGCAGTAGTATATTTGAAGTGTATATTAACTAGTTCATACTGTCAAAATAAAGTGTCAGGGTACTTCAGTACCATTTAGTTAAAATAATTGGAAAATGAACTGCCTAGAAAATAAATACATAATTGTCTCAAGGCTGTTGAAATAGAAGACATAAATGATTCTCCAGCTTTGCCTAGTTGAACAGGATATATGTGCAACTTAATATAAACTATTCAAGCACTGATTTTTTTTTCTKCTGACATGCTTTTTGTAATCTACTTTAATCTAAAAACCTGAGAAATGTATATATTGCCTAAATCTCTGATAAAAGCATTAGGTAGAGCATTCTGCTCCCCTATGTTCTTCTCCCTCTAGCCAATTCTGGAACTACCCTTATTTTCATCCTTCTATGTCTTCTTTCTTTTTCCTTGTCAACAGCTATCCCTACCTTTATTATTCATCTGAGAAGCTAAAACATAAAGCTCTTTTTAGAAGCACTAGTAATGAAGCTCTTGGAGARTGTAGATGGACTTTCACTACTTAATGTGGTTTCTGTGGTTTACCTCTGTTACTTCTACCTAGCTTTTATTAAAATATCATGAAAGCATGGCAAAGTCTCAGAGTCWCAAAAAAATCTCAGAGTCTCAAAAATAAGGCCTGATTGCCAAAGGATTATTCTAATAATAGTCCCATTTTCATCCACAATTCTCAAACAGTGATGAATGAGGCTGCAGAACATCTCGGTAATGCAGACATGAGTGATTCTCTCTCTGAAATACCTATATAATAAATATGGTATCTTGTGAATCTTCTGGAGATCACATTCAAAGACACTCTGCTCCTGATTTAGTACCTCTGACTTTCTTAAGGAAGTGGGAGAACAACTGATTGAACACAAGCATAAAGGTTACGAGAGCAGCATTTCATCTCCTCCGTTCCTATGACCTCTCTTTTCTCTCCTTTTTTAGCCATGATCTCTCCTCATTTACCCCAGCTGTCCCCACTGAATTCAGCCAAACTGGTTTCACTTTCCTTCTCTTTTGTTTGCACACATTCTCCCACTGGTGCTCTCCTCACTCCTTATTTATTCGTCTGTTTTCTCTATTTCATTTATTCTAGTACCTTTTTCATCATTTTGTGATTCATATATATTTTCTTTCATCTCTCATTTTATATGCTTTTTCATTTAGCTGTCAACTAGCAATTGACTATTACTACTCCATTCCTTGGCTAGGAGCCCTTTTTATCCTCATCACTGCATTTATGTTCATTTATTGCTGTGTCAATTGTCTTTTGATTTGATTATCTTTCTTAGGAATTAATTTTTTTAAGATTTTTTTCCTTTTTTTTTTTTTTTTTTCTCCGGGAATGAAGGACTTAGCAGACAAACTTGTTGCAGACATCTTTTTAGAGGTAGTAATTCTGATCTTTACAAGAAAAAGCAAATCCCTAAGTTTTCTCCCTCCAGCCTGAAGCTGGATGCTTTCTGTTGAGAGGAAGCAAACAATAATAATAATTAATATCTAGAATATGCCTAGTTAACAGGAAGAAAGCATTTGATTATTACTGTGTAACTAAAAATAGCTTTACTCAATGATTTCTAAATAGACAACCAAAATTACTTTGTAATATATCTTCAAGATTATTATAATATCATACATTTTATAATCTGTATGGTGATTTTTTGCATAGTCTTCCTTCCTGCCTTGATTCAGCCTGTTGTGTTATATAAGACACTTTATCAATCAATCATTATAACATGTCCCTGAAATGGAAGCAACCAAAAGCATTCAATTCAGGTAACATGGTAGGAATAATAGTGAGGAAGATAGCATGTCCTCACTGTATTGTCCTCCAAAAAAAAGGTGAAATTAGCACATATGGTTCTCCTAGTAATTGTGTACACTAGGGATATTTACAGCAGCTGGTCCTAATTATTTCAAATGTCATTGCAGCTGTTACCTGCCCAACACCTCCCCAGATCTCCAATGGAAGGTTGGAAGGAACAAACTTTGATTGGGGATTTAGTGTTAGCTATGTCTGCTCTCCAGGCTATGAACTCTCCTTTCCTGCTGTTTTGACTTGTGTTGGGAATGGTACATGGAGTGGTGAAGTACCTCAGTGTTTACGTAAGTATTTCCTTTTGGCTCAAGTATTTACTTTTGGTTCYTATGTTTCTTTATTTTTTTCTCCTCACCTCCAAAAAAAAACCCAAAACAAACAAAAAAGTAATATAACAGGCAATGCATATCATAATTCTAAGCAAAACAAGAGTGAGAGGACTGTCATTTTAGATCCAGCTGAGTATAGGACAGAGAAGGTCTTGTTSTAAAGTCTTTTATTTACTTACTCTTGTGTCATCTCTTGTGACCAATTTTTTATTTTTTTTCAAATTTATCAAATTTGTAGTGAAGAATGTAATATTCTTGAATGGGGGTATAATTAGTAGAGGTGTTATAACATTTTGGTGGCATTGCAGTTTCCAAAGATTAATTTTAATTATTTTACTACTTTTTTTTACATTATTTCTCTTTTTGAGATTTCTTTCACTGTGACTATGTTTATATCCTACTCCTATAGAAGTACATCATATGGATTCTTTAATTTTCTTTTTAAAAATAAGTGACATTCTCATACTGTAAGCCACAGTTCTTTAATGCTGCTGAAACTATATATTTCAGAATTGGAACAAGGTTAATACTTTGTTTCTTGAAAAAAAATACCTAACATCTGACAAGCCTTCTTGATCAATGGTGATGTCCATCATTTGTTGCTTAAATTCACTCTATGGAGCTGTTCTAGAATCTACTTTATTGAGATATCAAGACCTTTAAAAATGCTTTTCATTATTTTGTTCTTGATTTTGCCCTTCTTTTCAGCTGTGGTAGCATTTATCTATATTTCTAGATATTGAAAAACTGCAATATACCCTCGAAAGGGGCTCCATCTTTAAACTATTTGAAATGTGTAGTTAGCACAGAAATACAGTTGTCTAAGAGTTAAAAGTTGTTTCACGCAGAGATCACATTAACTGAGTACTGTTGATGTGCCGGAGTTACCCATTGGCTTGCAAGAAAAGTCAATTGGCATGCTTATCAAAGAGCCTACACTAGTTGCCATCTGGCAGAAATGAGAGGGAGCTGGTGAGAGTCATTCTCAATGAGCAATCCTTGAGCAGCTCGTGACATCAGAAATTTACTTCCCAGCTTGGTCCCCACAGCCTCTAGCTGAAGTTATGCAAAGGACACATTGCATTATTGTTGGACTAGGACATAGAGCAACAGTTCAAAATTAAATATGATTAAGTGTTTCGCTGGCTATCTGTCATTTGTGATCTAGTAAATTTGTCTAATTAATGGTATAGCATTTTCTACCACTAAGGAAATAGTGTTCCTAAGCTTGCCAATAGGAAAAAAATGAAACTACAGGCTATGCCAGAAGCAGCTAAGCTGCAGTTTTAATTATCATTCCTCAAATTTCTTTGAGGAATGAAGTTGTAGAAGGTAGGAAAGCTAAGTGAAGCATTCAGAAATTTTCCAAGGTGGTAGGACTCTTTTTTTTTTTTTTTTTTTTTTTTTTTTTTTTTTTTTTTTTTTNTTTTTTTTCTTTTTGAAGCTAATGTAACCTCTTAGCTCAGTGCCTGAGTTCTACTGCCTTAACTTTACTAAAGGCTCTCAGAATCCTTATAAAAACTTCTACCTTGGGAATAGAAGATCTCACAGAACTTCAAATCTGCTGTAACTCGGTGCATACTGTAGTCTCCCCTTTCAGTAATGGAGACAAAACTGCTGTGAATTACTATGGTGCATGGTTTCCATGGTTACCTATATAAAAGGCAGGTAGCAGGTATTCCACAACTGGGTAAAGGTGATATCTCTGTCACAAATGAGTGAGAGACTTCATTTATTTATATAAGAATATAAGCAGCTCACCAAAACAGTATTTTAATATGAGTTCATTATTTATTTATTTATTTCCTTTCAAGTGCTTGCTATTTTAAAACCTCCACCAATCAGGTTCACTGCAACACAACTTTCAGTTCACAGATMTTTTTGGAAGCAAGACTGTAATTTTGCAGACAATCACATCTTCTATAAAACATGAAATTATATAAATTTCTGATTTGCTGTAGATTAACCATTTTCTTGTACAGTCATTCAGTCTTCACAGTGAGGGGTAGAAAGCAGGAGCATTTCATGTGATCAATCCTCTGGAAGGTTAAAAASTTAGGCAACAATGATTAAAAAATTAGAAATGTACTTTGAGAAGTGATTGTAAATTAAATTTTGTTTGTGGAGAGGAAGATTGAGCTGAAATTTCTGCTCATGTTGAACTTATGTCATGTTGACCATGTCCTGTAGAAATACGTCTTTATGCATGTCTCTATTTTTTTTCATTTGTATTATAATATGTTCTGGTTGACATATAATTTGACTGTTCGTACTGGAATTCATGGTATGTAAAGGAATAATTAATCTGATGGCACAGGATTTACCATAGCTGATTACATTTCATGAATCAATTATTCAAAAGCCAGCTTATGACTATATTCAGTAATTTATATGGCAGAAGGAGGCCAGTAAAATTCAGCAGTGCACCTAGTGTGTTTTACTTCTGTAAGCACCAAATCATATCCCTTGGTGATGGAGATGCCTATGAGAAATTTAACAAAACAAAGAAATAAAAAAAAAAAAAGGCAAAAAAACCCGCTGTCTAATATGTTCTTTAATTGTACAAAAATGTAGAACAATGGGCAGAGGAGGAGACAAGGCTAGAGACAAGGCTAAAGGTTTGGTACACTCTCTACTGTTTTTAGGAAGCTTTGCAGGCTGATGCTTGAGGAATTGGGACAAAGGTGAAATATTGATTATTTGTGTGTTTTTTTGTTTGTTTGTTTTAACCTCCTGCATGAATGAAGGGTCAGCTTCAAGCTTCCGACCAATCCTGCTACTCGGGCATTTTTGAACATCTAGCAAAATTACTGGACACTGAAGCATGCTTAGATCTCTAGTTTCTTGTTGAATTGATGATATCAAATGCTTCTGTATTTATTTAGTGTTAGTAATAAAACTTGGAATATCTACTTGAYTGAGTGCATGTGAATGTTATTTTCATATATTTTAATAAATGGTAAATGCCTTTTCTATCACATCTTTTCTCATAGCAAAGTTTTGTGGTGACCCCGGAGTACCTGCTCAGGGGAAAAGAGAAGGCAAGAGCTTCATCTATCAGTCAGAAGTCTCTTTCAGCTGCAATCCTCCTTTTATTTTGGTTGGCTCAAGCACTAGAATTTGCCAAGCAGATGGCACATGGAGTGGATCCTCTCCTCGATGTATAGGTAAGGTGATGTCCATAACACTGACATTTCTTGAATTCTTATTGTTCTTTATCTGCCCAGTCCATCTAGGAGTTTTCTGCTATTTTGAAGTATCACGATATTATTATATATTTTTAGAAATTGAAGCAGCTTATTTTTGATTCTTTAGCTTGATGCACATTTGGAGGAAAAAAAAAGTAATTCTTTTTTTTTTTTTTTTTTTGCTAAAATATTGTAATTTGCTTTCTCATTTATCTGTATTTTTAAGAACCTACTCGCACAGCATGTGAAAATCCAGGAGTCCCACGACATGGATCACAGAACAACACATTTGGATATCAGGTAGTTTATACTATATATATTTTTATATAAAATAATTCCCCTGTCTTCTTTGAAATACTTCATATAACCTAGATTTATAAACTAATAATTAGAGGACCAGAAATTGCTTGTGTTCCAAAGAGAGTTAATTGTTTGAGTGGTAATGTCTTCTTTTATTCCTAGCTGCRCTATTGCACTTACCTTTTCACCCTGTTAGCAGTGCTTTCCCCTTTGTGAAACCTTGGTAATCGAGGTCTGCTTGGTTTCACTTTGAAGGCATTCAGTATTTTAACACCAGTGTTCTCCCTGCTCTTTGTCAGCTATGGGTTTTCACCCAAAAAAGCTGTGTGCCAAACTGCTCATGTACACATACCCTTACAGAATTGCCTTTTTTAAATTCTTTTTTTTTTCTTCTGTGAGAATTTCTGTTTTTACTGATGTAATCACAAAGGAATATAGTAACTGAAGTTGAATTAGATATTCATACACATTGATCCCCTGAGCTTTCTTTGCCCCAAGCTGAATAGTCCCAGCTCTCTCTGCCTCTTATCTTAAGAGAAATGGGTGCTTTAGTCATCCTAGATGGCCTAGATGGCCTAGACTCTCTCTAGTAGTACCATGTCTCACTTCTATTGGGAAGCCTGGCACTGGACCCAGCACTCCCAGGTGTAGACTCACCAAGACTGAGGGCAAGGATGGGGAGGAGGGATCCCCTCCTTTGACCTGCTGGCAATGCTCTGCCTAATGAAACCCAGGTGGTGTTGTGCCACAGGGACTGGTGGCAAAGAAGGAACAATGGCTCTATGTGCTTAAGCTGGAAACTGAAAGATCTGTGAGGCATTTCCTCTGCTTACAGTGCTGTTTTGTTCCTGCTATGCCTGTGTTTGGTGTCTGAGCTGGAAGCTTCACTCRCGTAGAAAATGGAGAGGTAGAAGAGAGCGTGAGAGTGTGGCACCTATCTAGCAGCAAGATATAAGTGAAGTCTGCAGGTTGCCAGAAGTGCAAGAAAGAGCTGATTGAAATTTTGAGTAGCTGTACAGCACAGACATTTATAACAGGTTTTTACCGAAAGACTTTTCAAAGGATTATGGCCAAAGATTCCTTTGATTTGTCATTATAGTGTCCTTTATCTCCTGCTTGGTGAAAGTTCTATCAATATTTGGGATTTTAGATTCTGTCAGATCGCAGTCATAGAGAATTGATAATATATTGACTTGATTTTCTCCAGAGAATGAAGTGCAGTGCTTTTTAATGTGAAGATAGAACATGCAGGGGTGATTAGTCCTTGAGCTAACTTCCTTTGGGTATAATACAGCATTATGCTAGAGAGCATGTCCTTATTCAACTGAGTAAGAAATGAATCACCACAATGACCATCTTCTGCAATTTTATTGTCAGAATTTCTCTGGCATATTAATGAATGCTTCTTACACTGAAGCAATGTGACCTCTTTCATTTGAGATGTAGTTGTGGTTTTGAATGAAACCATCGCTCACACCTAGCATGGCATTGCTAAAATAACAGGTAAAATGGCAGCTGATAAATAATTTCTAAAACAAATGTAGCTGCTAGCAGAATTTAAACCCTTGATCCCACAGTTATATGTCCAGTGCCTTACATATTAATGGAGCAAATCTGCCACTTTAGTTCAAAAACTTTTTGGTCAACTGGATAAGTTGTATAGCCCTTGCAGAACCAACAGCTTATCCTCAAGCTCTCATATAATTAATTGGTTCCATGTAGAAACTAAGTGTTTGTATGTCAGTTTCTGTAACAATATGATTGTTTAGTTAATGTAGGACAGGGTAGGAATATCGTTATCACAGATGAAACTGAGTTTAACTCTTTACTGGGTAGAAAAAAATGGCAGTAAAAATGGTCCATTCTAGGCAAATTATCATCCATAGCTCTTGGAAAGAAATATTACATAMCGGTATGTTTAATATTATGACTCACTTAAATGACAAACACATAGCTGAATTCATGTTATGTTATAATAAGTTTCCTATGTGAATGGAATAACACAATAACTTTTTTCCATTCATATCAGGAGGTTAGAGAATAATTCGAATTTATACTTTTTTTTYCCCTTAGTACTTCACATGGTTAATTAATAGTAATGAAATCACTTAAGTGACCTTTTATACTTGATGGCTAAGTTTTTAACTTATATCTCTGTATTATTTAAAACAAACAACAACAAAAAAAGCAGTCTTTGGGAGTGTAATTCAAGCCTTCATAGGTAGAGCCCTGTTTTGATACTTCTTTGAGAACAATATCACTGACTTGTCTACCTTTCACAATACAAATGGCAAGTCATCAATTTCTATAGCACTGTTTCTGTTTTCCCTCTTGACTTATATGTTTCCCTATGTTATTGCTGAACTTGGAACTACAGATGTGTTTGACATGTTTCCAGACTTCACCAAGACAAAGGAGTATAGAAACTTGGCCTCTCATATCCTATCCTAACAAAAAGCATGCATCACCACCTAAAAGTTTAGTGTTGTTTCAACTGTTAAAACAGGATTTTTGTAATAAAGTGTTTGTGTGTTCAAATGACCACCAAAACTACTAGTTTAGTACCACATGCTATATCTTGTATCCAAATTGCATCATTTTATATAACTATTATGCTTCTGGGATGTTTCTCCTTCATCTGACCGTTTCTGATTTGACAGATCTATCTTAGTAATATGTTTTAACAAAGAGATATTACAGAGTCGAAACGTCTTCAGAATTCAGTGAATATGCACTTCATCAATAATTTATAATAGGAATTTAGAAATGGAAAAAAAGTCATGTTGCAGCTGCATTGCCAGTTACCTTTTATTAGCTCTTGGGTCCTATTTTGTAAAATGCCATATGAACTGCTATCTAAAGATACACAGGATAACTTTTACAAGGTATGCAATGCTTAAAAAGCTGTCATGTTGATGGAACTGTGGGATGAAATCCCCAAAGAAGTGTTGTAATATAGAAGTATAGCTGCCTCCACTAGCACAATTGCTGTCGTTAACTTCTTCATGAAAATAGAGCTTTAGTCTTACCAGACACTACATAAGTTCCAAAAGGCATAAGAGTTATGTTGTATCTTTTCTCATGCAAATGTATTCTTTGTGCTGTTATTCTTTGTAATCAAATATACATCTCTATTTCATGTGCTATTTGAGGACAAGCATTTAGCTATAACTAAAAATCATTGTTAATTACAAAGTGTGAAAATCCTTGTATGAACTGTCATGCCTAACTTTTAATTACTAAAGTATTTAGTCTTTTAGAAACTCTCTCTCTGACCGTAGAATTTTATGATCAGGATGCGTTACTAACAAATCCTTCCTGTGGGTAAAATGGAAACACATCTCATAACACTAAGAGTTTGTAGAATGTTTAAAGTCTCAGCAGTCATATCCGAGAATCCTTATTGGTCCAGATGTAATTATTGTGGAAAAAAATGGGGGAGGAATGACAAAATAAATTGATACTTCTTTTGTACAGAAAAGTTCAGTTAAAATTCTTACACATGTACATCCTTGTTTCTATTTTTTTTTTCCTTCTATTTTTCTGTATCCTGAGGGCTCTGGCATCAGTCTGGTCTTGGTGTGTTTTGCAGTGTCAGCATCTAGAGTGTTTTCCTGGAAGGAATATGATTTTTTTTTTTTTTTTTCCTCTTGCTCTTCTTGATTCACCTGCAGCTATTTTTACATTTTCTAATATGCTTCTCCACCTTGATCTTTCTTCACTGGTCTGCAGCTCAATCTTACATCAAAGTTTCTTATGTATGGTATATTCTGTGTAGGTTACTTTTCCTCTTTTACACTTCAGATCTCATTTTGTCCAGTCTCAGGTTCATTAACTGATCTTGGATGAGTTTAGAGCCATGGGGTCTCCAGGGTGGAGTGTGCGCCCCATGTCATTCCATGCTAGTGTCCTGTCCGACAGCATCCTTCATCCCAGTTGCTCATGGGCTTTGCTATAACATACCAGACCTGTATTTTGTTATAATGCATCATTGTTTTAGTCATAAGTATTTCAATCTGCACAGCATAATAAAATGATAGACATAACAGGTTCTTACGTACAATGTTGTTTTAAAACCAACCACAGCCCCCTGCTCAGAAGAAGAACTGATATTAGCACTAACACAGCTTAAAAACAAAGATCCAGGCAGGACCAGACAAGCGTACCCAAAGAAAGCCTGGAAAGCATCATCCTTGATGTCTTGCAGACACATTCTTCTGTAACTAGTAATGGCAATATTGCATTTCTGGGTCACAGGGTTACAGATATAGCAAAAAAAATCAGTAGCTGTAGTTTCATTCTCTTATATTGCAAAAAGTTAATAAAGAGAAAGAACTGTCATTGTCTTAGCCTCTCATTAATTTGACATTAGTTACTAGGATAGAGAAGCTTATTTYGGTGTCCTGGTGTTCTTTACTAAACTCAAGACCAAGAAAATTGAAATGTAGAGTCAACCATGAAAGTTAGAAACATACTTGATTGGCATAAGTGATATAAGAAATAATGATAACTATATAATATTATTATTCTACATTATTTATATATATATATATTTGTTTTCTCTAGAGGGTTATCCTGTTTTAATAAATGGTTACAGGTTGATATTTTCACCTTCTCTATTGTATCTCTGCTGGGCAATAGCAAATAGTCTTTGGTTTTTAGCAGAAGAAAAAAAAATGATTTTTTTGAGTATCCACACCACAACTGATACTATGGAAAAAGCAACTCTGAAACAGAAATATTAATACACATGGAATTCTTTTTTTCAGGCCTGAAAATGAATAAAGGCATTTCAGGTGTTTCTCTAGATCTCTACACCAGTTTTTCTATGCAAGTTGAATAAGAGTTTGAATGACACAGAACATTTTCACAAGACAATTTTATGATTATTATTATTATGTATTTTTTTAAGAATATGCAATACTGTATTATAGTGCCACCTGGTGCTTATGGCATAACAGTATTGAGGAAGAGAAGTTTTTGAACTAACAACACTAAACTGGGAAATATTTTTATAACATGTTCTTTTCTTGAGGAGTAGGCAGCCTCATTCTCTTCTTTCTTTATTTTTAACCTCATCTTGAATAGCATGGCATCATTTCTAAAATCAACATAAATGCTGGGACAGCTATTGTATGTTTTCTCTGTGTTTGAGTCTTATTTATGAAAGTTATGTTTCCCTAACCTGGACATTGTTGATATTCCTTTTTAAGGATGCTTGCCTTGTGTATTTAAAATAGCAAGAGGGTCTAATGAAAGTGATCTCAGTATTAGCTATTTTTAGGTCAAAAAATAAATTTTGAAAGATGCTTTCTTTTGTTAATATCAACACTTYTTTTGTAGAAAGCTGAAAGGCTATCCACACAAATTTTCTCTTGCAAAATGGCACAAGTTACTAAAACATCTTATTGATGCACTTTTTCTATTTGGTGTAACTTCTATAAACTTCTATAACTGTTAATGTTTTCCCATGATGTGCTTCATCTTGAAAGTGGTTTAGTATACTTCAAAATCTTTTAAAAGTAATTACATAGTTCAATGAGCACTGAAAAGAAAAAAAGAATTTTAAATTACATACGGTGTTGATGAGCTACTATCTGCAGTTCATGGGTTATTATTAAGCTTCATTCTGATGAGAGGCTTGAGTTGAAATGGAGTAGTAGTACTATAAAGGTTCAAATAACTGCTTGTAGCAGTGAAATATTACTTACCAGGTTTAAGCTATTGTGAAAGTGACTACATTTTGACTTTGGGCATCAATTTGAATCCAGTGTTCTACATTTAATCAAAAATTCAAAACCAGTGCCATAAATATGCTGCTACATGCCATTCAAATTCTTTAGCTTTCCTTTTCAATATTGGTTGATAAATATATTAATACAGCTCACTACAGAGCGGTAGATGAGATCTTTGCGCTTTGATATCCGAGTTAACCTTTCACAGCATGTAATAAACTACTTGCTGAATGATATACTTGTAATCTAATTTCCCTGAATTTGATGGAAACTCAGAATTATTTGCACTTTCATCAATTTCACAGTGACTAGACAAACCGAACAAGTTATTCCATGTTATAACTGTGCAGAAACAGTGACTCACCAAAGAATTCCATTTTCCTTTTTTGTGACCCACACACACTGTAAGAATAATAATTGCAAACAAATCTCAGCTAATTCCTATTGTAGATTTTAATGTACTTGTATTCTGTTTTCTAGTATGTATGCTGCCTAAATGATCTTTTCTTTCTTAATGTTATGAAAAAATAAAATTACAATATTATAGTCACATTATACTTTCCAAAACAGGAGACATCATTGTTGACCATGGTTGTGTGTTCTGATGAAAAATGTATCATTATAATTGTATCATTATATGCAGGACTTTGCTATTGTATTTGAAAAAGAAAAGAAAAAAAATGATATTTTCTCACAATAATATTAATGCGCTTTCTGGATTTCAACAGGTAGGAAATGTTGTTCAGTTTCAGTGTAAAAAAGGACACCTTCTCCATGGCTCAACAACAAGAACTTGTCTTCCTGATCTTACGTGGAGTGGAATTCAGCCAGAGTGTATACGTAAGTAGTTCACAAAACAAATAAATATTTTTGCTAATCCTAAAATTAGTAATTAGTTTCTAACAAGGCTATTAAAGCAATAACATCAATGTAACATCAATGAGTTAATATATGTTTACATTACTAGCTTACGGCAGCTAGAAATATTAAATGAAATTCAGTGAATAAAAGAATTCCGTTTTTTTTCTGCAATAGCCTGTAGAACCGAAAACAAATAAAATCACGGGACTGTTGTGGGTCTTCATTAGTACTAAGTCTGATCCCTGCTGAGGGACAGAGGCTCTTTGAGCTGGCCAAAGAGATGCTGAAAAAGGTAACAATTTCCAGCAAGCCTCACCGCATAAAGAAACGTAGGATATATTGATACAGAGGATCACTTGAGCATATGTTGAACATATCCAGAGAAGAAGGCAGTCATACTGATTCATTTGGTGCAATGTTTTATTTGTTTTGATTGGCAAATATCAAATCAGTAGTTCAGTACTAAAAGGTTAGGTATATTCTTGGCATACTGTTTTTGAGATAACACAAGAATATCAGATGCTAGTGGCTATTATAGATGTGAGACACTTTTATTGAAATTAGGATTACTAATTAATTTCTGTACCTGATATTTAAAACTGGTATCACCTAAAGTCATAGAATTTTCCTAAATGACTTTGTTTACTTAATAAGTGACAGTCACTGTTAGTCAATACTACACGAGTCTTACAATTCATATAATGCCATGATGTTGGCGGTCACAATTTTGGTCATGCAGGAGTGCATTTAAGTTGATTCTTAGTCTCTTACTAAGGAAAGGTCTATTTTCAAAACTGTATTTACAGCTTCATAACAGTAGTTAATAATATATATATAATTGCATTTTAATATGAATTAAAATATGAATATTTCAATATGAATTAAGAAAGATTTGTATCATATTTTTATTGATATTTTAGCTTAATAAGTGACCTGTCAAAATATGTATAGTATATTCCMTCAGAAATATTTTCACCATTTTGACTAAAAGATAATTCATATTTTCTTYGTAGCTCACAGCTGTAAACAACCGGAAACGCCAACTCATGCTAATGTTGCAGGAATGGATCTTCCTTCACTTGGCTATACCTTGATTTATACTTGTCAGCCAGGTTTCTTTCTGGCAGGAGGATCAGAGCATAGAGCCTGTAGATCTGATGGCACATGGACTGGGAAAGTTCCAGTTTGTGAAGGCAAGCTCTTCTATTTCCCTCTCCCTCACTCCATCCCACATATATCCCATTTTACTGATTTTGTTTCCTTTCATTCTAAAAGCAATAAGGCAGAATGGTGAGAGGACTAAGAGAGAGAACATCTAAGGGGATAACTGTGTTTAATATGAATCATGCTTTCATGTACTTATATTTCTTTTTCTCAGATATGTCAATTTTGAATTTAATTTTGTAAGCCACATACATTGCTTTTAGATGAGTGACTGGACTATAGACCAGATTGTACCTAAATGTGTTAGCTACATTCATAATGAGCTAGATATTTTTGCACATACTTAAATGTAGACCAAGGTGACTTTATTTGTAGAGATTGTGTCAGTGGCAAGACAGTTCTGGCACTTGCAATATTATGTAAGGATGCCTAAAGTTCAAGCAGATGTCTTAAGATGCTCCATGGATTTAATCCATACGACTTCTTGTTATTTTATTCATATGTATGAATATTCATATGGATGTAATATTCTATTGCAAACAAAATTGGTATGTTTTCTTTGTCGTTGTTATTCCAATATGATATTAATACTTTTTAATCRTTACTACCTACTTTGTCACAGCATCTCATGAAAAAATGATGGCAAAACCATGATGTCAGAAAGCTGCCAGGATGCTCGCGATTTGTTCTGTCCTTGGAAGTATTCTGGCAGGACAATTGTGATTCATGAGTTGTAGGTTGATACAAGAGTTTTTTGCTAATGATATTAAAATAAATAATGTTTTAAAAATAAAATAAATAATAAGTAAAATAAATAAAGTTTTCACAGATAGAGTTGTTCAATCTGATGATTAAAAATCTTTGCAAATTAACATACTACACAGAACAGTTTCCCAAGGTCCAAAGGAAGTGTTAGTTCATTTCTAAACTGTCTTGGGAAATGGACCAATTAATTCCCTTTTTCCACAGATATTTCACTCGATGGGTGCTGCTGCTGAGGCAGCATGGACAAGATTGCTTTTTGCCTCTTTCTGCCTTTTCACAGCTCTCCAACAGTATCCCAGCAGGGTTTTCACTACATAATTTTATTCCCACCACACTTTTAAGTTTTTTTTTCCAGTTTCATATCATAAAAACAGAACTTCGTGGTTGTAGAATATTTTATTGAATATTTTGAAAAGAAAACCATAAATAATATTTATATCTCAGGACCAGATGTATCTAGGAAAAGATACAGGGAAGACCTGAGACCAATTGCAGTATACCATCTGCACAATCTCCTCTAAACATAAAGTTCTCTCTCAACAGTATAGGTATGGCCACTTCCTGGAGAGAAGGGATGGATATAGAATATAACATATAGAATGTAGAGGTGGCTTAAGAATGTATTTCAYCAACATCACATGGAAATTCCTTACTTGTCTTTGGTATTCACTGCCAAGTGGCTATTAGATATGCATATGTTGTGACTCRTTAATGCAAAACACCCAAGGAAAGATATTAAAGTATATAAAAATGTATTATAGTGAAAGGCATCAGTCTTCTGTGTAGAAGATATGTGTGAAAGTAGCAAAACCAAAGGTATGCCTCTTAGCAGTAAAACTACTTCTCTCTTGCTGCAAGATGTTGAATTTAACAGCTGTTCCAGCTTTAAAAAGGCAAGTAATAAGCACTGGTATCTTTCTTTGCATAAGAGGTTTGATTTATTATTTTTGCAAATGATGGCATTCATAAATCAGAATAATAGCAAAATATGTTTTTAGAGTTAGAGTTCTTGCTTCCTGCAGCTTAATAATGGAGAAACATAAAAATGAACAATATATTGTAAGTATTAACTCCAACTGCGTAAGTAAAACTTCTTTTAAATATTTTACAGAGAGGTGGTAGGTCAAACATGTCTCTCCAACAGGTGGGAGAAAAGCACTGGGTCAGTTTGTTCACCTGGGATGGTGAATTTCATAAAAATAGGTAGAGATGAAAAGGAATGAAGGACTTGGAAAGGATTGTGTACAAACTCAGTAAAAGGATCTGTAGAGGGATTGAGATGGACTTTTGTCTTTTAAATACAAATCTACAATCATAAAAGTCATGCAGAGATAGTGTACCTTAAAATGTGAATATTGTAGAAACCTTGTTTAATTTGATCATTTTATTTACATTTGTATTTAAAATTTAAATCATATTTAAATTTTACTTTGAATTTGAAATTTCACTGCTGAGCCTAGAAGGAAAGGTATCCTCCTTGACAAGGCAGACCAACTCAGCAAGTCTTTATACAAAAACCGTTCGGAATCTGATCCAGGTGTTTCTAACCTGAGCTTGAAAGCAAACGTTGCTAGAGCATGCCATCTAGGTCAGCCGTAATTAGTGAAGCTCAGGTTTCTTTCAAAACRCAGAGGAAATAGAGATGATGCAATTGATTGATCAGGTAAAATAGTAAGAATAATGAGCAACCTAAGAGATCTTTATTTTAAATTCCCTCCATGACAGTTTTAACATATATGTCAAGAGCATGGTTTCTGTAAAAATTTATTTGCAACAGTTCAAGAAAAGCATTCCCACTGCTCCTCGTTGAATTTTCCTACTATATAGACAGCCAAGTCAGGAAGCAATTAGTTGCTTTTCTTGACTTTATTTATTTATTAAATACCAGACATGAAGAGAGAAATTCTAGGTTTCAAACCAAGATCCAAAAAACAATGTATTAAAGTAATCACTAGAGCAAGGAATGGAACCTAATACTACATGAGTATCCTACAATAGAAGATAGAATTATTTTTTCTTCTTTRTAGCACAGTAATGAATCCAAATTAATTTATATAGGAAGGAAGGAAGAAAGGAGAGATATTCAGTTGCAGGAAGAGGCAGTGCCCCAGCACATTTAATGCATCATGTTCAGAGAGAAGAGAGTTCCTGCTGTAGGCACAGAAGAAATGTAAATCATATCTCTAATTTATACTGCTCAAATTAGCGAAGCAATTTGCGCTCTGAAGAACCTTATTTGTTTTCGCTGCTGCTGTCATGCTTAAAAGAAATAGTGATCTCTCCATTTTAATACATCCTTGGTTTTCACTCCTGAAATATTAGAAAACATCTAAAAAAACTGGATGTCTAGTTCAAAACTGTGGATTCTAGATGAAAGGTATTCTGTTTGTGTATTGCACACAACCTGGTAACATCCAAGTGACTTGAAAGCAAATGTGCCATGGAAGAAATCAGTGGGCCTATGCTCTTCATATACTGAGTCTCTTCTTTCATATTTGGAATTTGAAGAAGTCCCTTATAGCCTATGTAATGAGTAGATTCCATTATGAAGTGGGTTTTACTTGGTTTTAAGTGTGAGATTTGAGTGGTTCATGATTTGCCATTTTGTCATTCATTCTTTCCAACAGCTGGTTCCAAAATACTGGTGAAGGATCCAAGACCAGCTTTGGGAACACCAAGCCCCAAACTAAGTGGTAAGTACTTTGATAACTACATAGCAAAATTTTAAGCAAAATTTCTGTAGAAAAGGCGAGCAGAATCTGTTTAGTGAAGCTACACAGAATGACTTAAATGAATAAAGGTATCAAACTAGCAATTGAATTAACATAAATAATAAAGCATTTTTTTCCCCCAGTATTTAAGTCCTTCCAGACTATATGCATTTTGTATCTGACTGCATTTTCCAATTATTGACCTTCAGTTAGAATTTTATTGATTTCATGGAAGTCACTTTGTTTTGTGAAAGACTTTATGCAATATACATATTCAGAAACTATATTAGTCTGTCAGAAATAAGTTTTCTGACTTGTAATGCAGGACATTCATCCTTATTACACATTGCACATTACACTCCAAAAAAATTTATATATATATATATATATATATGGGGGGAGGTGTATGTATATGCGCGAGCGCATGCGCTGGATAGCAGGTAGGTCCTAGAAAAACCTGTCTCTGTCCTCTGAAGAGAAAGTCTCTTTAACTAAAATTAACCCTTCATTATAACCCTACTAAATGCTTATCAATATTAAAAAAAAAAAAAAAACTTTGTATAGTTTTTTATATATTGGAGTATACTGGAGAGTAGTCTCAAAGTATTTGTCTTATTGGGAAGTGTATGAAAGGAATGTTACCAATTATTCCATTTAGAAACTTCTTGCACAATCTTACTTAATTGCAAACAAAATATATTAGCTCAACTTTCCTTAAAACAGGTGAAAGAATAGCAAGTAGAGCATAAATAAACAGCATAAGACATCAGGCTCTTTCCTTCCTTGGAGTTTGCAGTCTCAGTATATAGATATTTTGCTCTTAAATATTTATTTTTCAAACAATTATTGTTCAATAATTGTTCAATCTATGTTCAATTGAAAACCTGTGAGAGGTATTTTCCCTGCATAGGAAGACACCCTATTTCTGTGTCTCATAAACAGTAGAAGATGACTATAAAGTGTTCCTGTGTGTCCAAGTCATGAGTTTTGGAATGCTCTGAGAGGGATAGTGGAAATGTTCTTGTATACTTATCCTACATGAGACGCCAATGCAGCTATGAACTGAGAGTTCTTAATTGAATCTGACTTTGAACCTTTTTCCTTCACTGAATAAGTAACACATCTGACCAGAACTGTTGCTGTCATATCATTACATAAAATGTATGATTTTACAGTTGTATAACAGTACATTTTGGAAGTACAAATCTGATATTCTTCCTGCAGTCTATGATTTCTTCAGAATTTTCAATTAGGGGACATATTTTTTTTTCTCCTGCTAAAGCTCATATTTTTTTTTCTAAATCAGGAAGTGAAGACAAAACTTCTTACATAACAATTTTATTAAAGATAATATGGTACAGAGTCAAGTAAATAGCTATAAGTTCATAGTATCCTTTATATATATTTACAGAGATTTTTGTATCTTAATAGATGTTAATTTCTGCTAAACTTAATGGTAGCTGTACACGTTTGCCTGTCTGTGCTTTCATGGAGTGGATTTCAAAAGGAGAAAAATCTGGTCTTTTGGTTAGAGATAGTAATTTAGACTTCAGAAAGCTTTATATTATTATATATATTCATATTTGAATGAAGGCACAAGTGAAGATATAATAGTGACTGAGTTCTTCAGTACTAATACACTTACTTCATAAATGTTCATGCGAGATTTTTGTGCTTTTTGTCTGAAGATTATGCCCAATAGGTCTAAGAAGAAGAGAGGGGAAAGTAGAGGGGAATGTTATTTATCATACATTTTTCTGGATGTTTGACTTCATAATTACTAAATATTACAATATGCATTAAAATATGTTTGATGTCTGTATAGTTCCTGATGATGTATTTGCCCAAAATTATATATGGAAAGGATCTTACAATTACAAAAGCAAGAAACAGCCTATGACCTTGACAGTCACGAGTTTCAATGCAACTTCAGGAAGAGTGAATGCAACACTTACCAACAGCAACATGGAATTACTGCTTTCAGGTAGGGAATATGAAAAACTTGTTTGAATTTATTTTTCCTGCTTTTTATGCATTTGTGCCTGTAATTTTATGCTTTACACTTCAACTTTAGACAACTGCTACAAGTGAAAAGCTTTATCAGCTTATCAAAGGAATTTTGATTCTAATTCTGTTCCTATTTGAAGAGAATTTTTACTTTTTCATCCACTTGTTATTTTCCAGTTTTGTTTTATACTTGGAATGAATGGGGAATGAGAAGTGTGAGAATCATCCAAATTCTAATTCTTCTTTCTTAAATATTATAAATAAACTTAAATTATAGTTCTTGAGGTTTTCTTAATTCTGAAATGGCAAAATTTCCCTACAATAACATAATAGTGGCTTAAAAGTAGTATGGTGCTGTTGATACATATCGACTTAAGAACAAACAATTAAAGAACAATGAGAATTTGTTAGATTAGCTAGATTTTGTTAGACTAGCTGATATAGTTAAAAAAAAATCAGGCTTCAGATCAATCAAAGTCCTTAACTGAAGTATTAGTTTACATTATCCCACTATCTCTGCCACAGAGCACTGTCACCACTATTGTGCTGGCACAACAAGATACACTGTTCACTATGCAGTGGGAACTGCAGATATAGCTTGACAGACAAGCAAACAAAAAAATACTGTAAAAATGTTTGTGCTTATAATTTTGGTTTGATTTTCAATCCCTGTCAGTTTCTTGACTGAATTCACATCAGAGCCATGCACACAGTGTTGCTATAGGAGTGGCAGGCTGTACACAGGACTGTGGATATGCAGCCCAAAAGAACCACCTTAAATCATGAAACTGGGTTTCATGTAAACTCACCATCCACCTGTGGCACCCTTCTCAAGGGGCTGCTGAAGCCTAAAAATTGAAGTGTAGGCTGGACACTATTGTTAATCTTTGTTATCACCTAAAGAGCCCTTTCTCTCATGTAATTTAACAGAGAATCACAGAATGGTTGAGGTTGGAAGGGATCTCAGAGATCATCTGGTCCTATCCCCCTGCTCAAGCAGGGACATCTGGAGCACGTGGCACAGGGTCACATCCAGGCAGGCTTTGGCAGTCTCCAAAGAAGGAGATTTTACAACCATTCTGGGCATTAACACAACTGTTTTGATGGAGATTTATTAAGGAGCGAAGTGACAGGGCATTAGCCTGATGGAAAAAGAGGGAGATGGGGAGGAATTTGAGTGAATATATTTCTGAGGAGGCTGGTCATTAGAAAGCACATAATGGGCCACAGAGTCTCTGCTGAGTTTGTAATTTTCACTGTCTAGTAAAGTGATGATTTTCTTAGATCTCCTTTGAGAATCAGAATTGAGATGTTCTACATGAACTGGAGGTTTCCTAAAAATATTTCCTGACTAGCAACTGTCTTTCCTTGACTGTGTGAATGTGTTCTGTCCTCTATTGTCTGTTTAGTTTCAGCTGTGTAGCTTCCATGGGGATGTAATGGAAATGGGGATGTAACAAATGTAGTATTTCACATATTAGGATTAWTAAATTAAAAACTGTGTTTTTTTTTCTTTCTTTCCACCAAACAACCTCTTCCTCCCCAAATAAAATCATTCCCTAGTTGGTACAAATTACTACAAATTAGGATTACTACAAATGCCTCTTTGTTCTCTACATACATGTGCTGCATACTTCATCTTCTTTCTCATGTAATTAATGCTATCTTCTTTACCCGTTTTATAGATAGGAGACATGCTATGTATTAAAGTAGTATCTTAGGGTCAAGGATCTTGGATGGATCCAAAAAAAAAAAAATTTAAATGTCAGAAAGTTGATTCTTCCTATATGTGACTTGTACACATCTGAGCTGAAAAGTAGTTCTCTTCCCCCTGCGGTACTCACTGGTTTTCATTCCATCTTGTTGGCTGATACATTTCATCATCTGCTGCCTACCTTTTTATATTTTTTTTTTTGCTCCTGTTTTCTTTGACACTTCTGCTTACAGGGATTGTGTTATAAATCTCTGTCATGCAGGTTAGAAGTGAGTTAGCTTAATTGAAAACAGGAATAGGAAAGGAAAATACAGCTGTACAAAAATGCCTAGGAGGATTTATTTATAGATTTGGCTCAGACTAAACATTGTCTTGTCCACTGGGAAACTAGTGGCCAGATCTGAAGTAGCAAATCAGCCTTTCACGGAATACTGTCTGTGAATCCATCACTGTAAATTAGGTTGCAAACAGGAGTGTCTTGCTCCGTGGGATAAATTTCTCAATATTCTTTCTTGAGCGTTCATACATGATGTTCATGCTCGTGTATACAGAYCACACATCCAGTGTCATACAAATGTTTTCTAATGACAGAATAATCAGATGAATAATCAGCTCACTGTCCAAACTCTGAAGTGACAAAGAGCTATATGATAAATTTAATGCAGTCCTTAAAATGACATATCAAGGCATATTAATTTGAGTTTAGTGCTCTGATGGCATAAAAGGCTGCTTGTTAGCCCACAGATAATTACATGTAACATATTCACAGAGGGTGGGAAATCACCTATCCTGAATATGGAGAGGACTTTTCCTCTGTGATTTAGGCACACAGATGAGAAACCTGAATTAAGAACTTCATTGACCTGTCTCCAACTACARCTTCTGAAATGAGCTATGGATTTTGCATTTTAGTCTTCATCTTTGAGATGCTTATATCTTGTCCAAGTCTGCTCTGAGAGCCTAGAGTGACTGAACTCCTTACACAAAGTTAAACTTAACTTTTCTTCAGTTAAATTTATCTGGGACTGTGGGACTGTATTATCTTTTTTTGACAACTTTTTAATTCCAATTTTCTCCTGTGGAAATCTATATGACACAATAATATCACCTACCTTTTTCTTCTGACCATGTATACGAATCTCTATATTCTGATTTGAAAACTGTGCTGTTTCCCAGGTCTTCTCTTTGCAGCAACAGCATTCAATAAGAAGCTAATTAGCAGTGTCAGCATTTTTCCCTTCTCTATTCTAAGATGCTAAAAACGCTAAGTATCTCTTCAGAAAGTCTAGATATTTCTTTCCTTCTTATACTGTGCTAGTTACAGCACAGCCTTAGCTACACTTTTTCACTGGAGAATGGGAACATTCCTATATTCCTCCTATATTACTATATATCTCCTGTAGCTGAGGCCTCTCCTTAGTTCACGTTCTTATTACAAAATTTAAAATAACATAGAAAATGGGAAATAAGCAACTTAAGGACATTGCTTCACTATTTGAGTTTTAAGTTAGTTATATTGAAAAGAGATCTAGTTTAATTCATGCTTAGCTAAAACATACTGGCTAAATCTTGTCTGAAGTCATCCACATTTGTTAGTCAATATAAATTAGGAAAAAAGGAAACCAAAGTCTATTTGAACCTAATTCATTTGCATTATGATATCTATGATATATCGAGTCAGTCAATCATTTCAGCTTTGGTGAAATGGAGCTTTCATTTCAGTTTGGTGAAAATTCATGCAGGTGGAGGAATAGTGGTTTGAGTTTATTTCTTCTTGTTTTGGGGAATTTCAGTTTCGTTTCTGCTGAAAGTTTTAAACATCATCAGCTTGCATACTAAATGCAGTAGAATTCTGTGTGATTTTACAACCCAAAACTTCATATGAATGGAACAGTTGGAACAGTAACAGCAGTGCGCTGACATAAAGATAATGAACATACTAAAGAGCTCTGTGATCTAAACACCAAGGTTTCTAATTCTATTAATTGGTAACCATCTTTTTTTTAAAAAAAAAAAAAAGTTGCAGTCTTGTTTGGTTGTATGTTCTCTATTCACCATCATCACTATGATGCAAGGTTAGATTACTAAGCATATTGTGCTATTATATTCCCATTCTACAAGTTAACAAATAAGGTTATCTGGATTCTAAATATTTGCTCTACAGAAATGAAAATGAGTCAATCAGTTCTGTCTATAAAATAAATAAGGTTATATAAAAGACTTGTCATTGTCTGGAAGAGAGAATTATAGTGTAGACTGATGGAGAACAATTTTTGTGAAATCCTTTCAAATTTAGACATTTTTAATTTAGTACCTGCGTTTGGAAATAATTTTCTATGTGGATATTTCTCTATCACCTTCTTGTCTTGATAACTACAGATCTCAAAAGTGAGAATCTGAGATTCAAATATACTCTGCTTGATTCAGAATGATATTTTTCATTTCAAACCAGCTCATTGTCAGTTTCTTCTTTGTCTCAGGCTTGTTACCAAAACTATTAAGTAAGCAGTTGTGTGAATAATTTCCATTTTATCTGCTCTGTGGCTAAAATAGATATAATATCAATTGAAATTCTGTGCTAATAGAAATAACTTCACAAAATATTTTAGCTTTGGTGGAAGAGTGTATCTTCCTAAATTAAAATGTTGCTGAACATGATACTACTCTTCCTCTTCTCCCTATTTAAGGTAAGAAATCAAATGCTTTTTCTTAAAAAAGAAGTTATTTGTCTACCTAACACAAATATAAACTTTAAAACTGTATCTACAGGAGTGTATAAAAGCCAGGAAGCTCGGCTAATGCTCCACATCTATCTCATTAAAGCACCCTCTCATACTTCTGCAAGCAAATTGAAAGAGGAAAAATGGGCAATGGATGGTTTTGTGAGTATTTTCCTACTACAAAATAGATTTTTTTTTTAATTTATTATTATTTGAAATCATGGTGGTGTTACGCATCAAAAATGTTGAGATGTGTCAAGTGAAATGCTGTTCACAATGATGAGCTATTAAAGGAAACAAAAATATCGTTGTAGGATGTTAGGGAGAAACATCTGAGAATTTGAGAAAAAAATATGGAAATTACCATACTTCATGGCATTCTTACAGCACATGGCAAAAAAAAAAAAAAAAAAAAAAAAAGGCATTTACCTTGCTTCTGTTTAAACCTTATTTATAAATAAGATACTGATTGCAAGATATTGAGAAATTTTATCATTATCATAAAATATCATAACAATTTTCCTCATTAGACTAACAGTCTTGTTTTAATTTTTGGTGATAACTTTTAGAAATACTCTGAAAAAGCCAAACTGAATGGGGAAACCTAAATATATAACCCCAATTAACTTCTAGTCCATTGGAGTTTCTGGGAGGAGTTTTAACTGTAACAGAGATGAGGAGGGTGCATGAATGAGAGGAGGAGAGCTGAAAGAAGTGTTTAGATGTTTCTAAATCATGAAGTCCCTTCAGAGAAAAGAGGAAAAACTATCTGGAGAAGAAAACACCAGTAAATCTGAGTAAAAATGTCTTACTATAGAACATGGTTACTCTAGTAAGGGAGATAYTCATAGGGTCACAATCCTTTTCCTTCTCCTCCAGGTCTTCCATGTTTATACTAATATATCTTGTTCATGTACCAAAGCCTCATTTAATATTCCTCTTGTCTACTGCTGTATAATTAATTACTCTAGTGAACCCAGAGTAAGAACAAAGCAAATAGCTGTCAGTTGGATAGAGGGCATTTTTTATTATTTCAAATGATGATTAATAGCTCAGCAGCTTGCATTATCTTCCACATAACTTTTGCCATACACTCCCTAAAAATTCATATAATTATCAGTATGTAAGATGCTTTGCAATGCTGATTTCTTCAATTGCTAGTCTGTTTTAAGTTTGTTGATTTATATATAATTTGATTCAAGATAATGAAGGAACTTTATCTGTCCATTCTAGCATTTCTAACATGCCCTATTAACATATGTCTGTCTTTTTGTACTTCATACATTTCCTAGACGAATTTTATTAATTTATTCTTGTATTAATGTAATGTACAATGTATTTATATTTAATCAATTAATGAAGAATAATGGTAAGCAGTCAAGCGTGGTAGAGCACCTCTCTTTGAATTAGATACTAGTAATCAACTTTTCCTTATTCAATTGTGATTTTTGTTTACAGGTTTCTGCTGAACCTGATGGAGCTACATATGTTTTTCAAGGATTCATCCAGGGTAAAGATTATGGGCAATTTGGACTTCAGAGATTAGGTATTCAATAAACTCTAGTGTTTTTCCTGTTCACTGTTCCCTATTCTGTTTCATTATATCATACAGAAATAGAGCCTCTGAAGAACTTTATCAGCATTGAAATTTTACAAAAAATACTGACATATCTTAAAATCACGTTTAAAATATAAAAATATAAAAATGTTTTGTCATATACAAAATTAAAATTACCTTGTGATACACTGCTTATTAAAGCTATACTTTTGCAGTGTCTTCAACAATATTTTTATAGGAATATATGTAATTCATTTAATTCTATACCTTAATCATGGATTAGAAAGYATATGTTTTAGAATGAGTACTATGCTAAATAGGCATTATTCCTTGACACTGAAACAATATTAGACTTAGTCTAATCCTGTTGAATATTTTCAAGTAATTCCCCATGATAAACCTAAGAAGACCACATATTTATTGAGGTGCTAAGCAGCTATTTTCTGGAACTTGACTTCTTTGGTCTATAAATTAAATTGCAAAATAATAATTAAAAATAACGATTATTCTTTCTGGAGAAGACACCATTGGTAATAAAAATGTTTCTGTTTTGTGGTTATTAAATGAAAAAATAATAATGCAGTTATCTGATAAGGTCCTTTGAGAACTGTGATATTTCTTCTACAAAAATTTATCAAACGGTAAAATACTGAGGAATACTGAGAAAGTGCCAGAAGAGTAAACATTTCTTGTAATTATTCCTCCTTAAATAGAATACTTTTTTTTCACATAAAATTACAGTATCTAGAAGCAAATATAGGTTATTCCAGCCACAATTAGCTACCTTATTCCCGTTCTTAGCTATCTTATTGATTGAGCAAAATCAAGAAATTCTTAACATTAATACTTCTTGAATGTTATGGAAGAATTTATTAATGAATATGTGAAGTCAAAACAAACTATTATTTTGTTTGTTTGTTTTACAATTCTGTTACTCTATTTTGATTTCCATTGCATTTGATATGAAAATATTTTAAAAAGCATTTTTAGAAATATATTCAGCAAGAAACATTTCTAATATTTAAAATTTCCCCAGTATCAACTTATTTCAAATATTTCAAATATTTAAACATAGTTTAATTATAAAAAAGTAAAATTCAAGAAGGCCTTTGCAAATACTTTAGAAATCTTATTTCATTAAGTTTTCAGACTTTTTATTTACTTGGGAGAATCTTTTCTTTGTTATGTATTCAAAATATTTCTAATTTGTTCCATCATATAGCACCAAATCATTCACTCAGGAATATATTTAATGTGTTTACAAGATGATTTAAGTCAGTAACATAGTTAGCAGGACAATCCTTGAATAGTTTTTCTTTAACATGTTTATCATTTTATTACGTGATCCAAAGAAATATAGAAAATTGTTTCTCTGAAACAAAATATTTTCATTATTGTTCCCACTTTTCCGTCCAATATTTAATATAATTTTCTGCATTTTAATATAATATCTGATTTTGTTTTATTATTTTCCCATTATTCCTTTATAAGATTGATAAAGGTTAAAAACTATGTAATTCTTAGTTGGATTACTGCAAAGTTTAAGAATGAACTCCGAAGCTGAAGTAATATTTTCTTCTCCAAATAAAAAAGTGTATATCTTGTACATTAATGTACTGAGTACATTAATGYGTTATTTATGTCTATAATAAAGACACTGAAGAATATCTGAACAAGGTATTTAAGGCTTCATAGCATGATATCAAAAATTTGAAAAGTACAGAAAGACAGTTACATCCCATTGTCCTAATATTCAGTATGCATTTACTTATCACAATATGGTATTTAATTTTCTGGTAGTCTCAACATATGAATACACCTAGTTATGAGGTGTTATTTGATATGAAAGCTCTTTAACTTTTACTGAATTCTGAAGTTTATGCAATAGTATGTGTCAAAGGTAACAGATATTATACTACTTTTTTCTTCCTATTCTTTTCAGGTCTTAATATGTCTGAGGGTTCAAATTCTTCTAATCAACCACATGGTACAAATAGTAGTTCAGTGGCCATTGCTATCCTTGTGCCTTTCTTTGCCCTTATATTTGCAGGTTTTGGCTTTTATCTTTATAAACAAAGGTAAGCAGAAATTACTTACATATAATGTCTGTATTAATTTGTGTTCTTATTGTCCTCAAACCTTGTCAGAGTAAAATACAAAATATTTGTAAAATGTTGTTCCCCTCTGTTTAAATATGACTGATTGGAAGATTAGATTATTGTACTGTGATGTACTTTAACTCCCATCTAATTAAAATGTTATAAATTTCCATCTTTATGAAAACATAATGGATAATATGAATTATTGGCATACAGAAAATAATTTAATTGGTAGACTTTATGTTTACTTGCAGTAATGCGTATTTTGTTTTGATATGGCAATCATATGAAGATACGAATCGTCAATCAGAAATTTATTTTTTGCCTGCTCTTTTTATTGACTTGCAAGTCAATAAAGTCAATAAAATACTTGTCAAGTAGACAAGTATTATGTCAGTGACAGGCTTGTTATGTTTCTATGTCTAAAATTATTAGTTCATGTGTGATTATGTTATTACAAGCACCATAGTCTTCTCAGGGTCATTCTGTTAGGGTGAATTCAACATTATTTTTTCATGTTATTGAGAAAAATATTAGTTATTTGGATTTATTTTCAAGTTCACTTCTTCTAGTTATAAAGCATTAGGAGACTAAAGAAAATTTGATCAACGTAATGAAAAGATAATTCATTGCCTACTATTAGCCAAAATGGTCACTTAGCATTCCTAGCCTCACTATAATAATTGTGACATAGTCTACAAAAAGGCACAGTTTTAAAGCATGTGCCATCATTTTTTAACTATGCTATTTGATTTTGAACTGGTTTAGAATGTGAAGGAATGCTCAAACAGAATTATTTCGTACATTTGCTATAAACTGTGTGATATAATAGCTTATCTTTGCATTTTGTATATATAATTTACAATCTAATATATATTTTGAATTTCAAAGATGGAATATTTTCAAGGAATTAAACTGACATAATGAGTTATTTAGTAAAATATGAAAATTCAGCAAAATTAGTTCTTGACAAATGTGTTGCTTCTTCAGAGGAAAATTCTTGATATCTGTCTGTGGAATTATTGTATCTTTATGAATTTAAATTGTTGTATTTTGACTACTTATCATTTGACTATTCAGGTAGAAATACTTCTTTTGAGCTTGTTAAATGAGTTTTCCTGTTTACAGGAATCATAAAAACCTTATGGATTACTTTTTCTTTCTTCCATAGGACTGCACCTAAAACACAGTATACAGGATGCTCTGTACATGAAAATAACAACGGACAAGCTGCTTTTGAAAACCCCATGTATGACACAAATGCAAAGTCTGTGGAAGGGAAAGCTGTACGATTTGACCCCAATTTGAACACTGTTTGCACAATGGTATAATGTGGTAATGATATGTCTTCAAAGTTTGGAAATTGAAACACAACACAGTGCACATATAGTTCACTGATTAAAAAAGAAATTAAAGCACACTTTTCAGGATATGCTGGGTCACCTTTTCCTGAGGACGATAGACAAGAGTAGGTTGGGTTATTTGTTTTGTTTTGTTTTCATAAACTGGATCAGAATTGTCTTCATGTGTACCATGGAGAGTTTTACAAAAAATCTGCTGCACTCCATGAGTGCTTACTCACGGTTTATTTGCTTTTTTTAAAAAGGAGATTATTCTAAAACATAAAATGTATTTGCATATATTGGAGGAGCATCCACTATCAGTACTTCTGTGCTTTATAAAAACTATTGTAGAGGGTTTGGTTTAAAAAAAAAAAAAAAAAAAAAGATATAGATAGAAAATAAGAGCTATACTTACAGGAGATAATAGGTCACTGACTTCTCTTTAACAGTCACATGCTACATCTTTTTTTCACAAGTTTATAACATTTTTTCATTTGTTATTTTTTCATTTGTTCAGCCCATTTAAGTTTTTTTTTAATTAGTCTTTTCTTAACTCCAGATTATGATACTTAAAAATCAACAAACACAACTTACTCTTTTCACATCACAGAAGGAAAATTAAAATGTCAAATTTTCAGAGTTTAGTTAATGAATTTATTTCCTTGTTTCATATCTTGCTTCCTTTCTGTGTTACAAGTCAAGCTGCTTTTCTCTGTTTTCATCAACAACACCCACAAGTAGTAATGGATATAAATTGGTTCCTACATTCCTCTTGTCAACCTTACAATTAGGCAAATTTTGCAATCAAGATGCTATGATGCATTGTACTTTGTTATGTGGCTTACTGATGAAGATCATTTGGAAGAGTGACCATATTGCATTTTTTTTTCAATTGTCAAAGCATAATTATGTTTTCAATTATAAAGTGCAGTTTAAAGAAACACTAGGGATCAAATTAATCTATCAAAATAATAGGGGTCCCTATTTCAACCCATTCTAGATAAATTTAGTTTGTATCTTGTCAATTTATTCCTGGAATATTCTGTTGAAATGCATGCACAGAGCATGGCAAAATCCCATTGAAGCTGGTGGAAAGAGTCTAACATACTTAAATGATCTTTGGAGAGTGCCCACAAGGCAAGAGGTAATTGTAGTTTGGAAATACTGTATTTTCATGTTTATTTTATGTCTATATTTTATGGAAACAAATCCTTACCGTTAATGATTTAAAATGAAATGTATTACCATAGTTCATTGAAAACAAAATTATAAAAAAAAAAGTAAATAAATAAATAAAGCCATGATTTTATTAGACGCAATCCATATTAGGGACAATTTCACAGCCCTCGAATACAAGTTTTAGACATTCCAGTACCACTTCTAAGAAAATGTACTTTTTAGTTTTGCTGTTGTTTCATAACAGAATTACTCAACGGCAACCCAGTAATTTATTTAATGTAGGTCATTGTCTTCCTCTTCTAGCATGACTCACAAATACTGTGTCTTAGCCAGTGTGAATTATTTGTTATTGTCCCTTTCAGACATTAATGATTCTGTGAAAATCTAAACTTTTTATTACAGTAATAGAGAGTGCCTACCAAAAATCATTGTTCCCAGGATTGCTGCTTAGATTTCTATAATGTTTGATGAATTTCTTATAAACCATTTTACAACACTTTGTTTTGAAAATTCATACAACTCTGTCAGACTGTATTCTACTAAAATGATGCTGTTTTATATTTTATACCATTGGTTGTTATTTATTCTTGTTTATTCAGATGACTGCAATAACTATGATTCATTCATTAATGTTAAGGTTAATACATTTGAGATTGTTTAAAATGTTTCTTCTGCAACTGGCTACTCCTCTTATATTAATGCATACACTTTTGTAAAGAAGTATATTTTTATGAAAAAAAGGATTTGTAAAAGTATGATGTAAATTTTCAGTGCAATGTAAACAAAATAAAAATGGACAATTGCTTTTTTTATCCGTGTTTCTTCTTTGGAATATTAGCCTTAAATCTACTTCAAATGTGAAGACCAGAAAAGAGCCACATTAATTATTCGAATTACCTGTTTTTGTCAGTCCTAAAAAATATTTTGTTTTTTCAGGTTTTCTATGTATTTTAGATAAAATTACAAAATTTGGAATTATTTTTACAAATAAGCAAKGAATTTAAAGTGGACACAATTATGTACTACAATTATTTTTCATTTGAAGGAGCAGCTTTACAAGAAAGGTCTATACTAGTCAACCTAGTGCAAAGCACAAAAAAAGACTTTATTTTTTAAAAGAAAAGAAATACTTTACAAAAAACCTTGTGGATAGTCTACTTACTGAAGTTTGCTATCTTACATACTCACAGACACACAAATGGTTGAGGCTGGAAGGAACCTCTGGAGATCATCTAGTCCAATCCCCCGGCTCAAGCAGGGACACCTAAACTATGTGGCACAGGGTCGCATACTGGCATCCTGTAGAAATATAAAAAGCACACTTATTAACAGATAATACTAGTGCATACAGTATTTTGTGGCATTACAAAATTGTGATGACTTTCAATGACATTAAACTGTGAAGGAGGAATTACCAGGGGAAATAATGAGAAATATTATTTTTCTATAAAATGAAAAATTCTTTTTGCTTGAGTGCCAGGAAAGTGGATGGCCAAGTCATGATTTGGAACACTATTCACAGACTACAATTGAGAAAAATAAAATTTAATATTATTTTAAGAATTTGATGCTCAACATAAATTGAAAGGCTTATTCAGGCCCACTTTGAATTTGTGAAGACTATTTTGCTGATCAAATTGAAAACAGAAGCAAGAAGTCACCCTAAAGGTGATATTATGAAGGTCATGTGTTTTTTTTTTAGGAGGCATGAATAAATTAGTTAAATCTGAGAAGGGGAAGGTATAAATGTGTTATACAGTGGGTAAATTTTAATACACAGACTACTGGTTCCCTTTTTGGGCTTGTGCATATATATTTTAATATATAAAAAATTGAACTTCCTGAACAATTCTGTTAATAATCAAAATAGAACTCATCTTTTTTCAAGAATTGTACAGACTTCATTGTATAGAGAATGATCTATTCATAAAGTTTCCATAGCTAAATGATTCATAATTCATGTGTGAGTGAATTGTACATCTTATTTTTTTCATTGCAGAGTGGTTATTTTCACTGTGGCATATGGAGTTTCAGGTTAGATTCCTTGATTGGGGTGGATAGCTCTATCATCAGCTACCTTCTGGTTCTTGTTATTCTCAGGAAGGCAGCAGAAAAAAAAATGGTCTGTTTTTCCACCAAGGTTTCTGACTACTTTGTTCAAGGCAACATACTACACAGAGAAAATCTGGAAGAATASAGAGAAGGTTATGTGAATCCTTTTGGGATTAAAGTAGTTTATACCCTACTAAGTAATTAGAGATTTAAAATTTCACATAAGTTTCTATAACAACAGCCACTAAACAGTAACTCTGTGAGCATTTAGGCTATGCACTTTTACAGTTCTTTGAACTTTAATAATTCTACATCCAGTGCTTGTCATGAGCCTTCTGAACAACTCATTTTCATTAAAGCTGTACCAGGATCTGCCTCTGTAATGGAATCCAGAAACCCRTACAGCAGTACTCAACTTCTCCAAGTTAGCAGTTCTATTAGAACTATCCAGGTAAACCATCACAAAATATAGTTAAGATTTCTGATTTAATTTCTGTTTGTAAAATGCAGCTGGATTTAATACATATGCAATGTAAATATATATGTAAAAATCTTTGACAAGCAGAAGCCATTTTTGTGGGGAAAATAAAAGTTGCGAGTTTTATGGTTTCAAATAAGAGAGCCAGTGAAAGGAAACAAAGTCTGTAAGTCAAGTCTTTGTAAAAGAGAGCTTTCCTTTTCCAAGTCTTAAAAGCAAATGTTATATGTAAACCCGTTAGTATAGTTCAGACTGAAGTGTGGTGAAGTATCCTAGTGTACATATGCACAATCATCGCTCAAACCAAAAGATGGTAGGGGGCACTTAACTTCAAAGGAGTCTCCTCAAGGGATATCCTGGATATCGTGACTGGAGGGGAGGAAAGGACTTCGGCCTGTTGACAGATCCAGAAGTTATAATGGAGTCTTCCCTTTCCCTTCTTCCTTCATTCTTCTTCCTTCCTTCCTCCCTCTTCCCCTTGTATCCCTCTGTAGTTCGCCTTTTATGTATTTTCTTCTTCATTTAGGTGGAGCTCGAGTGATTCTAGTCATAGATACTTTTGTTATTGATTGGTTTAAAAAAACTCCCCAGTTAATCGAAAATCTAGAGAGCATGCTCAGTGGGGAGTGATCATTCCTTGGGAGAGGGTAACTTTTGGAATGGAGTTGTGTGTTGGTATTATAATGAGATTAGAATGAGAAGTTTGAGCAAAGTCCATCGGAAAGGACTGATCTGCCACCATTGTTGGCCCAGCACCAGACATCTTATCATGCTCTGTGGCTTATCAGCTGCATGGTATGACCAGGTTGCCACCTCTGCAGGGAGTACAGCAGAATCTGGCTGTGGTGTCTTCACTCTGCTCTGCTCATCAGCTTCACAGCACCACCAAATTATCCGCTCTGCAGGGAACCCAACAAAATTTGGCCACAGTGTCTCCATTCTGCTGCACTCTTTGTTTACTGTTATTTGTGTGTGTTAGGAGGGTAGATTGTGTCACCAAGRGAATCATGGAGAAGTACATTCTGTACATATCTGTCTCTCACCTCAAGCAAGCCTCTCTAATGCTATAACTTCTGTTAGGCCCTGTTTTTTCTCTAATTTCCCCTTTCTCRAGCAATTCTCATACACTACCCAGCATTTCTGAAACCTAAAGATTTCTTAAAATCTGGAGCTTCTGTAATTTTGTTTTGATGTGATATCAAAGTCCAGTCAAATATGATGGAAAAAGATTCTTCATCCATTGTTTTTGTAGTAAAGCTGGAAGTTAATAATATCTTTTTTACTGCCTATCCAATAAAATCTTATTCCTTTTCCATCTTTTCTATATTTCTTTCTGAAATAATTATTCCAATATATACTATTCAAGTGAGGGGAGCATGATATAATGTCTAGAAATTGATTGCATTTTAAGATTTT